GCATTTGATTGGCCAAGCGACTACAGCAAATCTGAAAAATCATTTGGTTGGATGGTTTCTCTAGACTTGAGGCCGACGTGTAAAAGTCCCCGTGAAAAATACATGGAACTCGATCGATATCATATTGCCCGGGCTCCACGACGTGGCTCCACACCATTGATTTGTGACATAGTTCATCTATTTTAAAATATAAGCAATTTTAGGTTCTTTAGAAAAACTAAGGTAGAGGGAAAATATTCTCTTTTAGTCACTTCAGTGAAAATTTTTTTGAATTACTTATATTTCCTTCCTAAACAATTCATTGATTAAAAATGTGTTGATTTCCGTACATTGGAAGCAGTGACTAAAATACTTATTGTGACGTAAATATTAAATCCTAAAAATACTTATATTTTAAAATAGAAGAAGTATAATTGTGGAAGAAAATCATGACAGGTCCTGTGTGAATGGGTTAACACAAGTCAGCAGGAGCTAGGTCAGTCAACTCAGTTAGTTAAGATGATCATGCATATAGATTTATATTGACGAAAATGCTCGTTTGACATCTTAAATCATTGACGAGACTAGCTTGTAAACTTATGTTGACAAACCAGCTCCGAGCTAGCTAGATCTGGCGTTCAAACATCCAATCCAACCTTTTTTCTTAAAAGAAAAACCTTTGGAAATGTACGTTTTCATTTGAAACGCATGAAAAATATCCGCGTTCCTGTATATATATCCTCTAGAATAACCATGGGAGTTCACCTTTTTTTCCATAAAGTTGTCTTTCTTTTATGAAGAAAAAAAGTATGTTGAATTTCGTTTTTTCGATGCACCAGGGACGTCTTTTTTCTTCGTCTTTTTTTTTCCCCTTGAGACTGACCAGAGACTCCGAACAGGGGAAAGCTGAGGATATATATGGGCGACAATTTTGTCACGGCAGCTGGCAATAGTTTGGCGATTGGTACGGCGATCTGAAAGTTTCTGATGAATTGTTGCGCGCGACAGGGGGAGGTCGCCGGGCGCGGGCATGACGGCGACAGGGCCGCGCGCCGGTCTCCAGCTCCGGTTCCACGTACGACGTTGGGCAAAGAGACACCGGACAACCCCAGGTGCCCTGCCGCGTACCACTGTCTGATCATCAGCCAAACAAACAGGAGAACATGCATGCGCGCCGAGATTGCACGGCGCGTCGGCGCTACCTACAGCAGTTTTATCTGTTCAGGGTTGTTTTCTCCATCCACACGCTGCTGGCTGCTGGAGATGGTCTTGCCTTTGGTTTGTTGCAACGAGCCCATGACACAAATTGTAGGATCGAAACACAAGAACTAAATTAACCAACTAAGAGGGGGTGAATGGTTGGTATGCCCAAAAACCCAATCTAGCTTTTTGCAGAATAAAAAGTTACCCTTAAATTCGATGATCTGCGATCTGACCGAAGATGTAGCGCCGGTCAGACCGCCTGGCAACGAGCCCATGACACAAATAAGGCTGTCAAAATCTTGATTATGTCATACAATTGTATGGCTTTACTCATCTAATTAAGGGATCTAATTCTACTGTAGAATTTTACAATCGTATATTCTACAGTAGAATTTACGATTATTATGTATGCGATTCTATGATTGTAGTCTTACTTATAAACCTCTGATCCTTACTCCGGACCGTGATTTTAACACTTTTATATAGGTTTAAACATTTTTAAAAGAATTTTAGGATTCTTAAATAGTGGTATACTACAAATATTCTGGCACTTATATATCTTGACCTCAACAAAATGGATCTTCAAATATTGTTGTGCTTTTTGCACTTTTTTTAAAAAGCATTATTAAAGTATTGGATCTTCAAATGTTGTCGTGCTTTTTTTCACTTTTTTTTAAAAAATATTTTTAGAAAATAACGAATTCCTAGTTGCTAGCTAGGGCCAATTCTAGAGCACCACAATTCACAAGCACCGTTATGGCACCATGTATCATGCAGTAAAACCTCATGAAAGTATGATCATTGCTTGCATAACTTGAATATGACATAACCAGGTTTAAAATTCTGTTAGAAACCGGCAGGGTTCAAAACGTACATAAACCGCTCGATTTTTCTGTTAAGCTTAAACAAAATTAAATTAAATTCTAATTTCTTTAACAACATTTATCTAGATTTTATCTTATTTTCTTTGGGGTTTATCAACGGTTTATGCACAATCTAAAGGTGGTATCGCTCGTAAGAGGTTTTAATACAGTATCGGAATTATAAACCTGGACAGGACAGCGACAAAACGAGCCCCAACACGTACTATAGTGTCCCCCAACCACAAGAGAATGACTATTGTGGTGTGGTGAAATGCAATGTCAGCAGATCGAGTACGTTGCAGGTGCAGCACAGGCAGCACAGTCCACGGAGTTGGAGTTTAGCACGCTAAGCAAAGCCGCCGAGGGGAGTGAAGCCAGGACGAGCCTTTCGCCGTCTATGTCGCCGCGCTGCCTCCCAAATGCATCCGCACACAAGACACCTCAGGGCCCCAGTGCTAAACTCCCCATTTGTCTCTGCTATCTCCTGGTTCTCTGAATAATGATTGGAGTGTGCAACATGACTGTGCAGAGATTCACTAAGAACAGTGAACAGAGGATGATGCTTGTTTAATGCCTTTGGCCTTTTGGTATTTAGGGTTGGGGGTCCTAGAGATTCCAAAGCAGGATATAGGCTCGTTTAATTTGTTGGTGTAGAATTATTCTTTTAATAAGAAGGAATGTGTTTGGGTATGGAAGATTTGGTGGCAGGTCATATCAAATGTTGTTCTGTATGGAGAAAAGTTGTTTGAACAATTTATTGCGTGTTCTACGTGATCTTGGTCGAGGTAACAGTAGGTTAATCCGAGCAGGGAGTGCACAGGGAGCTTGGTCTTGTTTGATCGGCCGCAGTAGAGCAGCAATTAATTAGGCCCTGTTGGTGAGTTGGAGATTCTAAGTAGTAGCGGGTGAGAATATGAAATATTTAGGTTTCTTATACTCTGGCTTCTGTTTTATTTTTTATTCTACAAGTATAAATTCTTAAAATATGTGTTAGAGTATGGACAGTTTGAGGAGCTGTAAATTCTTATAGTTGCCAGAATCCTTCTAAATAGGGTCTTAGAAGTGATTTGGTATGACTAGGAATCTAGGATGATGAAGGCGCAACAAGAGAAGTTTCAAACATCTCATCTCAACCACCTTGAACTTTCATTGGGTTCTCTCTTTAAAATCATGTTTAGAAAGCATGAATTTGGATTTTGTATAAACAATGTAAATTATTAGTTGTCTCTTTATTGAAAGAAAAATAGTTGTCTCTTTTATTTAGGATGGTATATGTCTATGTATACTATTGGACCTAAAACTTCGATCTAAGAAAAATCTTGCAAATATAAATGAGCAATTTGAACTGCTTGTACAACAACTTATAAATACAAGGGCGTCAAACAAATCTCTATTTGCAATATTTATAACTTATAAAAGATCATACCAACTTATAATAGTTTAATTTATAACTACTACATTCTACTCCACCCGTCCTATAATATAAGAGAATTGGGTGGATGTGACACATTCTAGTACAATGAATATGGACAGATGGTGATAAATCTAGACAGACCATCTGTTCAAATTTATTGTACTAGGATATGTTATATCCACTTAAAATCTCTTATATTATAGGACGGAGTAAGTATTATTAAGTCTACTGGCTAGGGGTAAAAGCCATATCAGTTTTTCACCCATTTACTGTTGCACGTGCACACTGACTTTTTTTTATAGTAACATACTCCATCCATTCCAAATTGATCATCATATAATCTTTTTGAGAATATTCCAAAATGATCATCATATTTGTATTCATTTATTAAGTTTATTTGTTATTTGTGCATTGAAGTAAATAAACATTGATGCATGCATCCATGCACAAAGTGTTTTGATTTCCTATTGGCTAAAAAATAGTGGGTAATGTGCATGCATCGAGTTTGTTGTCAGAATAAATGTAGTATGAGAGAGTTATTATATTTTCTTGGTCTTAATGCACCCATGTAATATGATGATCAATTTAGAATGGAGGGGGTATGATCCTTGATAACATATTTAGTGGTATGTTTTCAAGTACATTCTTGTTGGCTTATTGATTATTGATTATCGTGAGCACGTTTCTCAAGTTAGCATATACTTCCTCCGTCCTATAATATAATAATCTAGGACTAGACGAGATCATAGTACAACGAATGTGTCCAGATTCATTTACTATGAAATGTCTCGTCCGGTCCTATATTACTATATTATGGGACAGAGGGAGTAGATATTTTTTAAGTAAAACTTTCTTCATCTATATTTCTTATTTTAAAGTCAATATACCTTATTTCTATCAACTTTTTTTAACATTGATAGGTTTATAGAAAAATATAACAACATTTTTGCACAAAATAAATATAATGTAGATATTTAGTGGTAGACTTGATGAAACAAATTTGGTGCTGTTCATACTGTTACTAAAATATGTTTCATCCATCATGTATCGAGATCGCATCCTTGAGTTCTGAAATATACACGCTCCTTGAAAAAATACTTTCTTTTACGACCGTAGGTAAGATCGAGGTCTGGGCTAGAAAACCATCGAATTAATGAACGAATAATCCAATATACACCCTCCGTCTCAAAATATAAACATTTTTATAATAGTATCAAGTCAAATATTTATAACTTTGACTATTAATAATAAGAAAATAAAAAAGTTCAATCATATAAAATTGATGTTAATATATCACTAAACAAACTAGATACAACTCTTTTTATTTAAAGCATATTATTGTTAGAGATATTATTGATTAAAGTAGCATTTTAAAAACTGTGTCAGAGTCTTAAAAGTATTTATATTTTGGGGTCGAGGGATTACCAATTTGTTTAGCCCAATCATGTTGCTTTTCCAGATGACGTCCACTACAGTGAAGAAAGCTCGCCTATATATATACGCATAGCACGCACAGCTCGCCATCCTCCATTTGCCACGCACCGGCCGCGATCACCTCGCAGCAGCCTGCGGCGGCGGCGGCGGGCGGCAGGAAGAAGCGTGCGGTCAATGCCGACGACCCGTCAGGGGAGCTACGGCAAGCCGGCCAGCAGCAGCCGGCGGCGGCGCCGGCATCATCAGCGTGGCCGCGGCGGCTTCCGGCTGGGCCTGCTGCTCCGCCTCCGCGTGCGGCTCTCCGGCCTCCTCGGCCTGCTCGCCCGGAGCGTGGAGGAGCTCCGGTGCTGCCCCGGCGTCAGCAGGATCAGCTGCTCGACGGTGGCGGCGGCGGCGAGATCAGCGCGTAGCAGAGCGCCGTCGTCGTCGTCGTCGGCGGCGGCGGCGCTTTGCGGCGGGCCGCACGGCCGCCGAGCCGCGCCGGCGGTGAGGGACCAGAGCTCGTTCTACGCGGAGGCCATCGCCGACTGCCTCGAGTTCATCAAGAGCAGATCATAAATGATTTGTCAAATTAGCTTCTTTTATGTACAATTTCTCCCCCCCCCCCCCTTTTTTCACCTTAATTTGCTACTCCCCCGTTTTAAAATGTTTGACACCGTTGACTTTTTAGTATGTGTTTGACTATTCGTCTTATTCAAAAAATTTAAGTAATTATTTATTATTTTCATATCATTTGATTTATCGTTAAATATACTTTCATGTATTTTACAAAAAAAATTTAATAAAACGAACGGTCAAACATGTGCTAAAAAGTCAATGATGTTAAACATTTTGAAACGGAGGGAATATTTGATTTATTCGTAGCATTCTTAACAAGTGTAATGTACATAGTGTTCTACTACTAGTATACATAGAAAGCTTGATATTTTTTTAGGGTGTGGCTGTTCATTTTGTGTTCTTCAGAAGAGCAAAAAGCTTTGCACATGGGCGCTAAAATTGTTCGAATTCTACTACTAGTATACATAGAAAGCTTGATATTTTTTTAGGGTGTGGCTGTTCATTTTGTGTTCTTCAGAAGAGCAAAAAGCTTTGCACATGGGCGCTAAAATTGTTCGAATTTCAACGAAGAATTAGGTGAACTTTTGCTTGCAATGAGCCAATGACCAATAGTGATTGTTCGAGTATCCAACCGGTGCTTTTGTCCTACCAGAGTCCCTAGTCCCTACGGAGAGTACAAAATTTTGAAATAGGATAGGCAGTTAGAACAGATAATTGACACCTTAATTATAAACAATTAACGATAGGTTGAAAGCCTGGAATGGTACTTGCACCGTTTTCTTCTGACAAAACAATTAAAACAGGCTTTTACCAAACTCGATGATTTAAGTAGGTTACTACACTCTTCGTATTTTTAGCTCCTTTCATTTATCCCGACATAAGTTTATTTTTAAATACTCTATAATGATTCTATTGGAGTTTATAAAAGTAGAGGATAAATACTTTGAGAGTAGATAAAATTGAAAATGATTGTATTGGGATTTAATAAAGCGGGTATGTCAAGATTACGGATAAGACATACCCTCTATCCTTGGAGTTATGAGATATACGGATACGGTATATCTACAAGTATAGGGAAAGAATCTGTTTAAGTTAGGAAATAGTATTCACAAAAGGAGAAATAACAGAGTCCTACTCGAAGAAAATTAGGATACTGCTTTGTCGTACAGGGCCTGTTGTCTCCGAGTTCTACTTAGAGACTAAGCTGATCTACGGTATAAATACAAGCCCCCGGGGTACAGGGCATCGAATCTTAGTGCAAGACACCCGCCACTACAGATGCAATCTAGAGGACTTGAAGCCTACTCAGCAATAGATCTCGTCGAGCCCCTCTCGACAAGGATCTCGTCGGTAATCTCGGAGTTCAGTTGTTCCTTTTTTACTATGTTGTTTCTTCCACAATCCCATATAAAATGGATTAGGACAATTATCTTACGAGGGGTCTAAACCAGTATCGTGTAGATTCTTGTACCAACGTACCCCAATATGCTTCGAATACGGTTCACGGGTATCCCCATCAACAGGGTGTACTCTAGTCTTTTTGGTTTTGTATTTGTACAAATGGGATGGGTGAAAAATAAATTTATTTTGGCACGGAAAGAGAGTACAAGATAAGGAGAACAGCATTAAGAAAAAGCAAAGAAAAAAGAAAAGTAGGATAACAAAGGGAAATGATCGTAGTCATGACTCATGAATAGGGGTAAAAATGGTTAAAAACACAACCAATCATTTCCATAATAATAATTTTTTTCAGGTGGCACATGGATAATTTCTTTGGCCAATGGAACGAGGAGCTCCTTATTAATGACACGAGGTTTTGGCCCTAAGAGGAACGTTCTTTCTGCGGAGGAGAAATTTACGCAATTTTGTCAAAATTTCTTCAGAAACTGAGAGGCCCAGCGTGAAACAAACCAACAGAGGAAAAATTCAGCATCAGCTCAATGGCCCATATCGCTCTGGTCGGGCCAGGCCAGATCCATCTCCACCTACAGACCGGCCCACGATTGCGCCATCCCTTGGGCCGTCTCCTAGATCAACTACCACCAGGCCCATTCACTTGGACTTTGCGCCATTGCGATTTCATTTTTTTTTTCGAATATCGTTCAAACAGTTTTACATTGACTCGGATTTGGCGCGACGCGAAGTACTCCCTCCGTTCGATAATGTAGCAATCTATAATGGAACGAAACCTATCCTTAAACTACGAATCTGAACATAACTATTCTAGGTTACTATATTATATTATTGGATGGAGGGAATACAACATCGTGGAAATATGCTCCGCGCCATGCTCGACGAGGTGATAGTCCAGTCTCCCCTGACGCCCGTGTCGCCGAGGCTGCAGGCTACCACCGATCTCACACGGGAGTCGGGACGTCGGCACGTGCTCTGAGGAGCCACGAGTCGGAGCGCGTCCATGGCCTCGATGCCGGCATAGTCCGCCGGTGGAGGGCGTCCGTGAATGGCCGAGCTCCTCAATGCCGCGGCCACCATGGAGAAGTTGTCTGAGGTGCTCGAACACAACGACGAGATTGAGCCACTTAGTTAGGAAACGAAAGGTAAATAAACGATGAAAAACAATAGATTAATCACATAAGACACGAGATTTAACGTAGAAAATCCTCTCAAAACAAGAGAGAAAAAACCACGGGCACCAGCCAGCAAAATACCTTCACTATATCGGGATAAGATTACAACGTTGAACATAGATACAGTTAATCGAACCTAGATATCCAGTATTTGTTACTGAAGTAAATATTGCATTAAGGGTCCCTTTGAAATGGAGGATTAGCAAAGGAATTTTGGAGGATTCATTTTCCTAAGGATTTTTTCCTATAGAGCCCTTTGATTCATAGGAAGAGGATAGGAAAACTTCCATAGTATTGCATTCCTATGATCAATTCCATAGGAAAATAAGCAAGAGGTTAGACCTCTTGTGAAACTTTCCTTTGTTGAGTGTATCCTGTGGTGTAATCGAAGGGCTCTTCTCTTTATTTCCTATGTTTTCAATTTCTGTAGGATTGGAAAAACATACAACTTCAATTCCTACGTTTTTTCTATTCCTGTGTTTTTCCTATCCTGCGTTTCAAAGGAGCCCTAAGAGTAATATAGGTCAAATACTCCTTCTGGTTTCAAATAACTGTAGCAATTAATTAGGGCATGTTCGTCTAGATGAAGATAAAGGTTTTTTAGTGCACGTAAAATGAAACAATCCATTAGTATATAATGGTTAGTCGAGTATTAATTATTATAAATTTTAAAAATAGATTTGTTTGTTATTTTAGAGCATTTTTTTATAGAAAGTTTTTATGCAAAACACATGGGTAGTATTTATACAGAAGTATTTTCTTAGAAAAATAAGCGGTCAAAGTTTAAAAATTACGAGTATGTAGAGCATTTCGGTGCTACTCTCTGTAAAATATAGCAATCTAGAATTGAATAAGACATATCTTTATTACAACGAATTTAAATATAGCAATATATAAATTTACAATTCATTATATTAGAATATGTCATATGTCCACTCTAGTTCTAGATTACTTTATACTGGTAAGGAGAGAGTACAAGTTCCAGTCAAGAACTTCATCATCAAATCGACCTCCCCCACACCTCACCTCATGCTCAGTCCACTCCTTGAGCAGTTTGAGTCACCCGTGCATAGCACATGCAGTCAACACCTCACACACACACACCCACGGAGCAGTCTCGCCAAGGCCAAGTACACAAGCAATGCGTGGTGGAGCCGTGGACACTGCGCTGCATCAGTGCATCGCATCGCAAGAACCAAAGCAGAGCTCTCGGTTTCGGTTCTCTTCTCACACGCGCGCGCACGGCGCGCACACACATGTTGCAATGGTCAAAGCGTCAAGATTCAAGAACCTGATCATTTCTGGGTTTTTGTCATCACACCGCATCGGCACTGACAGGCATCAGACCGTCAGAGGAGACGCCCTGCACAGGAACACATCGATTTCCTGCTTGGCCCTGCAGAAGAAACTCATCGATCACACATCTTCAGAGCCATGGAAGGCAGATATTGGACTTGGAGTACTTGGAAATGATGAAGCAGTCAAGCTGACCACCAAGGAAGCATTTGCAAGCAAAGTGAAGAAGGAAGAGGGCAATGCAACATGGTCAGGCATGGAAGCTACTGCCTCCGTCAAAAAAAAAAAAAAAAAGACAAACCCTGGTTTCCGTGCCAAACGTTTAACCGTCCGTCTTATTTTAAAAAATTATAAAAAAAATTAAAAAGACAAGTCACGCATAAAATATTAACCATGTTTTATCATCTAACAACAATGAAAATACGAATTATAAAAAAATTTCATATAAGACAGACAGTCAAAGTTGGACACAGAAACCCAGGGTTTGCCTTTTTTTTGGGACGGAGGAAGTAGGCTACAGAGAGATAAAGAGCATGTTTAAATCCCCTAACAAATTTTTACATCCTGTCACATCGAATATTTAGACACATGCATGGAGTATTAAATATAAACGAAAAAAATAACTACTTCCTCCGTCCTGAAATATAAGCATTTTTGGACCTCGTCACAGTCTTTGAGATGCTACTTTGACCAACAATATCTACAAAAATAAAATGTTATAAATAAAAAGAGTCGTATATTATAGTAGTTTGATTAATGATAAAACTAGTAACATCAATTTTATATGATTGATTTTTTTTATTTTATTACTATTAATAGTCAAAGTTAAAAAGGTTGACTTCACACTATGCTAAAAATGCTTATATTCTGGGACGAAGGGAGTAATTACACAGATTGTGTGTAATGTGAGACGAATCTTTTAAGTCTAGTTACGCCATGATTTCACAATGTGGTCCTCTCTTTTTCCAACTCGGATTTACCATTGGCTACTAATAACGGATTAATTAGGCTTAATAAATTCATCTCACAGTTTACTGACAGATTCTGTATTTTTTTTTGTTATTAGATTACACTTAATAATTTAAATGTGTGTCTGTATATCCGATGTGACACGCCAAAATTTTACAAACTTGGTCTAAACAAAGCCAAAGCTGCAGAATCTTGCAGTCAATCTTATGCCCACTGCTCCTTCCCTTCTCATGTTCATGTTCCCCCTCTCTCTCCCTTCCATGGCTGGCCTAGCCGCCTAGCTAGCTCAGCCTCGATCCAATTCCCAAGCTCAAATCAGAGTGAGAGAGACCTGTAAAGGCCAAAGGGAATAAAAGAGAGAGAGAACAAAAACGGACACCATAACTGACGCTGCTTCCTTCCTTTATCAAGGGTACACTTGGTTCTTTGTGGTTTGACCCACCAGTAGCTTTGCTTGGACAGTTTCTTGGTGGGCCAATTGCTCTGTGGTTTTTAAACCCTCCTTCAAACACTGTTTGCTCAAGCTTAGGCTTTTTTGGTGGTTATATCATGACATTTTTTTAGCTAACTCTGCCGTTACTTTAGACTGTGTACTGTAAGAGCAAGTTTAATAGTATAGACAACTACTAGGTCCAAATCATTTATAACAAATGTAATAGTTATTTCATACAATAGTTGCTTACTATGCTATTAATGCATGGCCCTACCTGTCATACACACATTACGTTTTGAAGTCCGTGCTACAGCTAGCTATAGATTTGTAGTTCACTGCTCTTCTCTCTTATACTTTATCTCTTTAAAATATGTTTATAGCTAGTTTATAGCATGCTATTATACCTGCTCTAAAGCTGTCCGTGCTACAGCTAGCTATAGATCTGTAGTTCACTGCTCTTCTCTCTTATACTTTATCTCTTTAAAATATGTTTATAGCTAGTTTATAGCCTGCTATTATATCTGCTCTAAAGCTGCGTCTCTCTTTAAGCCTCTCTCGTTTCACAGTGGAACAGGTAAAGACTAGAGAGTTATATGCTGACGGTATGTTTCAGCTAAAAGGGTTGTTCTAATAAAAGATAATTTAGTAAGAAGGATTTTGATATGGTAATACTAAATGTTGTTTTTTATGCATGATGAAATTATCCATTATTTATTCTTAATTTGTTTGTTATTTTTCTAAAATTTCTTTGGATAATTATGTTTGTTACTTTTGATCTGAAGATATTAAATAGTTTTACTCATCTGTTTAGAAGTTGGTTTGAATGTATTAAAAGATATATTTTACTCGGAGTATCTACTTTATGCATGGCTATATAGTTTAGTAGGAATGATTTTTTTTCTTTTATAAAACTACATCTAAATCCTATATATTGGCTTCGGTTTTGAGCCAAGTTACAAAGGTGTGATAAGGACAATCAATTAATTTATTTTTGCATGCCAAAAATTAGAGACAACAATCATGCACATATTTGTCAACTTTGGAGATATAGAATTGAGTTTTGAATAAGTTGTATCTCTTCATTTTAATGGCTAAATTGTCTTTTCGTCATTATTTATTAGATACTACTTTTGGCTCATGTGTGTCAAAGACAATATAATAAGTGGCTATAACTTCTATTGAATGGATTTTTCCATTATAAAAAAATGTTTGTTTGAGCTTTAGGGCCTGTTTGGGGAGCTTAAGATTATAAGAAGCAGCTGATTGGTAGCCAGCTTATGAGAATCTAGAAAAGCTAGGTTTTCCAGCTTCTGAGTTCTAGTTCATTTTCTGAATTCTACAGCTACAGCTTATCAGAATCTAGATCAAAAACTGAACTGTTTGGGAAGCCTATGATTCTGAGAGAAGCTACAATAGCTAGATGCTCCCCTAAACATGCCCTTAGACATAGCCAACTTTAAAATTTTTACTTATTGTCCTAAAATATAGTAATAACTTCACGAGTCAGGCATAAGTACATGGAAATTAAATAGAATAATGTTATAATTAGTTAAAAAGAGAATGTAGACTAATATATTAAATGAGATATTGTTGTGATTGGTTAAGATAAAAGAGCAAGTGTGCTAGGAGTATTATATTCTGGATAAATTTTGAAGGGAGTAGTACTTGATTATAGGTTTCTTTGGAACAATAGAAACTAAAAATTATAGGAATAGAAAAAACACATGATTAAAAAAGAAATATATATATGAAAATTAAGACTGTATGGTGATATATTAGATAGAGAAGGGAGAGAGAAGTTGCATGGGAAACTCTTAAAAGAATATGAAAACATAAGGTTAGACCTTATGCTCGAATTCATCTAAAATGTGAAGGTTTTTTTCCTACCTTTGAAATTCATTTGAATCAAATCTAAAAACCAAATGACCTACATAAAAACTATTCCTTTGGATTGAATTTCTCTAATTTTCCAAAAAAAGAATCCTTGGATCCGTAGAAGTACAAGCGGTTTTTTCATCTTTTTCTATCCAGTCTTGACTTTTAGACTAGTAGTACAATTTTGCATAACATTTTTATCCTAAAATTATTTTTAGTTACATGGTTAGTGCCTTCTGCTTTTAAACCTGAAAAAAAATGTGTAGTGCAAACTTCGTGTGTAATGCATACCTAGAAACTGTTGTAGGAAAGTTACTCATAGTAAAAATTTACTCATAATAACATGGATAAATCCCAGACGAATATTTTTATCCTAAGATAGTCTTTGGTTTGTATTATATAGACATACACGGAGTTCATTTCCCTTTAAACCTTTACCCAATAAACACCTTCTATAGAAGTTGGAAGTTTGCTAGCAGTCTATCAAGTTTCACACTGTCATGTGTGTGATCCTTTCTCTCTGATAGTCTGACCAGTGCTAAAAGTGAAAAGAAAAGGGAAAGAAGAGAAGGATGCTGGGTTCAGTGGGTTCCATGCACATGCAAAAGCCTAGCCTTTGGAAGTTACAATGGCAGGCTGCTGCTTCTTTAGAAAACATCCAGGCTATGGTGCTTTGCTGCAAGCAAGATGCTGCTGAATCGAACTTTTCTGTTTTCTAGTAAAAATAGCCATATAAAACCAGGCCAAAGAAGGAAATGAAAACACAAGATATGGTCAATTGAAATTCAAGTAGAACTGACCAATGATCAAAGCAAATTGAACTTAATGTACACCATATTATACAAAGGATAAATCAAGCAGATCATCACCTAGTCCCGTCTGAAGGAGCTGGGGCAAGGTTTTTGGAGGAATTATTTCAGTTCTTATTGAAGATAGAAAAAAAAGTATTTCAAACATAACCTTTGAATTTAATTTTCATACCATTCGAATGGAGGGCGAGAGTTCAATCCTGAGATGGGTAATAGTGGGATGGTGTGAGGAGAGAGAAACACAAAATATGGCGTGCGATCATGTCAGATGGAGGAGACACTACTTTTGGTGCTCGAGATGGCATGTTTGCGGGTTTTTCGCTCAGACGTGCTATCTTCTGGATGGCATTCGTGATAGCTTGACTGTTGTTGGAGATGCTTTTATGTACGTTACAAATGCGAGCAAATATATATCAATTCTTTTTAGAAAAAAGAGTGAAGGCATTAATACTTCAACGTTCTCGAATAAATGACACTGGCACATTCATGTTTGAACTTTCATCACTCATCTTTTTTGAAAAAAAGAGAAGAGAAATACTTAAAAAAAATATTCTACATTATCGAATTGTTTAGCGTCGTAAATGTAATCAAACAACTTTCATTCACTTTAATGTAATTACTAAAGGTATTTTGTGATCATTAAAGGAAATTTGTGATCAAAGTGAGACGGCTATAGTAAACAGTAATATTTATTCGAGAACAAAGGGAAATTTAAGATACCATCTTTGTCGGACAAAAACAATCTCGAGTGTATACATCTGATCTGTTTTCTCTCTACATATGCTAGATGGAATTTATCCTTACATAAAAATCTACATTGTCACTTTCTTTAGGATTTCTTTTTGACTAATTGAATGGCATATACAAACACGAGAGCATGTGTAAACAAACTGTCTAAAACGTCCAACAAGTATAAACAAAAGCAAATTGGAATCGGATATGACTGCCACGAGGCAAGTAAATGGAATAAGAGAAGATAATTGAGTTTTTCCCTAATTTAGCTTAAGATAAAAACAAAACACAACCCACAAGCATTAACCAAGATTTTGAAACTAGAAAAAGTTGGAACATTAGCCTCAAATTATCACACAAAATGCTTGGGCTAACTGATCGATGCACCTCACCACCCTTTGAATTCTACTGATATCTTAACTCGAGCTTAATTTGCTTCCTTGAGGTCACACACCATTTCCCATATTTTCTCCACAATAAAATCACAATGAAAAGGTGAAACAAAATTACAAGACTAGCCCAAGAAGAGCATTTTCCGCTAATCAATTGCACGAACTCGCGAAAAACCTAGCTTCCCTAGAGATTGTTAGGTTGAAGAACGCCATGGATGATTCAGCTCAGATCATGATCATACGCCGCCTGCCCAGGCGTATGGCGGCGAGCGGTGGTCGGGGTAGGTCGCGGGCATGGCTTGAGGGTGGTGCGAGGATGGCGGCAATGGCAGCTGCTGCTGTTGCACTTCTTGCGGCGCCGAGGTGGACGTGGCGGCGGCGGCGGCGGAGGAGAGGTCGGGCTTGACGTCGGCGACGTCGGCGGCGTCGGCGAGCGGGAGGCGCTCGTAGACGGCGTTGGCGAAGGTGGCGGCGAAGAGGGTGACGGGGCCGGCGGCGACGAGGGGCCCCACGACGCAGCCGCCGACGACCTGGCCCTGGCCGGCGGAGAGCAGCACGGAGAGGCCGGACGCGCCGGGCGGCGCGGGGGGCGGGAGCACGGTGCCCGTTACGGAGAGGAGCTCGAACCTTCCCGGGAGCGGCGCCGCCGCGCCGCGCACGGCGACGTCCGCGACGGCGCCCGACGCGCCCATCAGGCACACCCCGCGCCCGCGCCGCCGCGCGTACTCCGCGACGCACGCCGCCACGTCGGCCCCCGGCGCCACCTCGATGATGTGGGAGTGGAGCGCGTCGGGGCTGTCCCGCGTGATGATCACCGGCGGCTTCGGCTTGTTCTTCGACCCCAGCGGCCTCCCCCTCGGCCGCCGCAGCGGCACGATGGCCCCCGCCGCCGCCTGCTGCTTGCTCTCCGGCGACGCGGCCCCCGCCGGAGCCGCCGCCGGAACGTTCACCGGCGGCGGCGGAGGCGGGAAGTCGAGGGCCGCTTGCCACCACTTGTTGTTGCTGGCGGCCATGCACGTATCGATCAGCTTCTCGCGCTCTCGCTGCTCTGGCGTCGCCGGTCAGATCTCGAAGGCGATGGCTATAGAGATAGAGTGTAGAGAGAGAGAGAGAGAAGAAAGAGTGAGAGATGGGAGATGGGGTTGGGTCGTCTCGTCTTGGCTGGCTTTGCTGTTGCTGCTGCTTTGGTGCGGCTGTTTCGGGTTGGGGTTGCCCTTTTGCTTGCTAAGTTGTAACCATGAGAGAGAGAAGCATATGGAGGGGAGGGGAGGGTCGCGACGGGGGCGTGGACAGGTGGAGGGCGGTGTGGTGTCCAGTGCAGCAGTTCGCTGCTGCAGTCGCGGGACACCGGATACGTGTCGCCGGAGGCAGACACCGTCCCGTCGGCTCGGCGCCAACCTGTAAACGAAACGACGTCGTCTCCATCCGCCCCCCCGCGTACGTTTCCGGCGACCCTTTTTCACCACCCGACGCAGAAACCGCCGAGAATTGTTCGTTTTACATCTTTATACGGATCGACGAGTTAACTTTGGGGCTGTTCTGATTGAGGCTGTGTTTAAATTAGGGGGTAAAAAGTTTTGGTGTGTAACATCAGATATATGAACACACATTCAAAATATTAAACGTAGATTAATAATGAAAAAAATTATAGAATCTGCCTGTAAATTTTAAGATGAATTTATTAAGCCTAATTTATCTGTCATTAGCAAATGTATACTGTAGCACCACATTGTTAGATTATGGAGCAATTAGGCTTAAAAGATTCATGTCGCAATTTACACGCAATATGTGTAATTAGTTTTTTTTTTTGCATATATTTAATATTACATGCAGCATGTGTCCAAACATTCAATGTGACATGGTGAAAAATTTTGCTAGGGGATCCAGACCATGATACCATTTTTCCACCATATTATTTTTTGGGTAAAGTTGCTAAAGAGTATCTATATTTGGTTTGTTGTCAAACTTTGGTAAATAAATAAGTAATCCTATCAAAATTTTAGTAATATTGCTAACTTACCATGATTTTGACATTAACAAAATTTTGTAAGGTTTATTTTGGCTATAATCTAAACAGCCCATTTATTTTCCTTTCAAAAAGAAAAAAAAACAACCTTGTTGTGCATTAATGGTTATAGGTAGATCTCTATTTTTTTCTTTCAAAACATCATATGGAGGTACCCTCCATCACATAATAAATTAATCTAGTACCGTTCGAAGTAGACGCTAGTACAGAACACATACACTCACTCCAAATTCTCATTGTTATAAAAGTTACGATATAGCAGAACGATGGTTAAACTTCTCGATCGCTCCCCAGACACGTCAGATGACGATATAGGAACACATGATTTTATTAACGAAGTTCAGACAAAACCTACATCTCTGGAGCTAGATTAACACTTTGTTGTACATTATATATTTTACAGGAATTTTACGCTGAACAGTTCGATTTAAGTGATTTAACCATAGTGTAGAGAGTTCCTTGGTTTAGAGGGTGAGTAGGACAGATATATCTGATTTGATGGATATGGTTAGTGATCTGTCTGGGATGGACGGAGCTAAAATACGTACAAACCTGTCAAACTGACCGCAAATGATGCTAATCCTCTGTACCTGACCTTGCATTCTGCATCTCTTGGCCTATAATAATACGAGGTCCTAAAATATGATTATCCTTCTCGTTAATCTATTATTGAGTGCAAGTGGCTCTTAGTCAACTGGTTGATCCAGGTTTCAAACTATTCAGGCCGCGACAACCAATCTCTATCTAGCTATTGCAATTTTGTTATACTCGAATTGAGTTCACAGAATTATTACTCCATAATATAATAAATCAATCATTTTGTAGTTTACACACAGCGACAAGATTTTACTTGCACCAATCAGATGATAGTCTATCTGATAGTACTATGATTCAATGGTACTATCAGAATGCAATCCGCTGCAACAATCATAATGTTCAGCTGCCTTGTTCCCTGCAGTCTTCAGTTGATGGTTACAAAATCAATAACTACCTGCTGCTGGAATTGGACAAAATTAACAGCGACTGTAATCAGCTGGCTGGGTTAATGGCTTAATGACTTCATGGAAAATAAATTAAAGATATTCAGGCCACTGATCTATGCTTGACCGTTCAATGCGTGTTTATTGAAGAACTGGTCCGGAATATCGGCGTCTGATCATATGACTTTTCCATATTATCTTCAGGTATAGTCTATCTATCCCTGCTCATAGATAATGACCCTAGTTTGTTGCCCTATCAGGAAGGCCGTACGTTGCAAACATCCACAAGATAATAGTAACATTTATGGAGTACGAACACTTAAAAAATCTGAACATATAGCATCTAGATTATGACTGGTTTAGATATCTTCAAAAAAATATGCTTTCTTAAAAAATAATTTCTTAAACCACTTGTTTTATCATGATAATACTCCCCTGTCTTAGACAAAACTATTTTTAGAGTCCAATATAGACATTCTCGATGTCCAGAGTCGAACTTATCAAAAGTTCAATATTTTTTTTCTAAAACAGATAGAATATTGTTAAGTTTTTTTTAAAAAATATTTAATTTGTCTATACCATCGACTAGATAATTTGTAGTAATAATGCACTCAATAATCTAAATCAAACTGCGCCTTAGACCCTATTTAGAAATCAGAACAGAAAAGTTTTTTTTTCTGTATATGCTGAAACGAGAACCACCAATTCCACACCCAAAAAAAATAAAAATATTAGAAAGTGCTTAATTTCATAGAACTTTGATGCCTTCCTTGAAACAGAGAATTACTGCAAAAGCTAAACTGGTATGATGTGCTTAATATCTTAAAATGCATGAGTTCCAAAAAGGAAAAAAAAAACCCTTGATCAAATTGAACCATCCTGCATCCTGGAATCTGGACCATGCCAAGCATGCCCTTTTCAGCTTTCACCCACACCACACCATGTCACCACCATGCACACACAGCTAGCAGCTAAACCACTTCACAACTCCACTCTTAATTAACCTTTCTTCTCACACAGCTGTACACACACAACCAAAATCTTTAAATTAATCAGCCTCATAACATGCCAATCATCCCTAGCCCTTCGAACTCGGCGACAAACAGATCGAGTCACCCCCGGGCAGGGGAGATTAAACCCTTAATTAATCCCCATGGCTAACGCCTAAACCCTCCAACGTGTCGTGTAATCGCGTGTATTATAGTAGGCGGCAGCGGCGCCGTGCCGTGCCGCGAGGGTGAACGCCCATGTGCGCGAGCGAGCCAGCCCGATGCGATCGAGAGAGAGAGATTAGATTAGCGACAAAATCATCATGGCCATGGCCGCCTCGGAAAGCGTTTTCCAGGGCCCTAATCCATCCTGTGTTGCTGTCACAGCTTGGGGGGTGTTGTTCTTGGATTAGTTTAATTGATCTGCTGCGTGATTGAAAGCTAATTAAGCTGTGGTTGAAGTGGTGCCCCATCAGGGCTTTTGTGCCGACCAGTGTGTGTGTGTGTGTGTGTGTGACAATGTGAGGTGATCTCTGATCGATCTTAGGTGGATCTGGCCCCTTTTGCAACCTCTGTCAGAGTTGGCCATTTGGCATTAGCTGGGAGCACAAGACAAGGTATCTTTGGTGATGTACTAGTATTAGCTTGGTGTACTTGCGTGATGAGTTTTATTTGGGGACCTAGTCCGAGAGTCTGGACGAGTATTCATTCCAGACCTGGGTCGCCATCGGTTCCCCTAATGCAGATTATAAGCCATATGGCTTACTAGAGAAAAACCATTAGTGAAATACTTATATATGTGTTCTATGAGATTTAAAAACTTATCAATGTTGTACAATAAGGTATGGTGAAAAGTCACAAAATAAATTTAAGTTTTAAATTTTAACCTTTTTAGTAGCAATTTATAAGTTGTAGGACAAATAATGGGAGCCTTGAAGTTACAACTTCGGTCTGCCTTTTGCAAGTTCAAGAAGTGATACACATGTAAATAAACTAATCTGCTTACAAACTATATAGGTACATTGCAAAAGAATCAAAAGCACACAGATAATGCAGAAATCTAACATATATCCTAAATCTAAGTGCACAACCTAAATAATCTAGCTGCTTTTGACGACTCCGACATACGGCAATTCAACATTTCCCATGTATATTTTGCCATCCTTCCTCTCCATCACTTCGGTTGGCCTCAAGCTCTTTGGTCCTCTCATCTGTTGAACCAGCTTCCCACCAGCACTAACCCTCATAGCAACCAAGTGACTATCCGGACCAAAGGGAAGCTCATACTTCTCGCGATGAAGCGCTATCCAATAACCACCTTTTCCATCAGGCCTCACATTATCAGGATAGCCTGGCAGGTCAACAAATGGTTCAGATTTGCCAGTCTTCGGGCCTCGGATCCAATGCCTCATCAACTTACATGGCCCGGTCAATGCAACGATCAGATGTGTTCGGTCAGCGCTCATGGCGACACCGTTCGGGTAGGTTATGTTGGATTGAAGAACGGTGACTTGGTTAGTTCGTGGGTCATACTTCATGAGCCGTCCGGTCGAATCCTTGGTCGCCGTGACTTGCTCGTGCTGAGATCGTTGGTAGTTCATGCTGCTGTCGGTGAAATAAACATCTCCGGTAACCTGATCAATGTCCACCCCATTGGTGAAGCGAAGTGGCACGCCATCAGCCTTCATGGCTAGCACGGTTGCCTCCCCGCCTTTTGGACCAACTCGCATCAATCCCATGTAGGCGTCGGCGATGTACAGGTTGCCGGTTTTGTAGTGAAACCGTAGGCCTAACGGGCGGCCGCATTTGCTCTCGGTCTGGACCGTGGGGAGAGTCGATGCCGCGCACTTGTTTTTCGTGTAGCTGGGGCTGTACGTGTAGGTGCTCCAGCCAGCGGCCTCGCCGTTCCACCTCATGATGCGGCCGTCGGAGACGCCGCTGTACGGGCCGCGGCCTTTGCCGTCGAACGCGACGCTCTCCGGGCCGACCAGTGATCCGCCGAGGTCCAGATGCTGGCTCCGCCGGGCGTCAATGGTCTTGAACATTCTCGTTGTGGCTGTGGCGGCGGCAGTAGGGGACGGCGAGAGCAGCACGAGGAAGACAATGAGCGCGAACGCCGCCGCGGTCGCCGCTTGCCTCGCCGTGCTTCTCATGGCTGTAGCCTGTAGGAGCTCGGCCGTGTACGCGCGCTGTCTCAGTCTGATCAGTTGGCTGCACTGCACGTACGCTTGGCTCTCGTGCTGGTGCTCTCGTTCGCTGCAGCTGCAGGCTTTGGTTTGGTTGAGAGATTGGAGGAGCAGCGTGGTGCTTATATAGTAATATGCGGCTGGGTTTTGTCAGCCAGGTCCGAATCGGAGCTCGGCCGCGGGGTGACCTGCGATCCGAGCTCGATCGATCGCAAGGTATGTTCGCTCGATTCGGACTCCGAGTTTTGAGAGATTCCGAGTCGGGAGAGGCCCGGTTGCAGAGGGTTGACAGGCCAGATGATAATGGACTGTTGGGCCGGACCGGGCTCGGTTTATTGGAACATGGACCTGCGGACTCCGAAGCCCATCTCTCAGAATTCAGTTATTCAGCACAATCCGTTGCAGTCTTGCAGAAGTCCAATTTCTATGGAAGTATATAGTTTCTCGTTAACTTTTCTTAGCATACATAACAAAACTCATGTACCATGAACTCATGTATAACAAATCTATTATTGTAAAAGTGTGGTCTGACAATATTATGCAACATGGTTGTCGGTTACAATACTCTTGTCTATAACAGCGTTGTTGGAAAAATAGGTCACCGACTAGGCTATCACCTACTTAATAAATAATACCCTAAGCTGTTGGATTTCATTTGAGCTGTTGTAAAAAACTGCAAATTCATAGAGATGGTACAGTCGTTGACACTAGATTGCAAATTTGTACTCTTTCCGTCCGATAAAAAAATCAATCTAGCACTAGATTTTATACATCTTAGTACAACGAATCTAGATAGATATTTGTCTAGATTTATTGTACTAAGAAGTACCATATTCAGTTTTAAATTTGTTTTTTTTACGGAGGGAGTACTGAGGAAGGACTTGGGATGGCTAGCCTCCACACCTTGCTAAACTTGGTTAGTTGACTGCAACTTTTAGCTAACGAGATAGCTAGCCTGGACCCATTTTTTAATGTTGGCTACAATTTGATATTATGGTTTTTTTTCTTACATAATAGAAAAGGGCTATATCTCCGGCCTCTGCTCATGGACACACATCCAACAAGTCTTAGAAGAACTTAAAAAAGATGTGATGGGACAAACCCCCCAACTCCCGCCCGCCAATAAAAGGGTCAACTGAAATAACGTTTTCAAAATTACGTAGATTCTAGCACGAAATTCTGTAGGTACTGTACCATCCAAATTGGAATAAAAGCTCCTTGGCTACCAATTCTAAACATGTAGCACCAATGCGCATAGTATCATGTTATTCCTATAAAACATCGTACCCAAGAATGGAGTAAATTGAAACACATGAAGATAACCTATAATGTTAGACAATTTCTTATGGTTAAAAAATTTATCATTACGGCAACGTCAGATTGACCAACAAAGCGCACTAGCTTCAAATGAAATTATTATTTTTTGGGCCTAGGCACTCCCTTTAGCCATGATACTCCCTCCGTCCCACAATATAAGGGATTTTGAGTTTTTGCTTGCAATGTTTGACCACTCGTTTTATTTAATTTTTTTTTTGCAAATATAAAAAACGAAAAGTTGTGCTTAAAGTACTGTGGATAATAAAGTAAGTCACAAATGAAATAAATAATAATTTCAAAATTTTTTGAATAAGACGAGTGGTCAAACATTAAAAGCAAAAATTCAAAATCCTTTATATTATGAGACGGAGGAGTATTATGCATTTGGTGACTACCCATAATTATTCTCTTTTTTTTTCTAGAACACAATAATTATGACGACCCACACTTCTCATTATGTGCCAACAATAATGCCGTACACTATAATGGGATCCGAAGAAATAGGAAATAATTACTTATGGGAGAAGGTGGGCATGTTTGGTTTTTTATGTTTGTTTTTTCCCTTTGTGCGCGGTATGGTGGGAGGGGATGTGCAGAGGGCGACTGTGTGAATAGGATGTGCAGACACTCCACATGTTAAATTTTAAGGCTGTGTTCGTTTCCACAAGAAACACGGAAAATGAAATATTCCATTAGCGCATAATTAATTAATTATTAGCTATTTTTTTAAATAAAGTGGATCAATATGATTTTTTAAACAACTTTTATATAGAAACTTTTTGAAAAAAAACGTACCGTTTAAAAGTTTGAAAAGTGTGTGCGTGGAAAACGAGGGAGAGGGGTTAGGAATCATGAGAAACGAACTCAGCCTAAGTCTCAAGTTTGTTTGTGGCTAGAAACCAAATAAACTTCATGGTTTTACTATTGGTCCTTTACATATTAAAGGTTTCTTCGAAACACGTGATTAAGAAAACGAAGGAATAAGAAAAAAAATATAGTTGTGCAATACAGAAAAAGAAAAGAAAAAAATAATCGTTTGATTGAACCATAAAAAAAACATTAGAATTGGATAAGAGAGATAGATCCATTCGAAACTTTTCATGAGACTGAATCTTATGTTAAAAAATCCTTCAAAACTTATGTGGATAGAGGGCATTTCTTAGAAATTTCATATGATCTAACAAATTGTTATTTCCAAGGATCATATAAAAAAAATCCAATATGATATGTTTTTACTTCGAATTAAAAATGGTCTAATTAGGGGTTCTCGAGATGTGAACCTGCAGTGCTATCCTTATCCTCTGTCCCAAATAATTATACTCGTCTCTATCCAGTTCAGTTTTTGAAAAAAAAAAAGATCACTATCCAGTCCCAATCAGCTGCTACAACATTTGTCAACTCTCACGTTCTGCACAGGCTCAATAACCAGTTTGTCTGGTGAGTTAATTAATCAGTGCTGCTCGAAGTAGACTAAAGGTGACATCGGCTGGCCAATTGCTGAAACTATATCGTTTAACGTATTAGCAGAAAAGATAATTTAGAATTTAAACTTTTACATACATATTCTTAATTATTTAAGCGTTAATATTAAAAAAGAAAACTACAATGAAACAAAACCTTTAAAATTAATCTCAAAATTAACTTGTATAAGACTTAAATTTTGATATCCATGCGACATAATATAGTAGAACTAGCACACTACCGGTAGACGGTAGTACTACAACTCTACAAGCCACAGACAGGAAACAGGATTTCTCCTCTTGGGTGACACTGACACGAGCTAACCGAAGTCTAGACGTCGTGCTGTAGCAGCAGTTGTACCATAGCAATGTTGGGCGGCGACGGGAGAACGAAGACGGTGTGCGTGACCGGCGCCGGGGGCTTCGTGGCGTCGTGGCTCGTCAAGCTCCTCCTCTCCCGCGGCTGCTACACCGTCCATGGCACCGTCCGTGATCCAGGTATACCCTCACTTCCTGGGATCTTTGACGAAATCGATCTCCTCCTTGCTGAGTTCTTGGATGAACCATTCAGAAATTTCCTTCTGATGCTGCTCAGAGATTTTGATATTTACGGCGTTCTGCTCTTGTTCTTGATTGATTGATTGGTGCGCGTGTGCTGGCGATTTTGTGCGAAGGCGACGCCAAGAACGCCCACCTGATGTCTCTGGACGGCGCCGCGGAGAGGCTGCGGCTGTTCAAGGCCGACCTGCTCGACTACGGCAGCGTGGCGGCGGCCATCGCCGGCTGCGACGACGTCTTCCATGTGGCCTGCCCCGTGCTCCTCTCCGCCCCCAACCCAGAGGCACACCTCTCTCTCTCTTTTTCAGCAAAACAATTCCTTCTCTTCTCCATTGACTTGTTCAAACTGTAGACTGCAGTTACTGAAAATCGACAAAATCAACAGTTTCTACTAGAAATGATTTGTTGAAACAGTTGATTTCTCAACAAGCAGTAGTAGCTGAAGTCTGCAGAGAGTTGTAAACCGTCATGTTCTTGTAGCTAATGAATTGATGTTGCTGTAGGTTGATATACTTGCTCCTGCTGTAACGGGCACGACGAATGTGCTGAAGGCTTGTTCAGAAGCTAAGGTTGGGAGGGTTGTGGTGGTGTCATCTGTCTCTGCTGCGATGGTGAATCCTAACTGGTCTGAGGGCAAGGCCATAGATGAAGATTGCTGGTCTGATGTCGATTACTGCAGAGCCACTAAGGTGATACCAACCAAACCAACACAAGGCTTATTGCTCATGTACTATATGCAATGAGATAAATGACTGAGGGGCCCCTTCGAATCGTAGGAATGAAAAAACAAAGGAAAAGGAAAAATATAGGATTTTGATAGGAATTTAATTGTAAAATAGAGAATTGCAATACACAGGAATGACCGTTTGATTAGACCGCAGGAAAAACACACGAATCGGATTAGAGAGATAGACTCAAAGGAAATATTCTAAGAGGTTGGAGCTCTTGCTAAGTTTCCTTCAAAATTTCTATAGGATTATCCGTTTCATAGGAATTTCAAATGATAGGATATGATTCAATCCTTTGTTTCAAATGCCTTCATAGGAAATTTTCCTATAGGATTAAAATCTTTCCAAAATTCCTATATTTTTCCTACAAATCAAAGGAGCCTTGAACTCTTGACAAGTACTTCCCCCGTTTCACAATGTAAGTCATTCTAGTATTTTCCACATTCATATTGATGTTAACGAATCTAGACATATATATAAGTCTAGATTCGTTAACATCAATATGAATATGAGAAATGCTAGAATGACTTACAATGTGAAACGGAGGGAGTAACAGATTTTGCTTGCAACATGATGTTGGATTTACTAGATAAGTATCCAAAAAAACTTACTATTAGAAATTACAAAGCAAATTTGCATGAATAAACATCTTGATAGTCAACGCTAGTTGGAATACTGTTTCTGTTAGTTCACTAGTTTTTGCTGTTGCTTAAATATTCGGTGCCTTGAGACTTTAGTCTGAGATGATTAATTCAAGTGAGCAATAGTGCAATACTTTGCCTTTTTTCTTCTTTACATATCTTGGTCATGTAGGCATATGGTTCTCATATGTTCCAATTTCGCTTGATACATCGGTTTGGCAGAATTGGTATACCCTTGGGAAAACACTTGCGGAGATTGAGGCCTTTGATTATGCGAAGAGAAGTGGATTGGATCTTGTGACACTCTGCCCATCGTTGGTGATTGGACCTTTGCTGCAACCAACTGTGAATGCGAGCAGTACAGTCATACTTGGATGTCTGAAAGGTTGAGCATTTTGCCTCACTTTGCTATGCTCCAGTGATTCATTATACTCCCTCCGTTTCAAAATGTTTGACACCGTTGACTTTTTAGCACGTGTTTGACCGTTCGTCTTATTCAAAAAAATTTGTGAAATATGTAAAACTATATGTGTACATGAAAGTATATTTAACAATGAATCAAATGATATGAAAAGAATAAATAATTACTTAAATTTTTTGAATAAAACGAACGGTCAAACACGTATTAAAAAGTCAACGGTGTCAAACATTTTGAAACGGAGGGAGTATAAATTATCTTTGTTTCTGTGGCTGCTTCAGATTGAGATCCATTTTATTATCTCTCGGCAGGTGATTGTGAGGTAAAAATCAAACTGAGGAACTTTGTGGATGTCAGGGATGTTGCCGATGCTCTTCTTTTACTGTATGAAACCCCAGGGGTCTCCGGACGATACATCTGCAGTTCACACGCAAGAAGGATGCCTCATATCATTGACTTACTAAAGAGCTGGTATCCCGGTTACAAATTTGCCGACAAGTGAGCCTCTGCTCTTGGGTTGAAATGTAGAATAGCGAAATCTTTCCTTCGTATGTATGAAGTATTGCACTTTGCATCTGTAGAACACGGCAATCGTTATGCTTTTGCTGCATTTTGAATTAGTAAAGTTTCCATATGAATTCTATGAAACCCCTACATTTCAATTACAGGTTTGTGGAAGTGAGCGATGAGCCGCAATTCAACTCGGGGAAGCTAGAGAAGCTAGGATGGAAAATCAAGCCATTTGAGGAAACACTCAGGGACAGTGTTGAATCTTATAGAGCTGCAGGTGTCCTGGATTGAGCAAATGGTGTCCTGTGTATATACCAACACAATTGAAGGAATTACCAACACATTGATCGGGTTCTAGGCTTAGTTTAATAGATCTACTACATAGGTGTTTGTTTTGATCGACCTTAATTGGATCTGGCCTCTTTGGCAACATCTGTATGTAAGAGCTGCCTATTTGGCAGCAGCTGGGAGTAGAAGATAAAATTATCTTTTGGTGATGGATTTGCGCTGAGAATTATGCCATTTATGCCCTGAACATGAGAGTGACTTGATGTACCTGTGTGATAAGCTTTATATGAGGCCTTACGGGAGAATCTGGATGCATAACCAGAGGAATGAAAATCACTAAAATGCACATGTAACCAAACTAATCTGCTTACAAATTACAGTACACAGCAAAGGAATCAAAAGTACACAAATTACGCATAGATCTTACACATGCTAAAACCTAAGGCATCGTTCGTTTAGGGGTGATAGGGGAGATTGGCTCTCTTTTTCCGCGCGCACGCTTTTCAAACTACTAAACGGTGCGTTTTTTGCAAAAAAATTTCTATATGAAAGTTGCTTTAAAAAATCATATTAATCCATTTTTAAAATTTAAAATAGTTAATACTCAATTAATTATGAGCTAGTGGCTCACCTCTTTTTACGTATCTTCCCAATCTCCTCAATCCACTTCTCCTCAAACACTCCCTAAGTGCACATCCTAAATAAATCTAGGTACTCTTCACGACTCCGACATACGGCATCTCAACATTTCCCATGTATATTTTACCATCCTTCCTCTCCCATCACTTCAGTTGGTCTCAGGCTCTTTGGTCCTCTCATCTGTTGCACCAGCTTCCCACCAGCACTAACCCTCATAGCAACCAAGTGATTGTCCGGACCAAAGGGGAGCTCATACTTCTCACGATGGAGGGCTACCCAATAACCACCTTTCCCATCAGGCCTCACATTATCAGGATAGCCTGGCAACTCGGCAAATGGTTCGGACTTACCAGCCTTTGAGCCTTGAATCCAATACCTCATCAACTTACATGGCCCCGTCAGTGCAACAATCAGATGTGTTCGGTCAACACCAATGGCGACACCGTTCGGGTAGGTTATGTTGGATTGAAGCACGGTGACTTGGTTGGTTCGTGGATCATACTTCATAAGCCGTCCCGTCGAGTCCTTGGTCGCCGTGACTTGCTCGTGCTGAGATCGTTGGTAGTTCATGCTGCTATCGGTGAAATAAACATCTCCGGTAACCTGATCAATGTCCACCCCATTGGTGAAGCGAAGTGGCACGCCATCAGCTTTCGTGGCTAAGACGGTTGCCTCCCCTCCTCCTGGCCCAACTCGCATCAATCCCATGTAGGCGTCGGCGATGTACAGGTTGCCGGTTTTGAAGTGAAACCGGAGGCCTAACGGACGGCCGCATTTGCTCTCGGTCTGAACCGTGGGGAGAGTCGATGCCGCGCACTTGTTGTTCGTGTAGCTGGGGCTGTACGTGTAGGTGCTCCAGCCAGCCGCCTCGCCGTTCCACCTCATGACGCGGCCGTCGGAGACGCCGCTGTATGGGCCGTGTCCCTTGCCGTCGAACGCGACGCTCTCCGGCCCGACGAGTGATCCGGTGAGGTCCAGATGCTGGCTCCGTCGGGCGTCAATGGTCTTGAACATTCTCGCTGTGGCGGCGGTGGCGGGGGACGGCGAGAACACCAGGACGACGATGAGCGCGAGCGCCGTCGCCGCCGCCGTTGGCCTCGCCGTGGTCCTCATGGTTGCACGATCGAGCTCGCGAGCTCGTGATCGTTGGCTGTTGGTGTTGGTTTTGGTTGGCTTTGGTGGAGGAGAAGCGTGGGGATTATATAGCTAGGCCGCGGCGCGCGCGTTGTGCCATTGCCAACAATGCCAAGCTCCGAGTCGGACAAGTTTTGAGTCGGAGAATCCGAGTAGGCAGGCAGCATGGCTCGCTTGACAGTCGACTCGGATTCGGGGCTCCCAGAGTTTGTCAGAGTTTGCCGAGTTAGAAGGCCCAGTGAAACTTTTCCTAGGCTAGTTTGGACAAGTAGCCAAGTAGGCCAGATGATAATGGGCTGGTTGGGCCGGATCAGCTCGGTTTGGGTGTTGTGACATGGGCCTGTAGAATCCGAAGCCCGCCTCAGAATTCAACACAAATTGGTCGGTGAAAATGGTTTTCTACGCATGATTAGCAAATGGATACACTGGCTCAGTTGGTTACCTCCCTTTCCAACATCTCTCCATTGTTTTCCAAGTGTACGCTTTCAAACTACTAAACGGTGTGTTTTTTGCAAAAAATTTATATACGAAAGTTGCTTTAAAAAGTCATATTAATCCTTTTTTAAAAAAAATTAGTAAATACTTAATTAATCATACAATAATATATGCTTTGTTTTGCGTGCTGGGGAGAAGGGTTCCCACCAGCTTAGTTCGTATGTAGTAGTTGGTTGCTCATTTTGGAAGTTGGGAATGTCTAGCACTCTAGCATTCTTGCTGGGGCCAAGGATGGCAAGGAACATGATTCGTATATGGATGAGAACTCAGATGCTTATAATTCTTTTTGTTCATTTGTATCTAGACATATCTCTGATCTCAGAGGCGGATCTAGTATGGGACAGTGAGGTCTTAAGCCCCAACCGATGGCGCGAGTACCATAGGAGCTCTCACAAAGTCCTAACTTTTTGCTATATATAGATAGGAAGGGGGCTCTAACTTTATCTAGTTTGTTTAAACTTCCCAGCTATCTCTTCCTATATCCACCACTATCTGATCCGTTTGTTCATTCCATGAGGTGTCGATTTCTTGTTTCTGACTAGCAGAACAGATATTACATTGCTATATGAATATATGTATTTTATAGCTTATTATAAAATTTTAAAATTTTATTTGACTTACTATACTTATAAGCTAAATTTTAAATTTTAAAACTTAATTATTTTATTTGACCTTTTGGTTTTTTTCATCATAATTTTTTTACAACATTTGCTTTTGAACCATAAAGGACACACATATAAAATTTTCGTTCACAAATTATTTTTTAAGTTGATAATAAGCAATTCAGATAAGTATATGCATAAGAAAAAGATAAGACTGGAAAAATTGAGTAAGGATCTTGGCCAGGCTGAAATTGAGCGAAGATTAAAATTCCAGGTCGTATTTTGCAGGATGGAAGCATAAAAACTTGTGTATTTGTGCAGTTCTCTCCCCGAAACACCATAATATATAATCAAATCTTGTATTGTTCTCATATTCCGGTGTGGCCAATAGGCAACATATCCTATGTACACAGGCCCTCACGTGTACACACGTGCACACCAATTAAAAAATGTCACCAAAAAATCTAGAAAAAATCATATATATATTTTCAATTGTATTACACCTAGGGTTAAAATCTTAACATCAAATTCATTATATTTTAGCCGTAACAAAAAAAAACAAAAAATCTGACAGTTTTAAGGTTGCAATTTTGTCAGAATTTTATCTTTTTTGTTATTCTCTATGTAGAATGAATTTGAAGATGCGACTTTATACGTAGATGTAATACTATTGAAAATACATGTATGAATTTTCCTAGAATTTTTTGTGATAATTTTTAGTTGGTGTACACGGTGTGTACACGCGAGGGCCTGTGTGCATAGGATATGCTCCCGTGGCCAATAATAATTTAGTACTGGAGTGTTTTACTTGATCTTGTTGTTGAGATTTTTTTTATATTGTTTAGTGTTTGGAAATGAATATCTGCAACGGTGCTCACAGATCTATGAGCACCGTTGCAGATATTCTAGAATAAGATACGATTGACTGCTTGTACATGGTTTATATGGCTGGTGTCTGTTGTCCGTCTTTACCATTGAAAAGAAAAAGACATAATACAACGGTGGAACAACAGCGCTTGATATGTTATTACCAAAATGTATAATACGAACATTGAACTTTTTGTCATTTTTTTTAGTAACATTTACAGTCAACAACGTTTACTCAGTATCCTTATATATAGTAGCAAAGTCATTTTGATGCCAATAAATATTCCTCATTTCTCGTATGTCATTTAAATTAAATAGGTATGACAAATTTTCACATGCAAGAAAGGATAAGAGAGATAGACTTAAAAGAAAAATTTTCAATAGGTAAAAACTCACGCTAACTCTTCTTTAAAATCTACGTGTATTGAGCCATTCCTTAGAAATTTCATAGGATTTGAGAAACTACAACTCTTTTTTTGAAAGGATTCATATAAGATTTGAATCTTGTAGAATTTCTCAACAAATCATTTGTTTCAAATAGGGCCTGAAGATGTCAGTTTGCCCTTTGCAGTATTGTTCTCTCCAATCAGTTACCACAACGTTTGACAACTGTCACATTTGGCGCGAGCTCAATAACGAAGTTTGAGAAATCACACATGTGCTCACATTTACTCCTATTTATTCTTTCAGTGGTAGGCGACATACCCGTCGACAGCGAGACGTCTATGGTGACTTCATCAATATAAAAATATGCCGACCGATTCCTTCGAAGGTGCTCATAGGGATAGGGTGTACGTGCGTTTTTAAGGGTGGGTGTGCGTGTGTTGCGTGTGTTCTAAGCACCTACGTTTCTAACTTTGTACTGTGTTTCTAAAAGAAAAGCTAGTGCACTACTGTAACAAATCAGATCAGTTCATACTGGTGAAGCCTGAAAGGTCCAAGCCGCAGGATCTTCTTCCCCTTTGGGTGACATTGACGCGAGCCCGCTGAAGTCTAGACGTTGTTGCAGTGCCAATTTGCCATTAGCACTGACCCAACATATCTGATCGTTGCGTGCATTGACCGATGCCGGAGGCTTTTGTGGCGTTGTGGGCTCGTTAGCTGCTGCATCCTGCATTTCAGCATTCACTGTAATTATCTGATCGCGCCAAGCTCGTTGGATTTGCTCAACGTCTGAAACTCTGAATCCTTGTTTAGAAAAAAAAAAAAACCTGTTGTATTGCACTTGTAACACTGAACTTCATTGAAACCCATCGATGATTTTCTGTTAGAAGACTCAGTCGTGTAAGTTCAGTTCTAAACGGGCTGGGCTTGTAATGGAGAGAGAAGCCGCCCAGTTAGGCCCACCAGGCCCATTTATCGTTATATTCCATGACAGGCCGGGCCCACGATCGGCTAAGTACACCCGAGTCCGAGTCGATCGAGTGCTCCGCTCGTCTTCTCCGATTCGGAAGCTGGCCATTGGCAACACGCCAAAACCCAGCAGTATATAATCACCACGCTGCTCCTCCACCAGCAGCGAACGAGCACGACTGCACGAGCACCAACCGTACGTGCAGCAACAGAGATCAAGCAGACGAGACGCGTGCACCAACGAGCTCTCCCTCCCCTGCAGCTAGCCATGAGGACCACGGCGAGGCCAACGGCGGCGGCGACGGCGCTCGCGCTCATCCTCGTCCTGGTGTTCTCGCCGTCCCCCGCCGCTGCCGCAGCGAGAATGTTCAAGACCATCGACGCCCGACGGAGCCAGCATCTGGACCTCGGCGGATCACTGGTCGGGCCAGAGAGCGTCGCGTTCGACGGCAAAGGCCGCGGCCCATACAGCGGCGTCTCCGACGGCCGCGTCATGAGGTGGAACGGCGAGGCGGCTGGCTGGAGCACCTACACGTACAGCCCCAGCTACACGAAAAACAAGTGCGCGGCATCGACTCTCCCCACGGTTCAAACCGAGAGCAAATGCGGCCGTTCGTTGGGCCTACGGTTTCACTTCAAAACCGGCAACCTGTACATCGCCGACGCCTACATGGGATTGATGCGAGTTGGGCCAGGAGGTGGTGAGGCAACAGTGCTAGCCACGAAGGCTGATGGCGTGCCACTTCGCTTCACCAATGGGGTGGACATTGATCAGGTTACCGGAGATGTGTATTTCACTGACAGCAGCATGAACTACCAACGATCTCAGCACGAGCAAGTCACGGCGACCAAGGATTCGACCGGACGGCTCATGAAGTATGACCCACGAACTAACCAAGTCACCGTTCTTCAATCCAACATAACCTACCCGAACGGTGTCGCCATTAGCGCTGACCGAACACATTTGATCGTTGCGTTGACCGGCCCATGTAAGTTGAGGTATTGGATTCGAGGTCCAAAGGTTGGTAAGTCCGAACCATTTGTCGACTTGCCAGGCTATCCTGATAATGTGAGGCCTGATGAGAAAGGTGGTTACTGGGTAGCGCTCCATCGTGAGAAGTATGAGCTTCCATTTGGTCCGGACAATCACTTGGTTGCAATGAGAGTTAGTGCTGGTGGAAAGCTGGTGCAACAGATGAGAGGACCAAAGAGCTTGAGACCAACTGAAGTGATGGAGAGGAAGGATGGCAAAATATACATGGGAAATGTTGAATTGCCATATGTCGGAGTCGTCAAGAGTATCTAGATGTAGCATTAATTTGTACTTATATCGTGCTAGATTTATGCATTATTTGTGTGATTTTGATTCCTTTGCCCGTGTATCATAATAGTAATATACAAGTGTATCAGTTTGTTTTTTTAATAATGGATTTTCAGTAATTCAGCCTCTATATCCACGAAGGATATACACAACAAAATGATACAAGAGTTCTTAAACTCACACCTCAACAAGGAGGAGAATACAACAAAAAAATGAAAAGAAAACCAAACGACCTCAGCACGTACATCATGCTTCTCTGCGTCCCGCCATATTCTCCTGAAACGGCCAGATTTGACGAGTGGAAGTCTACCAGTCGCGGCCACCCCTAGTACGCTGTCGATGCAAAACTCCATTGGTGCTAAATCAAAATCAAACAGATTCAAGAACCTAAATCAAACAGATTCTAAGGGCTCCATTCCAAAACCCCTTACAAATGAATCTTACAAAGTCCTTAAAATTACAATAGAATGGCTTGTTTCGAACGAATGAGGCTCAAAATTTCTATGCCTTTTCAGTGGTATTACCAAACAATTTTTTTAAAACAAAATCTTCTAGATTCATTTTTCTGTCGGATTCGTTGAAGCATGATATTTTACTCATGGCATTTTCATGTTTCTGTATTTTTCGGAATCATGTACTCCAAAGGATATATTCCTGAGTAGACCAAATTGTTTGTTTGGTTAATAATTTTGTAAATCTCACTAAAATTTTGATGATAGCAGTTTTTGGTGGCAAACTAAAATTTCATTTACTTAGGGGTAGCAGTTTGGATGGCTCGAAAGAGCATCGAACAGTAACCCAGATCCCAACAGTCACCATGCGAGGAAGGGCCGTCCCTAGGAGGCAACGAGCACGGCAGGGAGGGGGTGAGATCGAGAGGAAGAAAGTGAAGGAGAGAATTAAATTTGAAAATATGCTATTTATTTTTTCACAAATATTCGGGATGTAATTCTTTTAGTAAAAATACTAGCCACATGGTTGCGCTTTGCGCAACTCTAAATACATGTTTAAGAACCTGTGTCAATGGCATCCACCCATACACAAACACAATCATCTACGTGGCCAAGACCCCTAAGTAACAACTTGATCCTAAGCATTTATATTGTGATACGTAGTAGTACATTATAATGTACATGCCCACAAAAAATTTGATCCCAAATCTAATAAAATAACAAAAACAAATGTAGTAGCTTTGTGTTCTTCCACCAAATGCATGGTGGTACCGTGGTATTCACCTGGAAACATAAAAAATATAATCTTTTTAAGAGCAAATCATAGATTAGCAGGACCAGTTGATTTATGTTCTTCCACCAAATGCACGTTGGTATTCACCCACAAAAACAAAAAGTATGAAATTCTTATGAGCTAATCTCATATGAGAAGGACCAGTAAGGACATAGTCTCATGTAAAAATGATAGAAAGATATGCTCCTCAATTTGTACAATGATTAATGAGTACGGAGTACTACAGTATTACAGATATAGATAGGTGCCATATGATAATCCAATATCTAAAGCTCTGCCAAATATTCCAATAGCAGTATGCATGGTATTGCCTTTGGATTGATAAGAAATGCACCTAGGCCTATTAGGACAGTAAAGAATCTACGGGTTCGTGGAAATTACCATAATACCGTTAATTAAACTTCTAAGCAAGATTTATGGGTGGTGCATAATCACAAAGCTGGCAATTAACGTATTATAATTCTTTCTTGTAAATATGCCTTGTTTAATTTTAAACGAGAACCCATTCTTCCTGTCGACACATCATTCACACTTCTACACATACACAAAATATCATTGAAACTCATTGCTCTTATAGCTCAATTCTATGCTTGATCAAGTAGTCTAAGACATTTTACTGGCACTTGGAAAAATAAGGATAGGTGTAAATATTACTTACCGATGGTCAGTACAGATAATTTATTTCTCCCTCCTCCGCTGCGTACCCAAGCATAAGGCCCCACCACTGATGTCGATGATTTAATTACAACGCTGCAGCTGTGCAGTGCCTGCTGATGCAAAATAAAATAGGATCAGAATGAAGCATCCTAATATGGGCCGATGTTGGCCAAAACTACATCTTGTGTGAGTTAACCTTTTTTGTTTAAACAGTTAGGGTTATCCCTAAATCAACATGTACTACTGAACTTTCTACTGTTGCAGGCGCAAGGAAAAATAATTTCAGTCGAGATGTCTTCAGTAACAGCGATATAAATAACTTCTAGAAAAAAAATTAACTTAGAAAATATGCCATTTCAATAGTTAACTTAGACTATTTTGGCTTCAATCCAAACACAACTTTGTCTTGCCAAAATTAGCCATGCCAAAACTTGAAAAAATTTAGCATTGACAAAAGTTGGTAAGGCCAATTTAGGTCACAAAACAAACCAGCCCATTGTTTTCACACATCGGTTATGTGAGATGAATGATATATTTCTGTCAAATAAATTGCATCCCGAATATTTGTGGAAAAAATTGAATGAATAGTGTATTTTCAAACTTAATTCGTGAAGGAGATACATGTGGGTGTTGATGGTTCTTTTATTTTCCTTAAAAAAAAAGTTTTGCATGTAATGAGATGTGACACGTCATAATTATCATGTAAATGTCACGTAAGGATGAAATTATCATCTAGACCACTCGGGAGACGAAATGAATTGGTTTTAGCATTGAAAGATGAAAAGAAGCTTTGTATCTGGTTTTGAATTACTCTCTTCGTCCTATAATATAATATAACAGGTTACTCTCTTTATTGTAAAAATTAAGGATGTAAAAAGAACGCGAAGTACAATTGATGGTACAAAAGAGATGGTATAAACTAATTTAAAAATGATAGACGTAGAATAAATTAGTACAAAAGTGGGTGGGTAAGTGAGAAATAAAGAACTCCCTCCGTAAAAAAAAATAAAAGGCCAACCTAGTTTATACCATCCCGCTGTCTAGATTACTTGAGTAGCAGGGGCAGGGTTTACGATTCCGACGAAATCCGGTTGGATTTCGCGAAATTTCGGCGAGGCTCGAAAGTAGAAACCATCTAAGATTTCGAGGAGTGTCATCCAAATTCAAATTTGAATTGATAAAAAAAGAAAAAAATCTTATAAATACTATGATATTCATAGAACTTATTGGGATATAAATTTTCGAAAAAAATGATGTATTGTGTGTATTTACTAAAACTTACATCAGGAAAGAAAAAAATAAAGAATTAAAAAAAGAAACAAATTACCGATCGGAATTTCTATGATTTCGATCGGAATTTCGCCAAAACCGATCGGTTTTCGAGAACTTGTCGGCAAACTCAGGGATTTGTATTCAAAATTTGGTTTATGAAATTTGTTCAGGATTTACCGGTTTTTCACTGTATTTCATGAAATTCCGAATTCCGCCGGTGCCCGAAACGGAAGGGCCTGTCGGAATCGTAAACCCTGAGCAGGGGTCACATTTTCTACAGGTTGGCTTTTTTTTGGGTAAATAGCCAAAGTGATCCTCCAGGTTTCATGCAAGGATCAATTTAGTCTTTAATGTTTCAATCTGTCCATATTAGTCCTTCAAGTTTTTAATTTAATTCAAACTTATAATTGAACCCACATAACCAATAACTCTCTTAATAAATGACACTTATACCCCCTCATTCACATATATAAGAGAAAAAATTGCATGCTATGAATTCTTTTTATAGATAATACATAGCAATTTATGTAAAACAAAAACAAATTATGTACTTGCAAGTGTATTCGATAGCCATGAGGCTCAAGTTCATATGCACATGTTGAAATAATGGGAAGTATATATGCAATGTTGTTTATTCATTTTGGTTTTCTTTTTTCTAATGTATAGTTGTACACAAATTAAGGGCAAAATGGATATTTTCTAATATAATTGTTGACTAGAAATAGTCATATGGCATATTAAGTGGGCCCAAGGATAATTTTAGGCCAAAACAAATACTTAGAGCAAGTTCAATAGTATAGCCCACTGCTAACTTCAATCTATAGCCAATCTAATAGCTAATTTATACAATAGTTACTTACTATATTGTTAATATATGGTCCCACCTGTCATACACACCTTGCGTCTTGGAGTCCTTACTGCAACTGGCTACAAATCTGTAGCCCGTTGCTCATCTCTCTCATCGTTTATCGCATTAAAATATGTTTATAACTGGCTAATAGCCTGTTATTATACCTGCTCTTAGAGGACCTATGTGAACAAAATGAAACCTGAAAGACTAAATTGAGACTTCGGTAAAACTTAAGGGACTAAATTAACTATTCACCCCTTTTTCTTATATTTAATACAAATTTATTTCCCATAATCAAGGAGGCGATATCGACTTTTTTTTTTCCCAAAAACGAATGGGAGGCCATAATCGAGACGGCGCCGTGCGGCCAAACCGAGCTCCGCAGCGAAGAGGAGTGTGGGGTTGAGGAAGTCGGAAGTCCGAAGGCATGGCAGCGGCGGCGGCGAGGCAGACGGTGTGCGTCACCGGCGCCGGGGGGTTCATGGCCTCGTCGCACGTCGAGCTGCTCCTCTCCCGGGGGAACTACGCGGTCCGCGGCACCGTGCGGGATCCAGGTGAGGCCGCTCACACATACACCTTCACAGCCCCTCCAAACCTCGCCTTGCTTTTTTGATTCGTCGCCCCGGAGTTGGTGAAATTTGGGGCGGAAGTATGCGAGGTGGAAGCGTGGATGATGGAGTTAGGTTTCAGAGGGTATTATCTCAAAAAGAAAAAAAGAAGCAAAAAGGGTTCAGGGGTGCAATACTCAAATAAATGAATAAATAAATAAATAAATAATGATCCGTATGTTGCTGGAAGCAAAGAGGAGAGTTTCTAGTTCCTAATTTTGAGTTTTTTTTGTTGGCCTGAAATGTTAGTTTGGTCTTCGTACAACTATTTGTTTATCTTTAGGTCGAATCACAAGAATTTTGAAGGTCCTAATCTTTGAAGTTATTTTAAAATTACATTGTATACTTATTATGGCGGGACAAAAGTTTTGCTATGTATGATGGTGGTGACGTGGTGTGCCTGCTTCTGTATGCTGTAGGTGATGCCAAGAATGATCATCTCAGGGCGCTACAAGGTGCCGAGGAGAGGTTGCAGCTGCTCAAGGCTGATCTGTTGGACTATGACAGTGTAGCTTCAGCGGTTGCCGGCTGTGAGGGCGTCTTCCATGTCGCCAGCCCTGTACCCTCGGGCCGATCCACCAACCCTGAGGTTAACATTTGACAAGAACATATATTTGTTGTCAGTTGGGTTGATGTCGAACAATGGAAAATAGGGTGATTTTTTTGTGTTGAATCAAGGGGCCATCGCTGGTTATGGTTTTAACATGGTGAAATTGGTGATATTAGTATAAAGCAGTTGATGTTAGATCAGAAGTGAAGTCACATATTTCAGGATATCTGTGTTCCCCATAAAATTAATGATTACAGACAATTCATTCTGATTTATGCTTTGCACCATCGTTGACTCCTGGCTCTATGATCTTGTATTCCTATGTCGACATTATATAACTATTGTTGTTTTGCAGGTAGAGGTCATAGCTCCTGCTGTAACAGGCACACTTAATGTGTTGAAGGCCTGCCATGAGGCAAAAGTTAAGCGAGTTGTCATGGTGTCTTCCATTGCTGCCGTGTTCAGTAATCCTAACTGGCCAAAGGATAAGGCTTTCACTGAAGACAGTTGGTCAGATGAGGAATTATGCAGAAAGAATCAGGTAATGCTCTTAATCCTTCAAGTAAGCCAATGCCTTTTCCGTTGCTAAATTTATATGTACTAATGTCCTTGAGAGGAGCAAAATTTCAGATACCTTTTTCAGTATATGTTGCTACTGGGCAAATTGATTGCTATGACATATAGTTACTTTGTGCTTTCTCATAATAAATGATCTTCCTATATTGACAAAGAATATTCGTGACTCTTGTTGTTTGTGGTACATAACTCCCTGTGCTGTATTACCCACTCAAAAGAAGTTATCTGTGTTGTTATTCTGGCAGGATTGGTATTACCTTTCGAAAACGGTGGCAGAGCGTGAGGCTTTTGCTTATGCAGCAAAAACTGGGCTGGACATTGTAACTATTTGCCCATCATTGGTGATTGGACCCTTAATGCAATCTACAGTAAACGCGAGTAGTAAAGTTCTCATTAACTATTTCAAAGGTAACCGTGTTACATCGTTATATTAGTTTCCTCTTGGTTTACATGGAGTTAGATAGTTAAAATCATAATTCTAAGCAGTATTATGTTTGAGCTGTGTTATCAGAAATGATATCCACCTTCTTGTGTTCCAAAAAGGAAAGCTTACTAACGAATAGCGTGAAAGAACTTAATACTAAGATCAAGTTATTTCAATCAATAAAGTATTTTAGGCTTTAAGCTTTCTGTTAAAATGAAGTACTCATCTTTTGCAGGAGATCGTGACACTGTCGAAAATAGACTCCGGAATGTAGTGGATGTTCGTGATGTTGCCAATGCTCTCCTTTTGGCGTATGAAAATCCAGCATCCGGACGATACATCTGCAGCTCAGCTCCAATAAGAGTCTCTGATATGATAAACATTTTAAAGACCTTATATCCAACTTATACTTATCCCAAAAAGTAAGCCCAACCCCTCAACAAGTTACTGGATGTGTTTTACCTGTGTTGTAGCTGTTAACTCTGCATTTGTACAACAGATATGGCTGGCATTTCATAAAAGGGGAGGGTACATAAACTTGAGATAGCTAGGTAGAATTGAAGATCCATAATATTTTTCCTGAATTCATACACCCACATCACTTGGTTCAATAAAATACAACTGAGTACCAAGTTTATCAAAGCGGTGTGAAATTTTTATGGGCAATTATTTCACTAGACCAGTAAATGCTTCTTTTTTTTACAAGAACTAGATGCGTCATATTTGTTCCTATCTTCAGCTTCTCTATGCTTAACTTTCATGCAACTTATTCTCCTCTCATCCAATGATTTTGTAGCTTTGTGGATGTGGAAGAGAACACCATATACAGTTTTGAGAAACTTCAGAAGCTTGGCTGGAGTTTCAGGCCTATTGAGGAAACCCTCCGGGACAGCGTGGAATCCTACAAAGCATTTGGCATCCTTGATTGAGGATCCAAACTGTGAGAACTTCAGTGTCTGTTAAACTCTCCATGATTCATGTAATCTGTGTTGAGATCAACCGGGTCAATAAAGAATCGTTATTAAAACCACCAGTGCATTTCCGTAAAAACAAAACAAAACAAAAACAAAAACCACAAGTGTATCGGTGTATCCTGATTCCTGAATCTTGTCCATTGAGCAATGCAGATATATATAGTTGACAGTTGTTGGCTCGGTGGTGAGGACGGCTTAGGCCCTCTTTGTTTAGGCTTAGGCTTATTGGTTTAGACTTTTAAGTCAGCTTATAAGTTTAGTGGTGGAGTCATACATCTACCTCATATAAGCTAAAAAAGCTTCTCCAACCTAGCTTTTGGCTTAATAGTGTTAGAGTGGCTTATGTCTTTTAAAAAGCTAAACGAATAAGCTGCTTGTTTGTTTAGGCTTAAACTTTTCGGCTTTTAAGTTGGCTTATAATACTAAACAAAGAGGGCCTTAATATAAACTGGTTTGTTCTTGCGCTAATTCAGTTGGTGATGGATTAGTTTTGAATCTTGCCTATATGAAGTTATGTACTAGTGTGCTGTGCACATTAGTTCCGTAGTTACTTGGCTCAAGGCATCATACTCTTTCCATGTTCACCTAAATTACCAACGTTCTCTCTGCCATCTTCTTTGCGTGACCTTCCCTTGATGACCATTGCAATTTGCAAACATTAAATAAGGCAACAATTAGCACATTCCCAATTAGGTGGACTGAGGATCAATCCTAAGATTTCATTCGTGGCATGTACTTAACTAAAAAAAATGTTTTTTTCCCTCAGTGTTTGTCCCAATTTCACTATCATATTAATCTGTTTCCGCAAAACTAATATAATAATAATATTATTATTACAGATGGTTACTGATTTCAAATTTTAGTTTTTCCAATTTCTGTCGGTGTGACATTGAAGTTGACAGTTTAGTTAAATTCATAAATATGAAAATTTCCTAATTGTTTCCGTTCATTTCCGAAAATAGTAATGAAATAATTATATTGTTTCCATCCTTAGCCCGTGGTGATTTTATTAATCTCAAGATATATCAGCTAAGTCTTTTGGATGTACTCATAGGGGTAGCGTGTACATGTCAGCATGTGAGCACCTGCGTTTCTTCCATGTTTGAAAAAACAAAACAAAATCTTATGCTTTTAAACTTTATATATATACTAGAAAAAAATGCTCGTGCGTTGCAATGACCAACGGGAGAAGTTTATTTTAATCTTATTATTATTGTTATATGGTTTAGTTAAGATAAAATTCACTGTGGGAGTTCGCTTGGATATATATATATATATATATATATATATATATATATATATATATATATATATATATATATATATATATATATATATATATATAGAAAATCATGAACTGCAATTAAGAGTCCGATCATCTCAAGTTAGCATGCAAGTTTTTTTAAACAGATTTCTTATATGATTCCTTCTGTATTACCAAAAGTAAACGATCTTAAAAATCGACTCAAATAAGGATATGTATTTCCAAAAGCAAACGAACTTAAAAACCGACTCATACATGGATGACGTACTAAATTACCGGCAAAAACATCTTCAAGTTTTATAATAGTAGAGATTTTAATTTAACAATGAAAGATAGAAAAGTTTTATTAAGAAAAAACTAAAACGAAGTAATTTAAAATGGTGGTTTGTTCAAAAAACGAAATTCTTAAAAAATATAGTCACAATTTTTTTTGTCTATGATGGGATTTAATCTATCTTTTAAAAAACGAAGGGATGTAATCCATCTTTTTAAAACTAAAATGTCCAATCTAGATTCTTTTTAAAGGGACCATCTACTCCTCATTTGATAGAAACCCCTCCTAATATTTTGTAAATTTAGACCGTTGGATTACGTTTAGATTCGTAAGAAGTCCACAAAACCCTAACTCTTTTCCTTTTCCCTCCTCGCCACCGCACAAAGCCCTTGAGTGCGCTGCTTCCCGACGCCTCCTTTACACCACCTCCTGCGCCGCTACTTCGGCTTTGCTGGCTAGCCGGAAAGCGTCAACCACCGGCGAGGCCCTCCCGGGCCCCGACTGGCCCCTTCCCCCTATCTTTCCCCCTCTTTCTCCTATCCTTTTCCTCAATCGGTGGTGGCGAGCTATCCTCGCATCGCCGTCTTCCCCATCTTCGACGACGGGGCATCACCACCGGCCACCTCCTCCTAACAGTCCTCCTGCTTTGCCCCCGCCGCCTACACCAGCCCACTGCTCGCTTCCGACCTTGGCGGCGGGGCTGCCGCCTCCCACGACCATCCTATAAAGACAACGAACTCCCCCCTCTTCTCCCTTTCCCTCCCACCTCAACCTGGGACCCTAATTCGTCGGCCCTCCGCCAGAGTTTGGGTTGTCGCTAGGATCGGAGTTAGAGAAGAAACACCTAAAACACAAATCACGAAGCACATCTAGTGATCCAAAATATGTAAGATTGGGACTGAATTTTCTGTCGAAAAATGATTAGCAATTTCATTCCTTAAAATGGGTCAAATATTTTGCGGAGGAATTAGGGAATATGCCAGTACATATCACCTACGAAATGCTATCCATAGAGGGAGCAGCCGCACAGGCTGTACGGGCGGCGTGGCGGGCGCACGTGTCCCGGCAGCCTGCGATACGTGTCGCGCGCGCGTGCAGCCGGGCAGCCACCGCTCGCGTATATAAATGGAGGCTTCCGGCGATCGAGGGGACGAGGAGAGAAAACCACCATGGACGACGGCGCTGCCGCCGCCGCCGCCGCAGGGAGGGAGACGACGAAGAACAAGAAGAAGACGGTGTGCGTCACCGGCGCCGGCGGCTTCGTCGCCTCGTGGCTCGTCCATCGCCTCCTCTCCTCCGGCGACTACGTCGTGCATGGCACCGTCCGTGACCCAAGTAAGATATCGCGACGACCAATCGAATCGAATCGAATGCACGCGCGTTGATGGCCGCCGGCCGTTAGTGCAGGTGATGCCAAGAACGGTCACCTGAGGGAGATGGACTACGGCGCCGGCGAGCGGCGGCTGCGGCTGTTCAAGGCCGACGTGCTGGACCGCGCCAGCGTGGCCGCCGCCGTCGCCGGCTGCGCCGGCGTCTTCCACGTCGCCAGCCCCGTCCCCGCCTCCAAGCCCCACAACCCCGAAATCACATTAGAAACTAAACCCGGAAGAAACGTCGTAGAAGATCTAAACACGATAATAACACCGAGGCACGATATTTGGTAACGGAGTCCAGCAGCCGAGACCAGACCTGACCGGCGACGTACGGCGTCCCGTCGCCGTTTGATTTTTAATTTCTCCGGCGCTGGCGCTGGCAGGCGGAGGTGCTGGCTCCGGCGGTGGCGGGAACGCGGAACGTGGTCGAGGCGAGCCACGAGGCGGGCGTCCGCCGCGTCGTGGTGGTGTCCTCCGCCGCCGCCGTCATCCTCAACCCGGCCTTCCCCCGCGACGCCGTCCTCGACGAGGACGCGTGGTCGGACGAGCACTACTGCCGATCCATAGAGGTAAACACAACCGAAATGTGTCAAAATGCAACACAAACAAATTAAACCATCGATCAATATTCAAAAAGAAAAATAGAAATAAAATCATTCGCACGTATTTTGAGTTGCCATGCATCGAACTGAAATTATGAGACGATCTTGGTTAGAACTGGTACTGCCTCTCCAAGACGCTCGCCGAGCGCGAGGCGTGGCGTTTCGCGGCTGACAACGCCGCCGCCATGGACGTCGTCACCGTCTGTCCGCCATTAATTCTTGGACCTCTGCTCCAATCGACCGTGAACACCAGCAGCTCCATCCTCATCAACCTGATCAAAGGTAATTAAGAAATATTCAGAAGACTGTCTTTTACATATATTCAGAAATTGATTAAGCTCGATCATGATTAAACAGCAAATGCATCTGCATCTGACAGTAATACCGACTGAATTCCAAGAGCTAGTAGCATATGAACATCTGACAGAAACTGAATTCCTAGATGTGTTTCTCACCGGTTAATTGCTTTTATGCACGTGCTCGCCGGCGGCGGCGGCAGGCGGCGGCGGTGATGATGAGGAGAAGGCCGCCACCACGGACAAGAGGAGGAACGTGGTTGACGTGCGTGATGTCGCCGCCGCACTCATCCTGACGTACGAAAATCCGGCGGCTTCCGGCCGCTACATCTGCAGCGCATACGACATCAAGGTGTCTGAAATGGTTGACATCGTCAGGCGCTTCTTCCCGGATATCAACTACCCAAAGTAAGCACATACTCTACGGATTTGGATCGTCTGCCTTCGCAGAGTGAAGGCACGAGCATGCAGTCAGCCCCTTATCCACCATTGAAGTAATCCAACGGCTTACGTCGCATGTGCGCTTAAAAAGACGAATAAATTTGTCTGTAAAAGACTGCGATGGTTCTATCGCAAAAAAAAAAAAATCCCACGATGATTGTTTTGGTCTGGGAAGTATACGCGAGCTGAAGAAACTTACAAACTATATTAGTGCTAATACACATAAAAAAAATGGATGATATCACTAAATTAAAAATACAAGAAAACCGAAAGTTTCAAATAACAATACTAATTCATTACAAAGTAGTTCTCCATCTTTTTCATATTATAAGTCATTTGACTTTTTTCTAGTCAAAAATCGTTAAGTTTGACTAATTTATATAAAAAATAGTAATATATAAAATATCAAATTAGCTTTATTAAATCTAACGTTGAATATATTTTTATAATATATTTATTTTGTGTTAAAAAGTTAAAAAAAAGAAGTTTGACTAGAAAAAAAAAAGTCAAGCGACTTAGGCCTTGTTTAGTTTGAGAAAATTTTTGGGTTTGGTTGTCACATCGAATATACGGACACACATTTGAAATACTAAACGTAGTCTAATAACAAAACAAATTACAGATTTCGCTAGGAAACTGCGAGACAAATTTATTAAGCCTAATTAATTCGTTATTAGTAAATGTTTACTGTAGCACCACATTGTTAAATCATGGTGCAATTAGGCTTAAAAGATTCATCTCGCAATTTACACGCACACTGTGTAATTAGTTTTTTTCCACATAAAAAGTTTTTATTTTGGGAACTAATGGGGGAGTATGACGCAATGTCAAGTCACATCATAAAAGCAAAAGAAAAATTATGATTAGAGCATAGGATTGATAAGAAAAATTACGAAACTTATAATGCAAACATCATTGGTATTCGGACTGAAATATAGCAGTAGTGCTTCGTGGGCTTTGACAGACAGATATCCATTCAGACGTGCACAGGCGACGTGAGCCATTGGATTATTTGAACGGTGGATGAGGTGCCGACTGCACGCTCGTGCCTTCAAGCCGTGAAGGTAGAGGATCCAAATCCATACTGTACTCCCTCCATAGGATTATGTGGTTCGAATTCTTTTTTCTCCATTGATCTAAGGGTTATGGAATACTTCATCTGTTTTTTCATTCATTTTATTTTTTCAGAAAAACATCAAATATAAAAAATAAAAAAATATGAGTTCATGCTTAAAGAACATTTAATAATAAATCAAGTCACAACAAAATAATGATAATTACATAATATTTTTGCATAAGACAAAATGATGTCATATCTTAAAATATCAATGATGCCATATATTAAAAAAAAGTAAGGAGTGCTATCTTTCAATCTATCCAGTCACTTGAGTGCTATCTTTCAATCTATCCAGGCACTTTATCTATTGATGACGGGTAGCGGCTATTAAGTTTGACTAAGTTTATAGAAAAATTTAACAATATCTAAAATATAAAATTAGTTTCATTAAATATAGTTTGATAACATGTTTGTTTTATGTTGAAAATACTACCATATTTTTTTACGTCAGCGCCCGATTTACGTGCAAAACTGCTTTAAACTGATTTTTCTCCTAAATTACTTATCCAAATCATGATCTGATTGTTCCATTAAATTCGTTGCAATTAAATCTTCAAAACAAGACCACACATGGATATATTTCGATGAAAAAAAATTAGCTTATTATTGAATTATTTTTAAATGTTGCACGATGTTCCACCAGGTATATCGGAATTGTTTCACTAAGAAGATCGAAAATATTTCACTCGTTTAAATCGGGTGTTGTTTCACCTTATATAAAAACAATGTTTCAGCAAATAGCGAAAGAATGTTTCAGTTCACTGCAACATTAGATCTGTACACAGTGAAACATTGTTATTATACTAGGTGAAACAAAAAATAAACCAAATTCCCTTAATAGGGGTTTTCCAAAATATGTGGATTTTTTTCTTGCAATGGAATGTTTCGTTCATTGCAACATTAGATCTATACATAGTGAAACATTGTGAGTACACTATGTGAAACATTTTTGGTGGAACAAAAAATAAACCAAATTCCCTTAATAGGGAGTTTCCAAAATATGTGGTTTTTTTTTTTGCAAAAGAGTATTTTAATTCACTGCAATATTAGATCTATAAATAATGAAACATTGTAATTATATTAGGTGAAACATCTTTTGTGGGAAAAGGGAAGAGAGAAGTGAGTGGGCCCATAGGTTTGCACGTGGGGGGAGGGGCGCGCGGGGGGAGCGCCCGATACAGCTCCCCCCACGCCGGACGCCCGGCTCTAATCATTCTCATATTTTTTTTTCATAAATTTGGTCAAACTTAAAATAATTTAAATAGGAAAAAAAGTCAAATAACTTATAATATGAAACGGATGAAGTACTAAACAACCTGAAATCTCTTATATTTATGGACAGATGGAGTGTATACATATCCCCAATGCACCTGTGAGGCTGTTGTCATGTCAAGAGCTCTCCCTCTATTTTTATTTACATGACGTTGGTTAATTAGTTCGATAAAATAAAAAAAACATTGTTTAAATTGCTTGATATACATGTGAGTGAATCATATAAACGTAAAACTTGCAGTTTTTTTAGCTTGGTGATGATTAATTAATGGCAGGTTTGTGGGAGGGGAGGATGAGAGGATTTTGAGCTCCAAGAAGCTGCAGAAGCTGGGGTGGAAGTTCAGGACGGTGGAGGAATGCCTGAGGGATAGCGTTCAATCCTACAAGGCTGCTGGGATCCTGAAATGAGCTAGATATTGGGATTTGAAAGAAAAATTTTAAACTAGCGTAGTGAATTGTTGAAGGTTGGAATAATTTCATCTGTGTGCAATGCAATAAAACTTGTTAATTTACGAATTGCATCGGTAGGCAGTTAAATGTGTGTGCACTCTTTTCTTAGAGGAAAGAAAAGGAGAGATTTTAAGACTGGAGAGTGCATTGTATGTTGATTGTGAAACCAGGTTGCCTGAGGAGTGAGAGTTTGGTTCCCTACCTCTTGGCAGTAATAAGTAATAACAACAATTTGATAGGACCACCGACCACAGCAGGAGTGCTTGTTTTTCCGGTGTGGTTTATGCATGTAAAGTATAAAACTAAAAAATATAGTTCGTTCTTGTTTTGGGTGTTGTTCATGTACGTAAGTAGAAAACCATAACAGAAACCCAGGAAAAAAACAAATTATAGGTTGAGCTTGTTTTGGGTGTGGTTAAATTTAAACAAAGGAAAAAAGGCTGTGTTTAAATTAAACAAGGCAACAAAAATTTTTGGCTGGGTGTAGTTAAATTTAAACAAAGGAAAAGAATTGGGTGTGGTTAAATTTAAACAAAGCAAAAAAAATTATCCATGGTTAATTTTTTAAAAAATATTGTCTGGTGTGGTTAAATTTAAACAAAGGAAAAGAATTGGGTGTGGTTAAAACAAAGCAAAAAAATTTTGTCCGTGTTAATTTTGACCGTGGTTAAAACAAAGCAAAAAAATTTTAAAATTTTTGGCCGTGGTGTGGTTAAAACAAAGCAAAAAAAATTAAAATTTTTGGCCGCGGTTAAATGGTTAAATTTAAACAAAGGAAAAAAAACAATGTCAAGAATGGGATTCGAACCCAACCCAAGGTCAAAAAAAATATTGTCAAGAATGGGATTCGAACCCATGCCCTTTCGGACCAGTACCTGAAACTGGCGCCTTAGACCAACTCGGCCATCTTGACTTCGTGCCAAGTGAATCAAGCTTGGCTATAAGATCAATAAGTGGACCGGTGTTGCGTCGCGTGCCGCGCGATGCAGCAGGGAAACCGGATGGGCCGTGTGCGCGTTACCCCAAAAGGCCCGTGACCACATCGTGCGTCCCAATTAGGCCCTTCTCGGACGCTCTCCTGCTAGGCCACGGTGCTGACCGGAAGCAACGGCGACTACGGTCCCTCCAACACAACAATCTCAAAACTAATTCGTTTGTTGTGAGAAGTTGGTTTTTCTTAAAACAAAGATCTTAAGAAATATGTCGCATATGTATGTAACACGCACACTCACCTACTTCCAAAGATTTAGCGATGTCTTACTGCTAACGGGTGCATCGTCTATCAATAAAAACCAGGTGGACTAAAAGTATAAATAGTCATAAATATAAGGAAAAAGTACTAATTACCCCCGAACTATCGCGGTTGTCCGAATTACCCCCCCTAAACCACAAAATCGGGCATTCTTCACCCCCAACTATGCAAACCGGACAAATTACCCCCCTCGACCTAATCTGCGGTGGTTTTGGTCTACGTGGCGTACGGTGGCGGTCCAGTCAGCATTTTATTTATTAAAAAATATGGAGCCCACATGTCATACTCATATTCCACTTCTCTCTCTCACTCTTCCTCTCTCTTCTTTCACTCTTTGTCTCACATGCGCACGGCAGCAGAGGAGACGGCAAGCGGGGGATGGGGCGGCGCGCGGCCGCGGGGTGCGGCGGAGGAGGCGAGGCAAGACTGCGGCGGTGGAGGAGGCGAGGCGGCGGCGGCGGGGTGCGGCGGAGGAGGCGAGGCGGCAGCGGCGGCGAGGCGGTTGGCGGGGGGCGACGGACGACGGCGCGCGGCACGGGCGGGGCTCGAGGGGAGATGACGACGGCGCGCGGGCGGCGGGGTTGAGATGCCGCGGATCGGGTGCCGGCGGTGGTACTCGCCATCGCAGCCGACGATACGGCGGGACCTCTTAGCGGCGATGGCGTGGCCCGAGTAGGAGGCGAGGCTGCGGACGGCGGGGTTGACCGGCTCGGGCGCGTCGTCGTCGGTAGTCACGTAGCTCCGTGCACCCGAGACGTCGCATGGTTGTTGAGCTCCGCTAGCCGCCGCGACTCGGCCACCGCTCGTGTAACACCCTTAAAAAAAAAAGGAAAAGCTAGCAGCAGCAGGCCATAGAGTGCATGCGTGCATGCGGCCCAGCAGCGAGCAGAGCAGCAGCGCTACAGTATTGCGTGGTACTGTAGCGGCCTGTTTGGGAAATATGGACTTATTTTAAATCCATGTCACATCGGATGTTTGGACATTAATTTAGAGTATTAAACATACACTAATTATAAAACCCATTCCATAACCTTGGACTAATTCGCGAGACGAATCTTTTGAGTCTAATTACTACGCCATGATTTGACAATGTGATGCTACAGTAAACTTTTCATAATTATGGATTAATTAGGCTTAAAAAATTCGTCTCGCAGATTAGCTCTCATTTATGAAATTATTTTTTTTATTAATCTATGTTTAATACTTCAAATTAGCGTCCAAACATTCGATGTGACATGGACTAAAAAGTTTTAGCCCCATCTAAACACCCCCTATATATAGTCCCACCTCGTTAGTTTGGAGAGGTGGAGAGCAGCTTATAAGGATGAGCTGTCCGAGACTGTAAACTCCGATTTCAGGATTTTTGCGTTAAAGCGAGGACGAAAAACGCAGTGAGTTGCAGTGTTAGGTGTGGACCAACTGAGATGGACCAATGCTGTTTTCGGACCCTGGGCAGGGAGGGGGGAAGCCGCGCCGCCGACCCGTGAGAGAGAGAAGAGAGAGTAGTGTATGACAGGTGGGTCCTACAATTTTTTTTATAAATAGAATGCTGACTGGACTGCCACGTGTACGCCACGTAGACCAAAACCACCATGGATTTGGTCGAGGGGGGTAATTCGTCCGGAATTCATAGTTGGGGGTGAAGAATGTCCGGTTTTGTGGTTCGGGGGGTAATTCGGACGACCACGATAGTTTGGGGGGGGTAATTTGTACTTTTTCTTAAATATAAACATTCGTACTGAAACCCACGAACTTATTCCACCACGAGAAATATAACCAGTTGAGCATTTCCAAGTTCCAACCATCTTGCGACTATGTACCCAACAAAAAAATGAAAAAAAAAAAAGAAGAAGAAGGTTCCAACAATCCTGGGTGAATCCTGACCTCGAGTCAAGGTGTTAATCCCAGCAACTATCCGTGCCAAACCGGCAAATACTATCACCATTGCAGCAACATTCACAAAGTGCTACCCATGTACTAGTAGCGATTACGTAAGGTCAAGCAACAGACTCTGACGCCAGCATCAGACGTGACGGCATGTTGCATTGCAATGCCCCTCAAATTATTTCACCAAAAAAACTGGACTGTGATGTCAATAGCACCGGCACTTTCTGTGCAAGCGTGTTCCTCTAGCTAGGCTGTGTTTAGTCCGGCCAAAGTTTAAAATTTAGTTGAAATTAAAAAATTATGACTGAAAAGTTATGTGTGTATGAAAGGTTTGATGTGATGGAAAGTTGGAAGTTTGGAAAAAAAACTTTGGAACTAAACACATAAACACATAGTCTACCTCCACTTTTTTTCTTTTTTTTTTGGAATTCTTCTCGCTGATACTAGTGCTATTCACTCGTACATATGTGCCGCTGAAGTCAGAACGGCAGAAGCAAGAATTTGGTTCAGCTTGCAACCTCCCATTCTCTGCTGCTAAATCGCCTGAAGAGAGAACATAAACATCAAAGAGCTCTATTGGTTGCCATAATAAGCCAACGCTAAAATTTAAATTTTTAAACTCAATTTTGAAGAAGATTTTAAGCTATTTTCAACGTAATTTCTTCTTCAACATTTGGTTTTAAGTCGCAAAGAACACGTAGTTTTGGTTTATTAGGGAAAATGAGCGACCCATGGGAGCTCAACTGTCGCAAAGTCCGTACTTTACCATGCATGGCTATGGACCCAATTATATGACCTGTTTAGATTGTACTAAAACTTTTAAGTCCCTATCACATTGAATGTTTGGATATTGATTATAAATATTAAATATAGACTATTAATAAAACCCATCCATAATCTTGGACTAATTCGCAAGACGAATCTATTGAGCCTAATTAATCCATGATTAGCCTATGTGATGCTACAGTAAACATTCTCTAATTATGGATTAATTAGGCTTATAAACTCTGTCTCGCAAATTAGTTTTCATTTATGTAATTAGTTTTGTAAGTAGTCTATATTTAATACTCTAAATTAGTGTCTAAATACAAGGACTAAAGTTAAGTCCCTAGATCCAAACACCACCATAGTGTCTGAGAAAAGAAGGCAATTAAGCAGAAGGACCGACAACTAATTTCTTTCACCAAATTTACCTCGTCGTGGTCATTCATACTACGTTCTCTATAATACTCCCTCCGTCCCATAATATAAGGGATTTTGAGTTTTTACTTATAACGTTTGATCACTCGTCTTATTCAAAATTTTTTGAAATTATTAATTATTTTATTTGTGACTTACTTTATTATCTACAGTACTTTAAGCACAACTTTTTGTTTTTTATATTTGCAAAAAAATTTAAATAAGACGAGTGGTCAAACGTTGCAAGCAAAAATTGAAAATCCCTTATATTATGGGACAGAGGGAGTAGTTGGCTATATCTTCTTTAAAACATAGACCGAAATAAATTTCACTATATTTAAAATAAAAAAAAGTTACCTCAACTCCAGATGTCCTGTTGCATACCTGCATGGTGTAGCTGCATATTTGTATCCAGTTCGAATTGGGTCAAGAATCTTTTTCTGTGTGGTACGTGCAAGCATTACTATCTCGATTGGGATATGGCACTTCGGCAAAGTGGAATGGAATTTGCATACGCAGCAGAATATAATAGGTTCATTGGGAGTTTGGGTCAAGAAGCTTCTTTAGTTCTTTCCCTGCAGTTTTTTTTTTTCGAGGAACCCTTTCCCTGCAGTTTTGGATAAACATACAGAGACCATGTCTCTTTAGCCCCTTTGTTTTCTCATAATTTATTCAGAACTCCTCCACTCTTTACGGCAAAAGGGGGAAGGGTGCTTCTTCCTGCAAAATCTCGATCGCAAATCCACAAAACTGTTCAAACAGAATTAGTAGCCCATCCTTTGACATTATAAACCGTAACACTTATTAGCAGTAGAAAAAGTTTTACGCAAAACTTTTTTATATATGCTCTAAGTGACATGCTAAAAAATAAACTACAATAATAATATTGAAACCAAATCCAAAATTAAATTTTAAAATTTAAATTTTAGTTACATTTTCTATGCAAAAATAAATCTAAGCCTAAAGCAAAGTGAGGGGTTTTTTATAGTGGAACCTGCTTATTACCCAGATTCAACTTGTAAAATTGACATGAGGCTAGTTGTTCTTTCAACAGTGGATGACGTACTCATCGATGGTAAGACACATGTGATGATTTGGTTAATCTCACAACATTTACGTGTGTTACGCATATTGTGCGTGTATTGTCAGCGCATATGTGGTGTACGGTGTTTTAGAAAACAAACTCTAAACCTAAAAAGAGTAGAAGCCTGTATTACACACATCAATAATGGTAAAATGATAAAATAGTGAAATGCCGGCACTTTTTTTCCGGACAGGAGACCTTTTCACACAAGAGGTGGATTAGTAAGCATCATTCTGCAAAGATGAGTATTGGCTGAGATGGCATGGACATAGACGTCTAGAAGTATCAGGACACAAAGTAGGGGACCACTTAATTCAGTTACTCTAATCAGTGGATATGTTTATTGTTCTTTCATCCTTCCGGAATGACGTGCACTAACCCAAGTAGTTCCTTTTTTCTGGAAAATCAAAATATTAGGCTTGAACAATCCATGTGATATGCACTACTCAATTTATAATTAAAAAAATCGAGATTTTGACTGCCAAATCCTAGTTTGATGATTTAACACTGCTGAAGAGCTGTGTTATCATTTTTTCACTATGTTATATAATTATAACTAAAATCGAGATTAACTAAAATACATTTTTATATTAGCATATTCGAAAATTGAATAAAAGGTGTCCCTAATATTTTAATTTGTGCTCGTTTGTTCAAGACATGTACAACCTTTTGCTTGTATGGCGAGAATAAGTCAGATGTTGTTAGTACACAAGACATATCAATTTTTTTTTGTTTAGTCTCTCACTGCAATGTCAGGTGGATCCTGCTTTATGCATTCTGAATTACTACTTGCTCCCTCTAATTTCAGATACTAATCATTTTAGTTTTCGTAATTTTTTCTATAGTAACTTGTGTTAAACTTTTAAACACTGTTTCCATCTTTTATTCTATGCCTACCTTTGATACATAAATGCTATCGTTCTCACAAACGAGCAGTGCTATACAAACTTTTTTTTAAAAAAAATCTTATAGAACTTTTACAAACTAAGATCTCAACCATTAAATCTACTTAGTTCGTGGTTATGAAAAAAAATATATTCATAGTATGCCACATCATTTTTCTTTCAAGTTTATAAGAATTTTTTTTACGCGTGCCGATGATTTGTCTTCATGATTTCCAATGTTATATATTCAGGGCAATAGTGTCATTTGAGTTACTAATTCTTGTGTCACTTGTGTACAATTCTAAAATAATTTATAATTCAACCATATGGAGTAGGGCAATGCGATTGTGCTTTGGATTATAGGGCTGGTTTGGTTTGTGGCCTAAATTGGCCTTACCAATTTTTGTCAATGTCAAATTTTGGCAATTTTTGGCATGGCTAATTTTGGTAAAGGTAAAATTGTGTTTGGATTGAAGCCAAAATAGCCTAAATTAACTGTTTGAATGGCCTATTTTCTTAGGCATGCTAAAATTTGGCTCCAAACCAAATAGACAATAAACACTATTGAAATTGACAAATATTGGTAAAGCCAATTTAGACCTTAAACCAAACCAGCTCATAGTCCAAATTTATCTTGAATTTGAAAGCTTAATTTTGAAGTACAATAAGACAGATTTTTTTCATGTCTTCGTGGTATTATGAAAATATTATGAAAACAGATGACGTCGATAAATAAAATTCTAAACTTGAGAATCAACTTGGCATTAAAGCACAATAAAGCATTGCATGTAACGCTGAGCTTGCTCCACCCCCAAGCTCCATCACATCCTTTTTTTTTCACCTATACTATATAAAGGTGGAGGATTTAATAGAATTAATTTAACGTATAGATGTTATTATATTTTAAATTTTATAAAGTTTAACTTAAGACAAAACCAAAACTATCTTACATTGTGAAACAGGGAAGCAGGATATATATAAATCAATTTAGCCATGAAGGATATTTCGTTGAAGGTAAAGCAATTATATTACAAATACCTTGGCACCAAGAAAATTTCAGGGATCAATTTATAAAAATAAGATTTTTTAAAAGGACTAAAATATACATAAAAAACCCCCCAACTAAAACACCAACTAAAACAGGCGAGTAGGATATACTACCTTCAATTATATTAATAGATAATGCCGTTGTCACATGTTTAACCATCCGTCTTATTTTAAAAAAAATACATAATTTATTTTGTTGTGAGTTGTTATATCACTTAAAGTATTTTAAACATGATTTATATCTGATACGTTTTAATAAAAAAATTTAGCAAGGAAGGAGATATTTTGCAATTACAGATACAGAAAAGCACAGAAGCAGAAACAGAAAAAAGATCATCCAGGCTGAGAGAGTCCATATAAAATCCAAATAACAATAATTAATCAGCACGAGACAAGTCCCTATCCAACCCAAAAAAATATAAAATCCCCAAACCACCCTCTCTCTCCCCTTCTCTTCGCGTGATCTTTCTTCGCACGCAGTTGGCACCAACTCCCCACCACTTCGCTTCGCTTCCCTTCCCTCCTCACCTCTCCCGCGCGCGCGAGTTTAACCGCTTAATTATAACCGCCTCTCGGATTAGCGCGGCTATAATACCGCGCGCGATTGGCTGATTAGCCCTAGGCAACGCTCGCTAACACGCCACCACCTCGGCTTCGCTGTTTGCTGTTTGCTGCTGCTGCTTCTAGGGTTAGGGTTTGGGGTGGGGAGGGGTGGATGCGCGTGGGCTGGTGGTGGTGGTGGGGATGACGCCGCAGCGGTCTCCGGCGGCGGCGGCGGCGGGGGGAGGGGGCACGCCGGCGCTGCACTACCTGAGCGGGCCGTACGGGGACACGACGTACACCAAGGTGTTCGTCGGGGGGCTCGCGTGGGAGACGCGGAGCGAGGGGCTGAGGGCGCACTTCGAGGCGTACGGGGAGATCCTCGAGGCCGTCGTCATCACCGACCGCGCCACGGGGAGGTCCAAGGGCTACGGATTCGTGAGTCCTCCCCCAATCCTCCTTCCTGTGTTTCTCTCTTCTTTCTTTCTTTCTTTTTTCCCCTTTTTTTGAAGCTAGATGTTGCGGGGTTTTATTTTTTGTGGCTCGGGGATTGATTTTGGGGTTGAATTGGGAGGTTGTGTGGTGGCTATTGGTGGTGATCGGCCGGGAAGGTTTGTGAATCTTTTGGGAGCTTTGAATTCCCTGGTGGTAATTTGGGGAATTTTATGATTGTGGTGCGGAAATGGGGAAAGCGTTTGAAATTTAGTGGGGAATTGGAGTCCAAAGCCTCGCTGCTAATGAGGTCTAGGGTTTGGATGTTGCTATCGTTTTTAGTTCGTTTGCTACCTTTCCGAGCTTCCAAATTGGAGTTCAATTTCGCGTTTTTTCCAGTGTGAATTTGGAATTGAAGAGGGAATTTGAAGCAATTTCGTTCCGCAAGGGGAAATCGGGTCTTCTGGTTTTAACGTTTAGTCTTAATTTCGCGTGGAGGCTTGTACAGGTGACCTTCCGGGACCCAGACTCGGCGAGAATGGCGTGCATGGACCCGTACCCGGTGATCGACGGGCGCCGCGCAAACTGTAACCTTGCCATCCTAGGCCGTCCTGGGCCAGACATACCTTTCGGTAGGTCTTCTAGCTTAGTTTTCAGCTACCCTAATTGCATAACTGTCATATCCATATACTATTGTTTCCTCCAGCTTAAAATTTTGTTGTAATGCATATTTTTTTTAACCATTATCCGTTCCCAACAAACTGGAGTTATCATGATTAGATATTTTGTACCATGCCAGAGTTGTTGCCCATAGCTTTTTCTTGTTACATCTTTTCTTTCATTTGCTAACTAATGGTTTTTTTTTTCATTAATTATAATTCTAAAAGAAAAAAGGGACTTGTCATTGTACGATTAATAAAAGCAAATGTGTAGAGTCTATTAAGTTATTTATGATATGAAAGCTAGTTGATATAAAAAATGTCATCCAAAGCTGTAGAGTCTAGTACAAAATCAATTTCTGATAGAAGCTTGATTTTTTATGGGAAAAAAATGGAGATGATCAAGTGCTACTAGTCCTTTTTCTTTTATAAATTTTAGAGGAAAGGTATTGCAGGATTTGGTTTAAATGAAAATTAGGTAACAGAATCGATAACAGAAAGGGGACAACTCATGACTCATGATTTGGTAGTTGGTACAATCATTATTGCTTTTCGACAAAATTGGTAATTTACAAGCCAGACATCTTTTTCATGGCCTGCAACTTGCAATGACAGATGGATTCTCAGATTTTGCTGGAAAGTTAGTGATCTGGCATAAGATGGAATTCCTGTCTGGAATGTTTCTCTTGCACCTAGACCAACCAGCCAGTAACCAATGAGTTATTGTTCAATCTTGGAACAAATTCAATTTCTACCCAAATTTTTGGTGAAAATTTCTGAAAATGTGAACTTCATACAACACATAATAGTAAATAGGATTAAAAAAAATCAAGTATACAAAATAGCGTATAGCTCCTGGTATCCACTGATTTTTATCCCTAACTAGAAAATCTTTACATCGCAAAAACTCAGATAGAGCAGTATGCATTAGTAGAAAGATCAGTTGCTAAACAGCTCATGGTTACCCTGGAAAAGGGATGAAGTCCTTGCTTTATTCTTAAGTTTCTTTTATATTCTGCCATTGTCAGGACTCTACAACAAAAATATATAGTTGCAAAGCTCTCTTACTGGTTTATGCATGCTTAAACACCTTATGAGGTCCGTGTGTATGTTCAATTATTGTGATAATTTGTTCCCTTCTTTGTAATGTGGTAATAGCACCTTTAAGGCCGGTCATCCCATACAATGGAGGTGTGGCGGTTCCAGGGGGCATGTATGTGCAAAGCCCAACATATCAGCAACCCCCCTACAACTATCCACAGGCATTTGTATATCCTTCTTATGGGTAGGTTAACAGCTCATTCAACGCATACTTTGCAATGATCATGCACAGCTAAGGATCTGATCTCCTGTTAGGCTGTGAATATCTGTCACATTGTTAAAGTCATAGCTAGTCTGGAATTGTGCTTTGTGGGATTGTAGTATAGATAACGTCTTTGTGTGTTTCTTTTGTTTTCAAATGAACAACCTGTCTGTTGCAAGTAAATGATCGATTGTTTTTTCAAATGCAGACCATCAACTTATGGGCCAGAATACATGTATCCTCAGGTTGAGAACTCCAGAATCTTTTGTTCCCATTTTTCTTGGTATATTATATAACGTGTTCCTTCTTAGCAATTACTTTTGCTAATTTATTATACTTTTAGTTCTGTAGAATGCATATGGTTCATATGTTGGGCAACAGTATGTTCCAGTATATGGCGGTCCCAGGACAGTAGGCCCAGCAGTTTACCCATATGGGCAGTTTGGCCAACCTGTGCCAGGTGATCAACCGTATTCACCTGGCTATGTACCAGGTCACATTCTGCCGCTATCTAATCAGAATGCTGCAAATGTTGTACGCATGTCAACAGTTCAGCAACAATATCCTCCAGGCAAGAAGTCAATCTTTGATGAATGGATTGAGAATACTTTTGCGCGCACACCCTATATTATTAATATTTCTAACATCTGCCACTTTTGTGGAAACAGGAGCTCCACGCCCTCAGCAACAGCTCTTGATCCCTGCTCGTGCACAATTCACACCAAACAACATTTCGGAACAAACGTCGGGCTGACATAAGGATGCCAACAAGTACAAATTTGAGGTGCATCCACCTTGTTATTATATGTTTTCAGCTCCTGTCAGATATAATATTCTGACACTTGCCTTTTGTCATTGCAGGTATCCTATAGTCTGCAGCAGGACTAAGAACAGCAGAACTGCTAATTGGGCGGCATGCTTCTTTTCTTGCAAACTGTCATCTTTTGCATTCTAAAGGTTGGTTATCCAAATTCATCTAACCTGACCATGCTTCTGTTTTATTTTTTTCACCTGGAGAATGCTACATCTATATTCTAGATTGAATCATCTGTTTATCGCTTTATTCCACAGGTTCTCCTTATCCATGGTTACCTGATCCATATAAAATGTGAATGTCAAGCTGCTCCGTTGGAAGGGGCAGGAAGGCGTGAGAGTTTCGAAGCCACTCTTGCGCTGCTTCTGTCAAGTGTCTGTGCATTCCCCATCTCCTGCCAGGAATTCTGATAGCTGGTGGCCTGTACATGGACCAAAACTGGATGCCGGAAATGGAGTCCGGAATCCAGCCCTGTGTATAATAGCTCAAGTAGGGTCCAAAATCGTAGAGCTAGTCAATTCTTTCAAACGTTGCTGATGCGTCTGGTTACAGTTGTGTATAGCCCAATTCTCTCATCTTCGTCCTTCTCGTCATCTCCAATGCATGTGATTGTGTTGCATTATGTACAGCATTAGGGCGTTGGGTCGCGTCCTCGGCTGGTTGTGTAAATTATTCATCCCAAAACTGTAAAACTGTTTATATCACTTTATATGCAACGTGTAACTAAATAATGGCAGTTCCAATCCTAGAAAATAATCAACTGCTCCTACCTGTTAATGATTCTCTGGCGTTTTGTTTCTGTAGCTTAGCTGATTTGTTGTCAAAGGGTGCAAATCCATTGACGTTGTCATATTCATCTAGCCTTTAAAAGACAGTTGTTGTCTCTAATATGGAGTACTTCACATCACCTATATTGTCTTGTAGATAGTTTGGAGAGCTGTGTCCGAGACAAATATTTTTCCACTCAACACTAGCAAAATTCTATATTCATTGCCTTTAAAAACGCTCCTAGCAATCTGTTTGATCCCAGTTTGCATATGTCAGTAGCCAAAACAACATTCTTTTCGCTATATTATGCATTAAACAAAGGAATACGATACAAAACATTGCTCATTTTAGGTACAAGGCTAGTCTAGCTCTACTTTAGTTTCACAACAAAAGCTATTACAAAAAGAAAAACAAAAACAGAATTTCATAGAGCGAATTCATCTAGTAGCTCAGGTGTTTCCACGGCACATGGTTGAAAGTACTATGGAACTAGTAATATACATGATGGATTGTGGCTTTGCGAGCAATGAGCATGCTGTCCTTCAGTTTGACAATAACATATTACCTCCACACATCGGGTAAATCTTATGTCCGCATTATAGGGTTGCGAAATATTACCTCAACACATCATCGGTCTCAAGAGAGTCCAGCCATAAGGGGCAAATTCTATGTCAGTCTACAATGTTCATTTACTGATAGTCTCGTATTGCCTGAAATGAATGCTGGCAAAATCGATTCTATTCCCTCACGTATCTGGATTGATCATATTAAACTGCAAAATATAAGATAAGCAGGTTGATCTCAGTTGAATTTATAACATACAGCATAATATGCAAGTGCACAGAACTAATGAATTTTTACCTTGAACTCCAGGATTTCGAAACAGATAAGATAAATCAAGGATGTCGAAAGATAGTCCTGGGCCCCCTTAGTTAACTGGAATAACGTGAACAAAATAGAGTAACAAAATCGTAGACCTAGCAGAACAAATATGTGCTATTATACTGTTAGCATGGGGCCTATTGATGATTGGAAGATTTTGTACAGTGCATGTTGAACTTCTCCAGAGCTATGCTCACAACGGATCAGATCAACTAGCAACGGGAAAAACCAGGGCAGTACTCTCCTAAATGAATCCTCCTCCAGGTTTCCCAGTAACTGCATCACGAGGAGGACCAATGAAGTCCTAGCAGCCAATTCCTCTTTTTTAGCAGCACCCAGTGGCACTATGCAATGTATAGATGCGTTTCTGTGCAAAGCTTCATTGGATGGTTCTCGCTGTGCACACTGTAGATATATCCGAAGTATTTTCTCACAAACACGAAGTATTTGTGATTCAATGTCCATTTCTTCCGACATGGATGGATAGTCACGAAACAGCGCTTGCAGAAGCTTGAGGTAGGTCTGGTATGACTCATTTTCGAAATGGACAATTGCTGGCTCAGATACTTCCATAAGGGAACATGCTTTATGAAACTTCAGCAGCAAGGAAGATTCAGAGCTCACTTCACTTGCATGTGTCGCAATAGCTGATATCATCTCCAAAAGAATATTAATATGATCGGAAGACAGATATTTTCTGTGTTCTTCATATAATTTAATTATTCCCTGCAAAAAAGGGCAAAAGACTGAGAGATACAGTGATGTGGCTGGAAATGTTAGAGCGAAATAGAAGCCACAGCAAATGGCACATCTGGGTCACTTGTCCTGTTGTCCACCTAGGAAAGGACAAGAGATTCCCAATTATCACCTAGAAAAGGAACATGCTTCGTAACCCTACTTTGCCATAAGAACTGGCATAACCGTTAGGTAAAAACCAAACTGTTCCATAGAGGTAGCTAGGCAAGGTCAAGATATGTAGTGATTGATTATTTGATTCTCACACCCTTGCTTTTCGTAATAACATCATTATTCCACTCTGCTCTTTCAAAAGTTACTGCCTTAATTGACGACTAAAATTTTCAGGTCATAGTCACTAGAGCATTGGAGTATTGGACGGCAAGTAAACAGCCTAGGACTAGGTTCCCAATTGTAGAGTTAGGCCCAGAGTCGACGTGAATAAAAAGTGCCATTAATCAAACTTAACATGTTATGGGTGGATTAACAAGATAATTTGTTTAACAGAGAAAAGTACCTGAACAACTAAGAGGAGCAGAGCCATATGATTCTTCAGTTTGACAATAGCATAAGAAGTTGTCTCCATATTAGCTTCCTCTTCTTCATTACCATAATTTTCATGATCTGAGTACTGATCATTTTCTGAATAAGATTCAAATCTATCAGGAATTTCAATATCTTGCATCATTCTCACAATTTTGGAGAATACAAGAAAAGTATGTGCCACCGATTCCTTGAAGCGCAGCAATATGTCTTTCCATTCCTCCTTGGAAAGTTCACCACCAACTCCCTCAATTAAGCGCATCAAAGCAGATACACCTATGCTAGCAGAATGTTTGTAGGGACTTCGGATAAAATATGTGACTATAGATGCAACCCTAGCAAGTTCTGGACGCATCACATCAAAGAAATTAATAAACAAACCCACTAAACATTTCACTGCCAATGTTTGGGTTTCAAGATTTGAAAAGTCATCCTCAGGGATACTCGGTGTTGAGGTCGGATCATTTGATGAAGACCTTTCACTGCTAAATAGAGGATAAATAACAGATTCAAGGATGTTGGTCCAAAAGGACTCTGAGAAGAGTTGTCCATGATCCTTCAAAATGTCAAAAAGTACTCCCACAGCACTTCTCTTGATGGTTGATCTTGAATCACTAGTCAATTTAGCTAAACCTGAAAGGTTAAAAGGAAATATAAAATAATAATCTTACAAATGAACCAGTCCTTACGTTTTTTAATCCAACAAGATTCACACTGCATGATAGTAACTAACACTAAAAGATTGCCACACCTGCAAGGAGAGGAATCCATAAGGAAATAGAATCATCCTTGTCCACAGTGGCATTTCCATCTGACATGCCTAAATTCCTGGGTTCATCAGTACACTTTTCCTGACAACCAAATCCTTCATCGGCAAGTTTAACAGCACAGAATCGGAGAAACGCAATAGCATTGAGATTAGCATCACTATTAAATTGGCTGCTTGTAAACGCAATAAGACAGTTAACACAATCAGTGAATGTGGTGTTCTCCGTCTCAGTTATGTATGGAAAGTAATCTCGAACAATTTTTTCCATAGTTTCAAATGCCAATAGGACAATACTTTTTGTATCATCAGCTGCAGCAGAAGTAAATACCTGCACAGTGCAAAAATAATTCAATAAACACCATAATAATGCATATTTTAGTCTTCTTTTCATGAGAGAAACGTTGCTGCAATACATACCATAAAAACACCCTTCCAGCCAGATTTTATGTTGTTGACACGACTTAGAACCATCTGTGAGACACACCGGACAATCAGCTCTCGTACTTCTGGAGCATTACTCTTCTGCATAACAATCACGAAAGGTCTAAGGAACTCATTCTGGAAGTTATAGTTTGCCAGTTCCTCTCTTTCCAGAAACTTCATTGCCAGCTGCCTCAGAGAATCCATCACAAATATTGCAACAGAAAGATTTTCTAGCAGTCCAACAGATACAAAAAATTCTGACAGAACTTTCCAAATTCGAGACCACACCAAACGTATGCGGTTCACGTTGTAATGCCTGCACGAATTTAGTTCAGAATTAGAATAGTTGACAAGTACTGGGTCACAGCTACTATCTGCTAGTGAAAGGTAGGTTTTACAAGTGGATCTAGGAAATTCTTACGCGATTTCTACTATTTTTGTAAGGCAGAAGATACGAGGATCCGTTGGAGACTGCAACTCAGTCATTGAGACCTTGCAAAGAGCTTTCACAAAAGCAACAATGGCATCACTGTTTAATCTTTGGCTGTGGGTAAATATATGATTTAACTCAACAATACCAATCTGGTCCAACAAATTTAAGTTCGATATGAAATTACTGATCTGTTCAGGAGTAACCAATGACGAGGCACTGGTTTTTGCCACTGTGCTGTCGTAAGAACCTCCTCTAACAGCAGCCATTACAGCAGGATTCTGAAGAGCATTGGTTCTCTTTGAAGATAGACCAGAGCTGGACTTATGATTTTTTTGTTCGGACTCAACTAAGGGTACTGTAAGAAACGACGAGTCAGTAGGTACCCCTTCTCCAAGCAGGTGCAAATGCTCAAACCGTGACAAACAAGTCAATACATGTTCCCATGCTTCCTGCAAGTAATTGCCATCTTCGATTGCGATGGATATAATAGCCTGTCGAAATTATAGACTAAGTATATCATTCCACTGTTTCAAAACAGTCAGATATGCCAGACATGGAATGCACATACAGAACATATGAGCTGAAATCGTTCAAACACATCTAATATGCTCCATCTATATGCTTCAAAGATTATAAATTTATATGCTTTTTTTAAAGTAGAAGTTGGTTACTTGGAAGTCAGAAGCAACATTTTTATGTAAATTGCACAAAAAAGGGTAATGTTTTTGTGTGGCCTTTTACCTTCATAGCATCGACATTTTTTTGTTTCATGTCTGCAGCAGAATGGAGGGATGTGAATTTGGCTATGGTTGTCAAAAAAGCATCTCTCTGTGTCTGCATGCACATAACAGATGTGATATGCACAGCAAATCTTAATCCCTTTAAACACTGCGCTGCAGAAGCCTTATCATCGCTTTGGTCTAGTGTCACACTGAATGCTGCCATCATAGGAGCCCAACAGGCCTCCATCATGAATCTTAAAATGGTTGCATCAGAAACAGTATAGAACACAGACCTGCATCATGCACAAGCTTAACCTCATCAAATATCAGAGCATATGAGTACTTAACAAAGAAAAATCATGTTGATCTTACTCCGATTTCCTGCATTTTGCTTTAAATTTCTCCTGTATGTGCTTAATGAGCAAGTCATTTGCACCTAATGCTTTGTCTTCTGCCTGTCCCCAGTTGACAAAATTGATGATATTGTCTAAGCCAAGAAGCTTGCTTATGCTATTGGGTTGTTTGATTTGTGTCGTTGAAGAATCAGCACTCATTTTAATTTCCTTATTGACAATTTGGTCATATAATGCACTAAGATAATCTTCAGGTAAGTCCTTCCCATCATCAATTCCTCGGTTATTGCGCATGAAATCAGCCTTAGACATCTGCACAAGAAATCTTGCAATATAAGCGAGCCATTCCCAGATGACAAAATAGGAAGATCACCAAAGACTAACCTTATCTTTCACCATGACACTGTGAGCATCAGTGTTTAGCAAGATAACAGAGTAAGCAAGAATATAGGCAGTATCTGCACTAGTAAAAGCATTTGGATTGCATTTACAGTAGCGTTCAGCAAATTTTTCCATGATCCGGTCAATTTTCTGTGCTTCCCCTGGTAATCTGAAACCTTGCAAGAAAAACCTGATTGCTTCACCGAAGTCCATGCCTTTAAAGTTCAGTGCATCCACATAAGCATGCATGACTTTTAGGGGGAAGTCATCCCTTTCACCCAAATAGTCTCCTACCATTGTTGCATTTAAGCCAGCAGTGTTTTTCAAGAAAAGAGCCACATCTTCCGGCGAATGGCCTATTTTCTTGCTGCGGACAAGAAAATCGATACCTTTGGAAGGCTTCCTGTTAAACAAGGCAATTCCTTTCTGCCAAAAGAAATTGTAGGCCCATCAGTCATCCAAAGTACAAACTATTGAACAGAAGAAAAAAAAAACACTTCAGCCTAAAGAAAGAGAGAAACAACGTAAAAATTAGGAAACCTAATTCAAATTGGAAAAAAGTTACACCTGAAGTTCTATTTTATAAGCACGTCGTTGCTCAAGTGAGGAAGAATCAGATATGTCAGAGCTGCTTGTGTCAGGTTGCATGTCATAATCCATTCCACTTCCATCTCCATTGGTAGTATGATTGTCCATTGAGCCTGGAGTTTCTGAACTAATCAGGGAAAATTCACCAATTCTCAGTTGTCGGTCCATCCATGAACACATTGACTTAACAATAACTGCAAGGCACTTGACAGATTCAATTCGAAATGTTTGGTCTTGTGCAACAGTTAATGTTGTTGTTGATCCAGCAGGGACACCTAAAGCAGTCTTTACTAGTCCATTGACAATCCTGTGAAGATCTGATGGAATTAAAATTGCTTTACTAAGAAATCATAGAGTGACATATACTTTTAGTAGAAGTGATGCTAATGGCTCTTATTGATAGGAAAGTTATAAAGAGAGTGACAAATATTTTCAGTAGAAGTAATGCTAATGGTTCTTATTGACTACAAAACAAAAATAAGGGTGTGTGTCCATCAAGAAGAAAAGTAGAGTACCTTTCAAAAATATTTGGCGCATCAACATCACAATCATAGTTCACAAAAATATCAATGATAACCTGAGGCTCTTTACATATTTTCTCCAAAAAGTTTAGAACTGTCATTTTCTGCAGAAAGCTAGGCTGAAGGACATTTTCAAGAACTCTTAGGATAAGCATAGGAAAAAATAATCCAATTTCCTCTTTCAAGCCAGATCTAAACCTTGACAGCAGACCAACAAAAATGGAGCACAGAAGCTGGAAAACACTCATTGCTGACAAGGCACTGTTCTTCAGCAATGATAAAAATAGGTGCTTCTTAATCGCTTCAAGATACCTGCATCAGTAGGGGAGAAGGTCAGTATTACTGAGCTATACCTTCTGTTGAACCCAATATTCAGTTCAACATTTAGACATGGAATGACCCAAATTCCTCATGCATGAATTTGTTTGGGTGCAATTATTTGATGCATTCCTATATGTATGAATTGAATATTAAACTTTAAACTATTGATGAAAAATGATTTAATACGCAACATGAAGTGGGGACATCAACATATAAACTAAAACCCCACAACTTTAGATTGGTAACCATGACTTCATAAGTGTCAAGTGACATTTGCTCTTCTTTCCTAACAAATGATCAGTGCAGGTCTGCAAGTCACAGGGTGCATGCGCCACTGTCTCTACATGGTCTGCCAGCGTTTGGAACATTTATTGAGGATTTGAAGGGATGCCACAAATTGACTAGAAATTGAAAATCTCCAATAGAACCCAGAATCAGTTGCTCAATAATCGGTATATCATTTGGAAGAGCTAGAAGATTCATTATCTAACAGTAATTCCTTACGATTCTGACTCTAACTATAAACAAAATTGATCTAATATCAGGAATATTCTTTTTAGATTGATCAAGAACTTATCAAAGCATGCATAGCTAAAAGTATATTTCTAAACACATCAGTCTCCACAACAACTGCCTTGTTCATATGCGACATGCATCTTCACCTGGCCAACCTATCATGCAGAAACAACACGGGCAGATGTCATCTGGCTAGAGAAATAGTAAATACTACTCTCCCATACCCCAAATCGTAAACCTTACCCCCCCCCCCACCAAAAAAAAAAATCCACTATTGTTAGCTGAAGTTTTTCTACATTTGGCAAATCCACCTTAATTATCGTCTTTTAGCACATATCAAGACTCATGGCAAAATTAATGAACAAAATAGGCAATGCTGAATTCTAATGGATATAATTAGCACAAGCATGTATCAATCCAAAACATACATACATTTCATTTGATTTCCAGAATGGCCCTGCATTGTCAACGACTGTTCTAAGCAGCTCAAGTGACAAAACCTTCCCCCGCAGCAGCACCGGATCATCGGGGTTATCCGGCGTGGCAAACTTCATCGACAGCTTGCAAAGGTTTTTGAACAATGCCAGCCCATCCTCCCTGATCCTGCTCATCCCCACATCATCTCCATTTTCATCTGCCTCAGCTGGCAAATCCGATGGGGGAACCTCCTCTGGCACATCGCTCCCCTCCATTGCCTCGTTTATGAACGCCTGTGCCGCCTGCACTACGCTGGAGTCATTCAGGCTGCGATCGGAGAGGTCCATCATGTCGGCGGCGGAGACGGTGCGCACGCGCACGTCCATGGCATCCGCCTCGACGCGCGCGAACACGATGGCGAGCACCTGCGCGAGCGCCAGCTTCGCGCAGAGCTGGTTCCCGCCGCTCGCGCTGCCGAGGTATAGGTTGTAGCACGCCCTCACGACGTGGCCCAGGCAGTCCCCGGAGACGGAGACCGAGGGGCACCGCGCGAAGGCGACCAGCACGCGGAGCGCGGCGAGCTCGAGGCCCTCGTCCCCGAGCCCCCCGCAGGAGACCACGGCCGCGAAGAGCTTGGATACCGGCGAGGCGGCGTCGTCGGCGTCAGCAGCGCCAGCGGCAGCGACGGCTACGACCTCGCCGTGGAGGAGGCGGAGGGAGAGGAGGGTGGAGACGCACTCCAGCGCGGGCTCGGCGACCTTGGGGGAGGCCGGGTCGAGCGCGATCAGGAGAGCGCGGATTGCCGCGTCGGCGGCGGCCGCGGCGACCCCCTGGATAGGGGAAGCGGAGGCGGAGGCGGCCTCGTCGACATCCGGGGAGGCGGAGAGGAGGTCGAGGGCGGACTTGGAGGCGGCGACGAGCGCGGAGTGCTTGCGCCAGGAGGAGTGCTTGATGACCTTGTCGAGGGCGCGGGCGAGCACGCGGGCGGCGGCGTCGGCCTCGCCCGCAGCCGGCGACGACATTGCGGTGGATGGGAAGCTAGGCGGCGGAGGTCATCGGCAGTGGAGGTGGGGGGAGATCTGGGGGAGCTCGCGCTGATGGGGGGTTGTGGTTGGAAGGGGAGAGTGGAGGTGGAGGTGGCAGGGGAGGGGGGAGGGAGATGGGAGGTTTGGTTGGAGCAGATCAACGGAGTAAACTACAAGTCTTGACACTTGCCGTCTTCTTCTAGAAAGTCCCCACCACCACGGCGGGTGAGCTGAGAACCAGCAGCAGCCACCAGCCCAACATCTGATTCTCCTTCAGATTATAAGTAGATACTGTACCTTTTGCTTAATAATAGCATGACCAACTTAATGGGCTCGTTTAGGGCCTATTCACTTTGATGAAAAAAAAACCTACCAAATTTTGGCATTATAAAAATTTTGGCAACTTATCAAATTTTGGCATGATTTCTTATATAGTTACCAAAAAATTGGTAGCAAACTAAATGTAGCTATTTTTTGGCAACTTTATCAAAATTTATTAAGGTTGAAAATGGCATCAAAGTGAACTGGCCCTTAGTTTCAAAAAAAAACTTTTCACTCATCACATCGAATGTTTAGATGTATGTATGGAGTATTAAGGACTTATTTAGTTTCTAGAACAAAAACTTTTCACCCATCATATCGAATGTTTTAGAACATACATGGAGTATTAATTTTGGACAAAAAAAAAACAATTACACAGTTTGCACGTAAATTGCGAGATGAATCTTTTAAGTCTAATTGCGCCATGATTTGATAATGTGGTGCTACAGTAAGCATTTGCTAATGATGGATTAATGAGGCTTAATAAATTTGTCTCGTAGTTTCCTGACGGAATCTGTAATTTGCTTTGTTATTAGACTACATCTAATACTTTAAATGTGTGCCCGTATATCTAATGTGACAACTAAATCTAAAATTTTTCCCCAACTAAACAAGTCCTAAATGTGAAAAAAAACAAACCAATTACACAGTTCTGACGGAAATTGCAAGACGAATCTTTTGAGCCTAATTGCACCATGATTTGACAATGTGGTGCTACAGCAAACATTTACTAATAACGGATTAATTAGGCTTAATAAATTTGTCTCGCGGTTTTCTGGTGGAATCTGTAATTTTTTGTTATTAGACTACGTTTAATACTTCAAATGTGTGTCCGTATATCCGATGTGACAACCAAGCCCTATGCGTATAGAAATTAGTTTGTCTTTATTAATTGTGTAAAAACCACAAATTTATGGAATGGCCTAATATCAAATAAATAGAATGGGGTGAGACTTCGAACCCAAACCAACTAGTCCACCACTGTCCACCATCTTATGAAGCTAGCTGAAAAACCCCTAAACGTTTCTCATTACTTGTGTAGCTTAGCCCGTCTTCTCAGTTAGGCCCTGTTTAGTTCAAAAGTTTTTTTTTCCAAACTTCCAACTTTCCATCACATCAAACCTTTCATACACACACAACTTTTCTATCACATCGTATCAATTTCAACAAAATTTCTAAACTTCAGTGTGAACTAAACACAGCCTTACTACTTGTGTAGCTTAGCCCGTCTTCCCAGATTTTTGCTAAGATCTTTGCTACAGATTATTTGCTTCACGTTTTTAAAAAGATGATTTTTTTAGAAGCTTTCTTCTGCTGCATTAGACTGTCTATCCTAAGCTATTTGTGAATTTTATTTTTCTAATTTATCATACTAATCATGTGTAAACAACCCGTATCAATAATCTAAGGAAATACAGTAGCTGTTTCAAACAGGACCTTAACCTTGAACAGTTGAACTGTCAACACCATGGCCAACTTTGTTTGTGTTGCGTAATCACAGTTCGGGTTAGTAGTAGCTACGAGAAACTGTTTATCTTACTCAATGGTGATTTTGGGTGGTCATACAATTAAGCTTTCGACAGAACTATAATGAACTGAAGCAAATGGGAAAATTTCCCTGAAAATCATACCGGACAGGAAGTTGCGTTTACTGTCGAAAATTTATGGTAGATTATATGTTCACGATTAATGATTAATGGAAAGCAAAGATCAACTATGTTTGCGCTTGTTTGTTTATTTGTTTCATTTACTCACATCAAGGCAAATACTGCTGAGGAACAATATATCTGTTTTTTACTGCCATACACTTCCAGAGAGCCTGGCAAGTAGGAGTGTAGGAGCAACTGTAAATCTTCCGACAAGATGAGAAGCCAGCAAACAACTCAACAAAGCCAGATTTCAAAACTACCTGGATAATGCATTATGCATAGGAGGATATTATAAAAACAAGGGGGGAAGGAACCAAAAAAAGAAAAAGATAGTCCATGGATAAGCGGCAGCACGACAGGCGATAGACACGCCAATTTGATTTGCTAGCTACAATACAGACTGGAAACAACTTTGCAAGGAAGCGGCAGCCTAGCAAGCAGCTGCTGCTAAACGGAACGGTCCGGTATCTAGCTTGATCCTCGCCCTCGAGCCCTTGCAACGCCTCCCATGGAGTAGTAATGTTTCTTCTAGCTGTTGTTCACTGCTTGTCTTCTTTCCGGTTACCGTCGCGAGATCTCTTCCGGCGCTGCTTCGAGCCACCGGGTTTCGGTTGGGTAGACCGGGCACCGGGAGTAGGCACACGATGCTCACGAGCCAAAGCAGGGAAACCAGCGGCAGGGTTTCTGCAAACAGGAAAAGGTTACCTTTAGCATCAGGTTTATGACACAAATATACTGTAGGAGCATCAGGATTATGACTCAAGCATACTGTAGGATAGCAAAGAAACCATGTTCCAGTTAATGTCAACTTCGGTCGGTGACTGATTAGGTCCAAAGTTGGAAAACAAAAGGCTAAGCAAGTGTTATTGTATAAACAATGCAGATTTGTGCATAAACCACGCATACTTGTACACAGAAAATGTAGTCAACAATTGGCTATAACTACAATAGCTAGCTGTTTGATTTCATGGGAATTCAACAAAAATTAGCTTAGGCGGATCATCCATGAGACCACACCGAATATATTGATGCCAAGCACAAGTTTGTCAGCATACTGAGCAATTCAAAATGATCGGCAAGAAAAGATTTGTTCATCCATGTCGAAATAGAAGTATGAAACAGAAAATGTTGTCGATATGTCTTACCCGTGAGTACGGCAGACTCCTGCATGGCTGTGGCGGCACCGACAGGCCTATCCTTCAACAAGCTCTGGCGCAGCGCCATGTTCTCAGCTGCGCAGCACTGAAGCGCGTAGCTGAGGCGACGACACTCGGCCTCTAGATACTTGCTCTTAGTCTCTAGGTCCTTAACATACATCTTCTTCCTCTCCCTCGATTTCATGGCAGAATCCCTATTTCTCATCTGCCTGATAAATTCATAACACATACTATTAGATTATTGTCTAACTAGAACATCTTTGATTACGGAAAACATCTTATAGTTGAAAAGACCATACACTCTTATAATTGAAAGCCTAGCAATTTCTTACAATTTCACAAAGGATTAGCACTAAAAAGACCATGCATCTTATTACGACAAATTAGATCATATACTCATGTATGTACATATATAATGTTTTAATTAATAAAAAAAATGTACTATGGGTGTAGTGCGGTTCTGGACTTCTGGCACTCACTGAATAAGATCAATTGTGTTGAACTAAAACCTGACCATTATTCCTAGCTACCTATGTAAATTCACAAATCTTTGTACACACGAAATCCCCCTGATTTTTAGAAATCCCAAGTTTTTAGGCAATTCATACATACCTCCTCTTCTTCTTGCTCATGGGATCATCGCCATCCACCTCCGCCTCCACATCCTCCTTCTCCGCGTCCGGGGTAGCCACCTCATTCTCCTTCCCGGAATCCCCATCCGTGCTTCCCCCCGCCTCACTCCCCTTCCCCTCTTCTTCCTCCTCCTCCTCCCCGCCGTCGACGAGCAGCGCGTCGAAGAAATCCTCCGCGCCGACCCCCTCCTCCGCCGCGGGGCCCTCCTCCATCAGGAACCTCTCGATCTCCGACAGCGCCGCCTCCCGGGAAGGGCTGGGCCGCCGGGAGCTCACCGACTCCGGCGACCCCGCCTCCGCATCGTGCGGCGGTGACGGGGCGAAGAGGCCCGAGACGCCGGAGCCGGCGGCGGCGGCGGAGGAGGAGAAGGAGGCGAGGAGCGCGTCGAGGTCGAGGTCGGCGAAGAACTCTACATCCATGGAGATCGCGATGGAGATATTTTTGTCTCTCGCGGTGGGTTGCCGCTCGTGGGTGTGTTTAAATATGGCGGACTCGTCGGAGATGCTCGGATTTTGCTTCGGGAGGAAGGAGGAGGGGAAAGTTTCGGCGAAGGGAGGTGGTGGGGCCCACGCGGGGTGGTGCCGTGGCATGGCCAATGGGAGGGCTTGAATGTGCCATGTCATCTCGCGTGGTTTCGTTTGGTTTATGTGGGCCTTTTGGGCCAGAGAGACCCATGTAAGTCCAGATATTTCAGGCCGGGCTTAGGAATTGGGCCGAGAAAAAGCCTTGTACGAACTAAACGGGCCTGGCCTAATTAATATTGTCCTGAAAGACTTCTAAGAACAAGTTCATTTTAGGTCTTATTTTTGACGGCAAGTTTAACAAAATTTTGACAGCGAGTTTAAGAATGTTTTGAACCGCAGTACCAGATATAATACATCCTGGTCTTGCAAAACCATCTCAAATGGAGTCCCAAGGCCATAGAAAGGTAACGGTTGTGGTATAAAAAGGTAATAGAAACTTTGGATAGTATTTAAGTGCATCGGAAACTCTCGATGTGTAAATCAAAACCCGGGAACTTTTGAAGGCATGGAGCCAATTTTGCAATTATATACTTGTTGACAGAAAACACGAGGCCTGGGAGATCTGCTTAACTCCAGTGCAGGTCCAAAGCTCGCCTTCGGATGTGCTAGCGTGCCAGTTGATTTGATCCTATAATCAACAAGAAATAGAAGCAAAGAAAGCGTAGTTAAATCTATAAATGATAGCCGATCGGCTAAATGCTGATGACATATCATTTATGTTTGAGCCGATGTCCTATGTGTATCGATCGGCAATCTTGAATAAGTAAGAAAGAACTAAATCTACTTGATTGGCTGTAGATGTTAACGATATGAACTCCTTATATCGATATATACTTAAATCAAGTGATTGGGATAGATCGGTTGCCATACCGAGACAGTATAAATCACTTAGACCGAAATATATATTAATAACATGACTATATATGTTTATAGCATAGCCGATCAGATAGATATAGCATGTATTGGCTAATACTCCGATACTACTTTATATCAGGATATTAAAACAGGTATAGAATATCAAGCAAAAGCCTAATATATTCAAATACAGTAATATCTTGGCATAAAGGGCAGATTTAACATGTCAATAAAACATATAGAGCAAATATAATTAAATCAGATAAGATCGGCTGAAACTCCGATGCTACCCTAATTGGCAACCAGAAAGCAGGCTAGAGATTGATATTCTAAGCACGACTTAATATATCAAACTCAACTGATGCAGCATTAAGTATGAAAAGAATATCAATATCTAGACAATCAAGCCGCTAGAAGTTTCATACAGTGGTAGATATCTTATATAATCTAGGTCAACGTCGAAATCTAACCTAATCGACTGCCCTCTTCGACGGACGTTAGCCGATTGTAGATTAGATAGCGGTGTTGCCAGAGATTATATAAAATATATGATAACTCGACGAATTACATAAACAAGATTAGAGTGTCATAAAGATGGAAGCACTAATCCCGAGAATGCAAGCCGTCATAACAAGTTTTACCTCTTGTTGAAGATCGAAACCGATGCAGCTCAACCCGAAAGCAAGAACTCGTCGAAATAAAACTAAAGCAAAAAGGTGGCGATGCGCCGAAATTGTATTGAACGTGTGTGTTAAAAGTTACATAGGGCTCGGGTCTATTTATACCCGAGAATTACAAGATATGTCCATAACGGACACGACTACTGTCTCTAACAAACTCTAAGATACTATAAGTCTTTGCGGCAGACTTTTGCCCAATCATATCTCTAAGGAAATTACATAAAACATCCTAATTAATAGATACAATTGCCTCCTCAGGACTTTATCCATGTGCGGCAATCACCTTGAAGTACCTCAATCCAACCCGACATCACACATCAAGTTGTATTGCTAGGATCGGCTACATCAGCTTACCTAGTCCGACCCAGACTCAGCCGATCTCATCGTAGCCGATCTGGACTCCAGCCGATCCCTGCTCTGTTTTCGAACTCGATCTCTGCCTCCGACTTCGCTTCAATCTAATCTTCCTTTCCAATGCCGATATTACCAAATTTGGTTGTTAACACATGCCCCCTAAGTCCGGAATATTTGGTAATGTTTCGGATTTGCTGTAAATCAACTCCGAGCAAGTTTCACACTTTGCCGTTTTCCGACCATTATTGCCGTGCTTTAAATACTAACCGTCACCCTCGAGGAATCTCACACCGTGACTTCCGTTTTCACCGCTCAAGCGAAACTTTATCCTCTCTCTCTCCGGCGATTCCTCCGACGCAAAAGCGACTCCCGGGCGACTTCATCTCCGACGAGACCTCCGCCTGTAGCGATGTCGTCTTCCACCAATCCATCTAATGCGCCATCAGCCGAGTATGCTGAGGTAAGTCCCCATCGGCTAGATCCCCTTTCTTAGCAGCAGATCGATTTTCTCCTATCTTACATCGCTCTCTTTCTCTCGGTTGTCTTGGATTTGTAGCATCTCTCAAACCAAGTCGCGATTCCCAGCCTTTCACACAAAAACCACTATTTTCTCAGCCCAATCGGCAATCTCGACCCCACTGATTTCATCATTGGTGAAACCAACCGGATCCCCTTCAGGCTAGCCAACCCTGACCTGGGTCACTGGAAGAATACCTTCAAGTCTTGGCCATATCTCGAAAAACCCACACCTGATAAGAGCTGGACCACCTGGTACCAACGCGTATCGGCTAGTAAGAAAGTTCACTGGGATGAGATTGGAATCGGCCAAGCACTTGCTCTCACCATAGCCAATTCTGTTAAGGATGAACCTCTGATGGCTGCCACCACCTACTTCTGGTCGAATACCATCAATGCTTTCTTATTCAACCAAGGGCCGATGACTCCAACTTTAATCGACATCACCATGATTACTGGATTAGATGTGACTTCATCGGCTAACCCCATGAGTATGAACACTAAGAACCAATTTGACTTCAAGACCAAAAGCATAGGTGGTTAGTCTGGCTATGTGGCGGCATATATGGGCCAAGGATCCGTTACCCCTCGAGAGCATGTAGCTTTCTTGCTTATGTGGCTGGAAAAGTTCCTCTTCTGTGGATCCAGCTGTGGCCCTATAACCAACTGGCAGTTTGTAGCCGAAGCCCTAGAATCAAAGAAAGAATTCCCTTTGGGCAAAATACTTCTCGGCTATCTGTATCAAATGTTGAACAATGCATCGGCTAAAATAGCCGTCGGCTCAGTAGTTGGAGCAGGTGGACCATGGTGGCTGCTGCAAACTTGGTTAAACCTGATAGTCATGAAGGTTGTCAATCGGCCCTCTGTAACAGAAGCTGAATTCCCACTGCCAGAGCCGATTGTGGAAGATGAAGGAGAAGAGCGCACCCATCGCAGATGCATGTCATATGGAGAATATGCATCCACACCAACCGATGCTGGAGCAAAGCTGTCGGTCGAGCTGCTCAAGGACTGGTTCTGCAGCTTCTACGAAGGTTTTAAGAAAGATGCACGAATCTGGTTTCCTTATGAAGATACCATATAGTACTATAGATATGGGCATATTTTAGGACAGATGGAGTATTTGCTTCAACTTCAGCTGAGAGTTTCACAAAAGTGCATCAATGATTTTACCAGAGAATTACAAATGTTTAACCGGCTCCACCTATCAGGCACACTGTTGAAAATTGGGCTGACGTAAAAAAACATACGTCCTATTTAGTTGGAGGAAGTTGGTGATAGGGAATAGGAGTTTAAGTTTGTAGTTTGGTTCAAAGACTTGGAATTCGAGAGGGTTTGGGATGGAGAATTAAGGGATCCAGCTCCCACCGATCTCTTACTGGGGAGGCCTGTTAATTCATGAGACTGGGAGGGAATTCCATACAAAAACCAAACAATGGATGGGGACTAAAAATGTACTCCTATGACCAATCCCACGATCAACTCCCTCCTTCAAACTCCCATTCCTTTTCCCTTTTCTTGCCAAATAGGTTGATAGGGGATTGAAAATACTTTGTTGTTGCAGCTTTGAAAAATGTCTAACTAAAGTTGTAGCAAAGTAATAGTTTTGACAAGAAATTTGTAGTTATGTGAAATTTACTCTTCTAATTTTATAGTACCAGGCTAGCAAGCGAGTTAAATTTTGGTTTATTCATGAAAACTAGTCCATCTCTCCAACCAAATGACTTAGGCTTGTCTGGCAACTTGAAGGAAGGGGATTGGGAGTTTACACGAGGGAATTGATGGTGAGATGGGAATTTGATTTTTAATCCCAATATCTTGTTTGGTAGAGGTGGTGGAAATTGGTAGGGAGTTTAGTTGGAGATTAGTTCATTATTGAAAACGGATAGTTGAGATTTGTTTAGGCTAAGTAAAGGAGGAATTCCCTCGCAATTACCACCCCTACCCAGGTATTGAAAAGGAGGGAGTTACTTCCTCAATTCCCCATCCCCATCCTACCAAAAATCTCATGTCTCCCAACCAAACAAAACAGTTAATAGCATCATCCCTCTAAACTCCCAATCTCTCCTAAAAACTTCCTCCAACCAAACGGAATTATAGCAACCCATATACTCTTCTGAGAACCATATACTTGTAAAGTCGCCACTCGAGGAATCGATGTTCGAGTGGATTTTCTCAAATTAATTTTAAGATCTTGTTCTAAAGTGCTGATGGATGATGGATAAAGTTGACTTTATAACAATTAGAGGACACAAACGAACGAACTAAATATTATAGATTTGAAAAGCTAATTTAAAGAGGCATGTTTATAAGTGTTGATGAAGAGAGTTCAAAGAAATAGTACAATTTAAAGCTTGAAAAGTGTACCTATGATAATTCATAATCCATAAGCCAAAAAGATATCAGAGGTAGAAACCAAGATGAACATAGAAAAATGATTCGATAAGCAATAATAAAAGCCGGTCAAGATGAACAACATGATGCCATGAGTTTATAAATATAGTAAATTTCATAGAACTACAGATATTTTGACTATAGATTGAAGACGTTGTATGATAAAACTACATATTTAGCGGTAAATTTATCACACAAGTACATATTTAATGCCAAGTTTCGTAAAATTACATATTTTATACTGAAGTTATGATGAAACTACATATTTAATATTTAAGTTATCACAAAACTACAATTTTTAGAGTTTAAATCCATGGTACTAACATTATGTTAGAACTTATAGTTTTGGGATAAATCGACACTAAACCTGTAGTTTTGTAACAATTTTGCTACTTAATCTTTATTTTTGTGACACTCCATCCAAAATCTGTAGTTTTGTGAAAAATTTTGCTCTAAATCTGTAGTTTTGTGATATAAGACCTTAAATCTATTGATTTGTGATAGTTTGGTCCAAGTATCTATAATTTTGTGAAATTTACTCTTATAAATAAGTACCATTAAGAATACTTTTAGTGTGCACTTAGGGAATGTTTGGCTCATGGTCTCATCTTACCGCATCATATTTTAGTCATGCTATAGTTTATTATACATTTCTTTGCTTCAGTGTCATAAGTTAGCTTTACTATACTTTCCTCTAAATTTGGACTCATGAATCATCCACTTAAATTTCTAGGCTAACCATGCAATACCGGTGACCAATAAATTCATGGGCGCACTTCTATATTATGTCATACTCACCGAACATTAGTTGTGCAAACTTAGGCAACAAGCAAACAACCCCTTAGAAAACCACTACACTCGCTCCACACTCATACAAGCATGTTCATTTACACATGCTAAAGGAGAGATCAAAGGACTAACACCTCCAATACATGAGATCGAAGCAAACAACCCTTTAAAGACACACAAAACACAACACCACCACCCTTACTCAAGAGTCAAGACACATGCGAGCATGTTCTTTTACACATGTTAGAGGTGAGATCAAATGACTAACAATACCTCCAATGCATTTATCACTTAGTTCTACTGAACGCGCCCCACGTGTTTGTACTTATAAAGAAAGCCCCAGTGAGGCAATACAATTTTAATTCCAAATTCAAACTTGTGTTGCCCAATTGTCACCATTATATTTTAACTGAACACTGAGTTACGGCATAATCGTAAGGTAAATTACATTATAGTTTAACTAAATAAACGAGTTTGGGTTGAGGAGTGCATGGTCGGTCCGTGCCCATCCATAAAGAACACGATCTAGCCAAACACGGCGAAGCCTAAAAGCAGGTACAATAGCAGGCTATAAGTAAGCCAGCTAGGGAGAAAAGCAGCGGGCTACAGATTTGTAACTAGCTGTAGCACGGACTCCAAGACACGATGTGTATGATAGGTGGGATCATGTATTAATAGTGTAGTATGTAACTATTGTATGAATGAACTACTCCCTCCATACTCATAAAGGAAGTCGTTTAGGACAGCGACACGGTCTCCAAAACACAATTTTGACTTCTTATTTCTATAAAAATATTTATTAAAAAGTGATATATGTATACTTTTATGAAAGTATTTTTCAAGACAAATCTATTTATATAATTTTTACATTTTCAAACTCAACAACTTGAGAGTTATTTATGATTTATATTCCCAAGTTTTGACTTAAACATTGTCCTAAACGACTTCCTTTATGAGTACGAAGGGAATATTAGATTGGCTATAGATGAATTGTAGCTAGTAGTTGGCTATACTATTAAACTTGCTCTAAGGGTGCGTTTGTTTCAGCAGTTGTGTGGGGATTTTCGGTGGCTCGCGCAACGAGATAAATCATTAATAGTGCGTGATTAATTGAGTATTAATTATTACCACAAAACATATTTTATACTAGCAATTTAGGAAGCATGCTAACGGAAATCTAGAAGGTTGTAGTTTGGATCTTAAGGCTAATGCCCTGTTTAGATGAGATTAACTAATTTTAGTCTAGTCCCTCCCATCCAATGATCCAAACAGCCCCTAAACTTGAACCAAATTCAAATCTCACACAGCCTGCCCCACATCACACATCACAGTGGCGCAATTCAAAACAACCAACCCCGGGTCCCACATGTCACAGACGCACCAGACAAATCCCCCGTGTCCGCGTAGCCGCGGTTCCCCCGCGCCGCTCTAATCGCCAGCACCACCGCACCAGCCAGTCAGCCCACCATTTCAAACGCCACACTCACTCACACCAACGCGCACAGGCGCAAGCCCAAACTCCGATCCGTTCGTCCGAATCCCCAATCCAAAAAAATCAAAAATCCCAACACAACACCAAAAAAAAAAAAATCCCCCTCGAATCTAACCCAACCCCTCCCCTCTCCTCCTCCTCGATTCAAACGGTGCCCACCCTCGCCGCCGGCCGCCGCGCGCCGCCGCAGTAGCCCGACACGCATCGCCGCCGCCGCCGCCGCTGGAGCGTTGGCGGCGATGGAAACCCTAATGGTGGACCGCGTCCACGGCAGCCTCCGCCTCTTCATGCACCGCAACGCCGTCTTCCTCTGCGAGCGCCTCTGCGCCCAGTTCCCCGCCGAGGTATGCATGTGTTTCCCTGGGAGTAAGCGCGGTTCAGATCGGGTGCTTGGTCGGGGGGTGGGGGCGGCGATTTGGGGTGCGGGCGCTCGCCTGCGCCGGGGGGGTCGATTTATTGGCATTGTTTAGGTTTTAGTGTTTAGGCGTGCGCCTGGAGCTTCAGTGGTGAGATTTGGGCCAAGTTCATGGGAAGGTTGAATGAGAAGGGCTTCCTCTAGCTATTTAGCCATTTGGGGAAGTGGTTTCAGTAATTCAGTCTGTAGAGAACTAGAGCTACTGTAATTGGTTGCCATAGGGTTTATGGATAATCTGGGTGCCGAAAGACTTTTATGGCCTAAGATAGGATACGATTTCACTCTTGCAGTCTGTTTTAGTGATTTGGTTGGGAAATAGCTATGGTGATGTGTTACATCTTATTATTTTACTGGGTGTTTAGAACACTAGCCATTGTAAGTTGCAAAGGCTAGATTAATTGTACGTTAATACTATGTAGTTAGCTACCCATACTACCATGCTACTCCCTCCGTTTCAAAATGTTTGACACCGTTGACTTTTTAGTACGTGTTTGACCATTTGTCTTATTCAAAAAATTTAAGTAATTATTTATTATTTTCATATCATTTGATTCATTGTTAAATATACTTTTATGTACACATATAATTTTACATATTTCACAAATTTTTTTAATAAGACGAACGGTCAAATATGTGCTAAAAAGTCAACGGTGTCAAACATTTTGAAACGGAGGGAGTATCTTGCAACGTGGACTACTGGAGTGTGTGGATTTAGCTGCTTTAGCTTTTAACAATTCGAGTAGGACTATGTTTGGGCAGACCAAATATTACTTTTTTCATGTGTTCAATTTTCTTTTGTATATGACTTTAATTGTTTGGCAGTTATTGAGATGAAGCTAGATAGTGAGTAAACTGAATCCGATACTTGTTTGCTGTAATAAGAGTCTTTTCAGTTTTCTCATCGCTGATAGCGTGTAGTTTTGTTCTCTTAGTTCGTATATGACCAGGATCACATGTTGTACTAAATGTATACTACTCATGTGCACAGACAAATGTCCAGTTGCTAGCGACTTGCTACCTTCACAACAACCAGCCATATGCTGCATACCACATCTTGAAAGGTAATAACATATGCTCACCACGTGACCACTTATTATTGTGTAGAAGTGAAATCACATTATTTAAAAATCAAAGAAATGTGAATATAGTATCTGTCCATCTTTTTGGGCACATTTCTATCCTGTTTTGTGATTTCAGTATATTTTATTCTGTGGTCGCAAAGTGCTTTGGTCTTTGGAGCGATTTCTGATTTTTATTTCTGATATAACATAAAGGAAAGAAGCTGCCAGAGTCCCGGTACTTGTTTGCTATGTCATGCTTCCGAATGAACCTCTTACGGGAAGCTGAAGAAGCCTTGTGTCCTGTCAATGAACCAAATATTGAGGTATATAGCATGTTTTTAAACATTATTTGTTCATTGTGTTCCTGAAATATATTTCATCCAACGCTCTTAATTTTTTCGTAAGTGCTTGAACTCAAGTTTTGTTCTGGACAAGGGGTCGCATGATGTATCATTTGTTCCATGGTGTCTTCTGGATTCCAAATCAGAAGTAGAAAATGGGATGTGCAGCATGTTTGATTATTCATGAATTAAGAGTTCCAAAACTGGTGATATACCATTTGAAAACATTAAGATTGGTTGCCTGTCAATGAAATCGTATCAACAATGTTATCAATGTGAAAACAAGAAGTGTATCATGTCTTAAAAGAAAATATGCATGTATGATTAAGTGATGTACACGAGAAACATTGTCACTACAAGTTGATGTTTTGCTTGCATAGAAACGTCTGCAGACATCTTTTTTTTCTTTGGGTGCATGACAGCATTTTGAGGTTGTCCACTAACTGTTTGATTCCACACGGGTGAAGTAATGATGTGGAAAAAAAATCAGTTTGCATCTTTGCTTACTGTTATACTTCCTCCCTTTTTTGCAAGGCTTCTTCAATACTTTTCCAAAATATAAGGAATGCATGTGAGTTTATTGCTTTTATTCCTTGTTTACCCTCATTTTTGACATAATACCTCTTAAATTAATGCGAATGAACTCACTAACCATCAGCTCTATATTTCGAATTTATTTAAGTACGGGTAGAATGGTCATCTACTCATCTTAACCTCTCTTTCTCATGGTTTTAGACTCTTCTTAATCTTGTGCCAACTTGACAACTCCTAATATGACCTATAAATAGAAACTGAGGGATTGTTATTTTGGTAACTTATTTCTTATATGTTGTTTCGTTCCTTTGTGCAGGTTCCAAGTGGTGCAACAGGGCACTACCTTCTTGGAGTAATTTACAGGTTTAATATTCATGTCATAACTCGTAACTAAATCTATAATCACAGCATATCTTGATCCATTAGTTGTGTCAGATAGTTCATTGTATTTACCACATCTGCATGTAGGTACACTGGCAGAGTGGAAGCTGCAGCTGAGCAATTTGTACAAGCTCTGACTCTTGATCCTCTTCTATGGGCAGCATACGAGGAATTGTGCATACTAGGTTGGTGCGTTAATACACTATGAGTGAAGTTTTTTAGCACCTCCATTCCTAGTTTTATACATTAGAATTACATGCGTCAAGTGTTGCTTCACCACAAAGATTTATTTCCTAAATGTCTAGTAGTAGGAAATGAAAAGTACAGTGTTGATTTTTCTGAAGAAGAACACGTCATCCAAAATATGTGACTTGCAGTAGACCTTCAATAGGCCTGTTATGTGTTTTGCATCATAGTAGTTTTATTCTGTCATTCATTATTAGCTTGATAGATCAATAAACAGGCATAATATTTTTAGCCATTATGTTCATTACTCCCTCTGTCGATTTTTTGACCAACAAATAGTCCAACAATATGCAGAGGCTGCGATACAGAATTGGTGTCATTAGATTCACTTTTGAAAGTACTTTCTTGTTATCATGATTTTCACATTTAGAGACCTTATAAAAAAAACAGGGATTAGTTCATTGCCATACATGCCCATTGATATGCCTAATGTTGATACATTATTATTTTTGCATACCGTTGCAGTTACACTATGGCCCAGTAGTCCTTATATTGAAGGCCTCATACTCACTAAATATAAAAGCAAGCATATACCATGTGTGTCACTAATTAACTATCTTGTAGGTGTTGCTGAAGATGCAAATGAATGTTTCAGTGAAGCAACAGCTCTACGTCTTCAGCAGGAACTCACATCCACATCAAATGTGGAAAAGTCAAACTTTGTTAATGAAAATCGGTTTCTATCTTCCAATGTGTCAGCAAGTTTTGGTGATAGTCCTAAGCAAATTAAACAGCTGCATGCTAACACCACTGCAGAAGTATCTGGTTATCCTCATGTAAAGTCAACTGCATTGCATATGCAGAACGGTGCACCATCTAATTTATCACAGTTTGACACTCCATCGCCAACTTCAACGCAGGTCAGCAAAACTTGTTTGGTTCTTCACCCAGTAGGATTAACCAGATACAATCAATTCGTACTTTGAGGAATTCTCCAGAATCTGCACATTTGGTTTATCTAGATCCTCTTCTTACCTTTGTTTGCAAGAAAGATTTGGCATATTGTCATTATTGTTTCTCTGAATCACATGCTTTCAGTTGACCTTTTTGCACATGAAGAGTAACAACTTGGTGTTAGACAGCAGCTCTTGAAGTGCAACATACCCTTTGTAGTGCAGTTGTGCACTTTCTTGATGTACTTCTCATTTACTCTGACTAGGTGTAAAAAAATCAAAATCAAACTAATTACATGTTATGAGTAACAAAAATGTAAATAATCTGCCAAATGTTAAATCACAAGGAAAAGGAAAGCGAAAAATCAAATTATACTCACAGCAAAGTTTGTATCTTTTGGTTCACTGTTATATGCTTCATGGTGGATATGATGATGAGCAGTGAAAGAGTGACAGAAGCATATAGCACACTTTAAACAACATCACAATACAGTGTAAAGACATGTGATCTATGGTTGCGCTATCACAATTTTCTATTTAATTAATTTAATTTTTGCAGGCTTCTGGCATTGCTCCACCACCACTCTTTCGGAATATGCATGCTTATCAGAATACAGCAGGTGGCAATGCTCCTTCCAAACCAAAGGTTAATGCTCCGAACCTGACACTCCGAAGAAAATACATCGATGAAGCAGGCCTAAAGAAGGTTGTTGTTTCCTCAACTGAAAGATACTGTCTTGCAACTTCTATAATTTCTACTGATCTCTTGAGCTTCTAGGTTTCTCTCGGTCGACTGTCCTCTTTCAATAATTTAAATTGTTAGATTAAACCTCTCGGAAAATGATACGTGTTTGGAGTAAACCACATACTTGCTGATCCTCTCCAGTTGTGCATACTAGCATTGCTTGTTAATGCATTAGTATTCATTGGCTCATTGCATTTACAGCCTAATACTTCCTGGTTGTATGAGTCTGTAGAGTTTCAGTCATGGCTGTTCTATCAGGATTCAGGATGTTGATCCCTTGCTTCTACCTAACTGCGTCTGCATTGCAAAGTTTGTGATTGCGGTCTTCTTTTTATTTGTTAGTTTGTATTGCCCATTAATTAAGATTCATTGACTATGGATAGTTCTGTTTGACAGTACCAGACTACCCATCAAGTTTGTACCAACACCCAGCCCCAGCGACGAGATAGTTTACCTGATAATAGCTGATTTGTCAATTTTTGATAGTTTACCATTCATTAACTTTGAAGTATATCTCCGATGGTGTTTTTGTAACATTCTAGCTGCTAGATTGTTGCCTCATTTTCATCTTTGCATAGCGCCTTACGTTCTTCACTTTCCATCAGCATTCTTTTGTTCAATAATAGTGGGATATTATCATTGTTTTCATTTTGTTTTCACAGGTTTGTCCATGTAGTACGGACTGTGGAACCAGCAAATATTTTTTGTAGTTTCGTTCTTTTCATCTTTGATTTATTATTGCCTTCGTTAGAGCTCATCTCGTCTAATATTGGACCTATGTTTCTATTGTTCTGTTGCTTTGAGGTCTGGCTGTATAGTCTCTTTTATGTTCTTTCTGTTGATAGTCCTCACACCATGCTCATACCCCACTTTAGATTTGACTTGTGATGATACCAGACTTAAAAGATTATTTTTCTCAGTTAAAAGATTATTTTCTCAGGTTTCTGGAAGGCTGTTTAATCAGAGTAGTGATTCAGTTCCTCGAAGAAGTGCAAGACTTTCTAGAGATACAACAATAAACTCAAACTCAAATATCTCTCAATTTGGAGGGAATGGAACAGATCACTCGTCAGGTAAATTGCGAGTAAACTCGTCCACACCATCAAAATTGTGTTCAACAGCTCTACGTTCCGTGCAAGTTAGGAAAGGGAAACCACAGGCAACAGAAAATTTTGATGAAGGTGATTACCATTTCGACATGGATGACTCATCAAATTATATAAGCCTCAAATTATATAAGCCTCAAATTATATAAGCCTCGCAAAAAATGTGGTTGATATGTTGTTATAGACACTGCAATCAGGATATATCTGCATGTTTGCTTATATGTTCATGTGCAATGGGTTCACATTAGTAAAACTCACTCATCAATATTGTATTGATTGTACTTGAAAAGTACAATAATGACACCAAGCCACAACTCACAAGGCATTTAGGATGCTAAGAAACATCATGCAACTACTCACCGAATTTATTGGCTGTTCATGTTAATCCATATACCTTTTAAATATCTCTATTATTGAGCTGAAATTTTAAGCATCTATAATACCACCAGAACATTATCAGCTATCATTCAACCCTTGAAGTGTCTCCGTTATCATATTGTTTTTAGTTTCTTCTTCATGTAGCATATGAACTGCAGAATTGCTTATCCTTTTCTTTGGCGCCTCATGTTAGATCATTATTCCTAAAATACATAAATATTTACATCCAGATTCATACATTTTTACTGTATCATTGCTTGTTTGAACTTTTCACTCCTATGGATAAGGTTTCCTGATTATTGTGATAAAAAAAAATCGAAAGGAACTTCTTGCACCATGAATCCTGTTTCAAGAGCCCTAACACTTAAGACTTTTAAAATGATCACACATCCTTCTCCTTCACTGGATGCAGGATCATCCAATCCATCAACTTATCCTTTTCGATATCATAATTACGTGGTTTGTGAAATTATAATTATCATAATAATCGCATCAGCTTTCTCTATATGAATGGTGCATTAATATTCACGATGGTTTTATTTCCCCTTCTGAACCATAGGAAACAGGTACCACGTTGTTGATGAAATGTGGACAGATAATGTAACTTCAACTTCGTCTTCTACAAGTATAGTTGATGGAAGATATCCCGAGCAAGAGAAATCTGAACGAGTTCTGTCACAGGACTCCAAATTAGCTATTGGTATCAGGGAGCTAATGGCACTCTTGCGGACACTAGGGGAAGGGTATAGGCTTTCTTGCTTGTTTAAGTGTCAGGTATGTTCACGATGTTTGTGTTGGAAATGCTAACCTACTATCCTGTTATGTGGTTGATTTCATTCACTTAATGATCAGGAAGCATTGGAAGTATATAGAAAGCTCCCAGAGGCACAATTTAATACTGGATGGGTTCTTTGCCAGGTACAGCCCCTGCAAAATGGTTGGCGACTTATCTTCATGCTTTTGATTTTGTAATGAAAAACCTTTAGTTTTGTACATGGTTCAAGAAGGTGGTAGGCGCTAGAGGGTCTGCAGGGCCGTAGCCTAGGTCCAACATGATTAGTAAATCCCAAGCAATTAGCAAGTATATGACATAGAAGTTAAACAATAGAACACTAAAATAGCTACACCAGAACCTTCATGGATAGTTTGCCGCCTAATTGACAATCTAATGCCTAATTGGGGTGGTTACTCTGCTCCTAGGGCTAACTTTTGGAAAACTGGTTTTGTATGAGTGTATCTACGTTATTCATGAGGGCATGAGGCATAGGGACTGTATAGTAATGATTCAGGGTCTGTATCGTAATGTATAGCATATTTGTTTCCTTCGTTTTCTAAAAGAAACTACGAGTTTATTTAAATTAATCTGATACGTGATAATGTGATGAATTCATTATGGTAATTGTATATATGTTAGTTGGGTCAATCTGGAGAATTGACATTAGTAAAATGATAACTTGAACTGTAGTTGAACATTGGCCCTGAATGCTGATTGTTGGAATTTCCAGTCACTCAGCATAACCATGTTTACTTGCACATGAGCCACTCTACATCTGGTATTTCATTTCCACTTCTATATACTCAACTTAATAATAAAAAGTCACGCCATAATATTTTTTTCACTGTACAGATATTAACAGTACCCTGTAATTTTGTTCCTTTTCACAATTAAAAATTGTTTTCATTTTGGTCAACGGTGCAGGTTGGGAAGACATATTTTGAACTCGTCAATTATTTAGAAGCCGATCATTTTTTTGAGTTAGCGCATCGACTATCACCATGCACGTTGGAGGGAATGGACATTTACTCCACTGTTCTTTATGTAAGTGGACTAACTGCTCTTGTACTTGAGAGTACTTTATTCCCACCTTTTGCCTCAAATTTCACCAGCTTTGTTTCTCTTTTGCAGCATTTGAATGAGGAAATGCGGCTAAGTTACCTTGCTCAAGATCTTGTTTCTATTGATCGACTATCTCCCCAAGCATGGTTCGTCTTTTTATGCCCAGCAAGTGAATGATATTTTGGACCAAATGCCAAAATGGAACTCTGCAAATGTGCTTTACTGAAAGTAATTAATAGATGTTAAAGCAACACATCTACTTGATTGATTTTGTTAGTCCATGATAACTTTGTCTTAGTCCTGATGCTGTGCAAAACATCTGGATGAAGCAAGGAGACAATTACAGATCTTTAGTGGAAATGCTTTTAAGCTGACATAATATTGTGTTACATTTTCTAATGTATCTGTTTTTAAATGTTCAAAAGGTGTGCTGTGGGAAATTGCTTTGCCTTGAGGAAAGATCATGAGACTGCCTTGAAGAATTTTCAACGTGCTGTACAGCTTGACTCAAGAGTTGCATACGCTCACACGCTATGCGGTCACGAGTATGTTTTCGTTCACACTATCTTATAACTGGTGCACATATGAGTTTCTTATCTTGTATTAATGTTTGAGATCACCTGTCGAAAATTTCTAACTATACTGCCATTCCTTTGAACTGTAGGTATTCTGCATTGGAGGATTATGAGAACAGTATAAAACTATACCGCTCTGCACTTCAGGTAGATGAAAGACACTACAATGCCTGGTATGGCCTTGGAGTGGTGTACCTTCGCCAGGAAAAGTTTGAGTTTGCTGAGCATCATTTCAGAAGGGCATTCCAGATAAATCCTTGCTCTTCTGTTCTTATGTGCTATCTTGGGATGGCCTTGCATGCTTTAAAGGTGATATAATACTCCCTCCGTTTCGAAATGTTTGACACCGTTGACTTTTTAGCACATGTTTGACCATTCGTCTTATTCAAAAACTTTTGTGAAATATGTAAAATTATATGCCTACATAAAAATATATTTAGCAATGAATCAAATGATAGGCAAAGAATTAATAATTACTTAAATTTTTTGAATAAGACGAACGATCAAACATGTGCTATAAAGTCAACGGCGTCAAACATTTCGAAACGGAGGGAGTACCATATACTAATTTTTGGTTTCCACTTACCCTCAAAACTAGAATTTTCATCATCATCTGGACAATGATTAACTATGAACCTTCTTTCTGAATCGAAACTTTCAGAGGAATGAGGAAGCCTTGGAAATGATGGAGAACGCTATATTTGCTGATAAGAAGAATCCACTCCCCAAGTATCAAAAGGCTTTAATCCTTCTAGGCCTACAAAAATACCCTGATGCTCTGGATGAGTTGGAACGGCTAAAGGAAATTGCACCTCATGAAAGTAGTATGTATGCACTGATGGGAAAGATTTACAAGCAACTTAACATTCTTGACAAGGCTGTATTTTGCTTTGGCATTGCCCTGGATTTGAAACCTCCTGCTGCTGACGTTGCTATAATCAAGGTATAGTACACTATCTTTGCTTATCCCACTCCCAAAGCTCCACCTGCCTCCCTCCACCCCCATTTTGTTTCCTGCACTACATATTATTTTAAAGAACTTATCTTGGTGTCTCTTCCTACGGTGGTCCAGCAATCATTGCTAGTTAAAATTTTGTTTCTCAGTTTTAGTATCTTACCATTATCGTACAAGTCTCAATGCTGCAATTCATCTGCGTCTGAATAACCGAGTCACAAGTCCATGTCCATGTCCATCTGATGTTTAACAGTCTGCAATGGAGAAAGTACACCTTCCAGATGAACTTATGGATGATGATGATGATGATGATGAGATTTAAGCTCACTCCGAAGAACAGAGGGGAGGAACCAACATTGATTGGCATGCCTGTGCTTCCCGAGTTTGTAGCCAGCGTGGCTGCGTGTGCTTCACTGCTTCCCGAGGGAACCTGGAGATTCAAGGAAGAATGCGCACCGTGTGCTGTTCGTAATCTGCTTCTCCTGTGGACTAACTCTCTTTGGGGCGCGACCATGTACCATTAACCTTCCAGTTTTGTAGCAGTAGATGTAACATGTAAGAGCCTAGATCACACAAGGCACACCAGGGCATTAGTTTAGATGTGTAAGTTAAGAGCGTTGGCAATGTGATCTGTATCATTGTAGAATTGTCAGATTACTGAAAGAAATCATTGACAAATAATGGTAATTATCGGAGCGATCTGCTGACTGAAGCAGATCGCGTATCGCATGAACTGTTTTACCTGGTGTCATATTCAAGGTTGTTAGCATTTCTGCTCAAGTCAAAAGAAATGGAGAAGGCACAAGGATGGATTGCTTCAGTGAGTCAGCTTTGTTCCACTGTAAGTGGTGCATAGATAAAGTTATGAAATATGAAAGCCTTTATTTTCAAGCAAAGTCTAGCCTTCGTTCTCTTATCTTGGCAGTAGCCTTGTGATTGCTGCTAGCCCATTATGATTAGGAAATGATTAAAGAAAAAAAGTAATAGGGATAAGCAATTACTGGCAAAGGTGAGTTTACTTTTAGATGCTGTGAATCTGTAGTGTGTGGAGTACTTATTTAAAATTGGTAGTACCTGTTTAAAATGATCTGGTGAGATCTATTCTTTTGGTCCCCCCAAATATGGCGGCTGATCAGGTGCACAAAACACGAGGTGTCTGTATCATTTGAAGCTATTTCCAGACGAATTGTTTCGTTCGTTGTCATTTGAGATGGTAGATCTTGCCCAATGCTTTCACGTAATGGTGAGTTGAGTACCATTAGTTCTCTCCCTTTTCTCTTACCTAAACAGGGAAAACACTGGGTTATACTCGAAACACTCTCCTGATATTACATTTGCTTTCATCAAGAGACGAGAGACCAACAGGTTGTTGCTGTAAACATTTCTTTCATTTTCTTCTTGTTTCTTAGCTAAAAGGCCAGAGCAATCATCACGATGGCGGCCGGCTCGCAATTATTGCTCATGTACTTGCTACTAGCTAGTGTATTTGTGTTACTAACTGACTATATATGCATTGGCATTGCAAAGGAGTTCATAATTTCATTCGAACTCAAATGACTAATATAATTGACCTACCAACACGACGCACTGATGCATATTATGCATGCAGCAAAACCGATTAAATTAAGTAATTAGTGTGCATGCCGTGCTGGCACTCACTAATTAATCACATCCAGATCGATGTATATATATGCTTCCTCTTTTTATCTGTACAAGCAATTCAATCGTACGTGGGCTTCCCATTGGCAGGAAGTCAGGCAGAAAGCGTTGTCGTCGACAAAACAATTAGCGATCTAACAAACAGCTGCGACTCCGATCGAACAGAAATCAAATTAACCACGTCGTCGTCGTCGCCGCCGCCGCCGCTAGCTGGCCTCGTCGGCGCCCGCCGTGATCACAGTGATTCGATCTGCTAGTTGCCTCGTTCTCACGTACGTGAGGTTTCTTGCTCTTTTTTTTTTACTGGATTTTACCCAGAAGCATGGGTGGAGGTCTAGTTTACGGATTAATAGCCACTAGTTTCTGTCTTTTGTGATAGAGAAGTCTTCTTAGATCTAGTTTTTTGGCTGTGTACATTCTATGCAGAGGCCGGGGATAGACTCGATTGAAATATATCATCTTGGTGTATTTAAGCTTTCATTATCTAAAAAGATCAACGGGTGCTGTGTTGCATGGTTTTTGCCATGCTTAATTGCATAGTGAAAGTATCAAATCTGAGTGTTATTTTTTATTACTACTTACGGATTTGATGGGTGGTTTTTCAGAAAAAGGGGAGTGGTTTTCTAGGGAGTTTTTTAAAGGAAGAAGAGGGCGCGGTTTTTTACAGAGAAAGAAGACCAACTATGGTTTTAAACTAGTAAAGAAAGATATGGAAAAACATGTATCAATATGTGCACTCACCACTATACATCACATAATTGGGGTGCTAATACCTAGTTCCATTTCGAACCGACTAAAACCAAATCGAGCAATCTTAAGCCCAAGATTAGAAGAACAACTCAACGGCTAGTGGATTAGCTCATTGGCTCTCAAAATAAATAGTTCACAAATGAACAGCCTAGCCATACACCCCGGCGAATGTCTCAAGATATGGAGACTAGCTATAAATCCCTTATCTTGCTAAAATTTGTATTGGCTCTCCACAAAATTAATAGTCCATAGATAAACAACCCAGCGCCACGTCCCTGCGAACGTGTCTGCAAGAGATGAAGACCAACGATAAATCCTCCACCTTATTTAAAAATCTTACTAAAAGCGTGTACATATATGCACGTAATATTTATGGACACCAATATTTAAATCTTGGTGGGTAGACTCATACATTACAACTTCACCAACATATTATCGGTGCTTCTCCCCTTGTATCAATCATATAATGTGTATATGAAATTGATTAAACCGTGCAGTGTTGTTCATTTGTGCTTAGCATGGTGACCCACTGGTTTTAACTTCTCATGGTACTAAGCCTTGATATAAGGTAGTGTTTACCTTCAGATATTTTAAAGTGAAAATCAGTCCCCACCGCCGTTTGCCAAGAACTAAACGAAAACATGCCAAAAGTTGTTTGACTGTTAGTCAACTCCATACAAATTAATCGGTTTTTACAAACCAACCGCTGACAGTTTCATGAAAACCGACCGATTTTGTTAACCTGTTATGGTTACGGGCATACTTAGAGAGTCATGGATTCCTATTGATTTTGCCGGGTTGGCCAAAAGTTCGGTCGACCAATTTCGTTAAGATTGGGAGATGGATTCCAATTGATTCCTTTTACGCTATGTGGTCATCCTTGATGTTGAAGAATGGCTACTACCGTAGCCTATGTAAGAGTATATATGCATGTATTTGATTTGTTGCTAAAGCAAAGAGGCACTGATTGATCGATGACCCATGCTGGAATTTTGCAGCCTTTTTCCAAGAAAGCAAAGGATATATATATTGTAAGACAATGGTCTGGCACATTTTTTATACATCCGTTTCATAACCTATAAAAATCTCCAAATTGGTTATGAGCTCAGTGATCACCATCTATAAATCATCTGTCGATCTGAGATACGTCAGATAATTAACCAATCATACACTGTCACTGTGTTGTTCAGTTCCTGATTCCGAAAAGAAAAACCTATGGTCCGTGAAAATCATTTCTGTAGTAGGACGGACGCACACATCCATCATCGCTTGTAGCATAAGCGATTTACACGGACTCCTCCACTTCGCCGACATGTTCTTACCGATACAAAGTGCATGGATCTCTATACTCTATAGTGCTCTGCTCACCAAAGTCGCCCTGAAGGCTATAAATACGCGAGCCAGCCACCCCAAAATGGCAGCCTAGCTCATCACACAGCTGCCAAGAAGGCAAGGGGAACTAGCGAGCTAGCTAGTGTGTACGTGAGGCAATATGGGCCAGAGGAGGAGAGCTCCGTGGCTCGGCCTGCTCTTCCTCGCCGCCGGCGCGTTGCTCCTGCGGCTCGCGCTGGCGGAGGAGGAGCTGCAAGCGGCGACCTCCGCCGTGGCAACTCCAAACGGCGGCGTCGAGGAGTGCGAAGATGAGGTGGTTCTCAAGAAGGGGGAGAATGCGGTGCGCGGGGACGTGGACGATGTTAAGCGCCATACGAGCTTGCGGGGATGGGGGGTATGGAGCGGTGGAGGTGGAGGAGGCGGTGGTGGTGGCGGGGGAGGTGGTGGTGGTGGCGGCGGTGGCGGTGGTGGTGGTGGAGGAGGAGGAGGAGGAGGTGGTGGTGGTGGTGGGGGGGGTGGACGAGGAGGGGGAGGTGGCGGTGGCGGTGGTGGAGGAGGAGGTGGAGGTGGCGGCGGTGGCGGAGGAGGAGGTGGGGGTGGAAACGGAGGAGATGACGGTGATAATGGTGACGATGGTGAAGATGGAGATGGAGATGCGGGGGGAAGAGGGGGAAAGGGGAGGGGTAGGGGTAGAGGTAGAGGTATGGGCAGTGGCATAGGTCGTGGAAATGGTCAAAACGGAGATCGAGGAATCAACAGTGGTGGCAGAGGCAAAATAAAAGGATCTAATGGTGGTAGCAGAAATGTCATCGGTGGTGGAAACAAAGGAGGTGGAGGTGATGGCGGTAGCGACAATGCGCAAAGCGGTGATGGCGGTGGCGGCTGGGAGAGTAGTGGTGGTGGCGGTGGCAGAGGCGATGTAAGTGGCGCCGGAGGAGGAGGAGGAGGAGGAGGAGGGGATGATGCTAATGGCGTTCGTCAATTCATTGTACCTGGTCCGAGCATCTGTAGCAGCCACCGTTGCAAGCATGGTGGAGATGGCACAGGCAATGGCCAACGTAAGATCACCACAACCGGTGGCAACCACGGCAGCAGCGGCGTCACAAAACCAAAAGGGGAGCCATGAGGATGACCAAAATAATATCCATCTCGTAATTATGCGAAATTGTCACGTGATCTAAATCTAATCAAGCCGTACGTAAGCATAGTGGCTAAACAAAGTTGCTCCACGTAACAAGTTTAAAGTTTGTGTGTGATTCTGGTGGTGTCTGTCTCTGTCAGTACGTAGTGCCTATCAGCGTATCATGGGTGAATAACGAACCGTGTACCTCGTGTTCTACGTTGCAATTGCAGAATTTCTTAAGATTGTTTTCAACATCATATATTTGTACCATGGTTTTGTGTTTGTCGTTTGCTAGTACATTCAGCACCTTGTAGTTAAATAGTAGCTCTTGTATTGTGATAGACTGATAGGACAAGAAGAGCCCTGAAAGGGTAATTTCATTTGCTATCACTGGCATGAATAACACAATAATGAAACAAAATTTCTGCAATAATTTTGAAGATATATTATAAGCAATGTAGTACTAGTAAAGCAACGAGGTTCTGAATCCTCTGCAAGCACCAAGGCCAATCCCCAAGAAAAGAGAGAACAGCATTGTTCTCATCTTTTAACTGACTTGACAACGCTGTGATATTTCACTTCACGTAGTTAGCCAATTAGAACTAAGACTCGTTTCAAGATAACACTAAAAACAATTGATACACCATCAGTAATAGTTTCAAGGGATGGTCAGGCACAGTTGTCAATTCAGTTATACAGATACAACAGCAATGCACAAGGCAACAGTTACATCCAAGAATCTATCTTGTCTTCATGTTCTGAGTAGTATGAGAACTGAGTATTAGGAATAACCTCACAAGCTACATGCTACAAATTATCACCTTTTCTTTAGTTGAGAAAAAAAAAAGGAAGAAAGAAACCATGAACATGTTTAGCATCAGGCTATTAACATTCTAAACTAATAGAGCTGAACTTAAGCTACATATCACAATTAACGAACTACAAGATACATAACTAGACCATCTAGTTAACTAGAATTAATCAATACAGAATAGACAACATGGCAGGAGTAATGAAGCAGAAAGTAACTAGTTTGCAACGAAGATCAGGATGAACAGGCCCAAGTCAATCACATAAACCCCCACCTACAAAAGCAACCCTGCAAGAAAGGAAGTGGATTAGTTCAGGTGTGTCCTAGTCTCAAAACATGTGCTTAATTTAACTCGAAAATAACACTAAAGAATGCAAATCATAAACCCATTGCAACTTACTACTGTCCAGCAACAACAATGTTGAGTTCTACCATTTATGACTCAGGAAACAAACAGATTACAACAGTTCAATGGCATTCAACCACAAGAAACTATCTAAACGACTACACAAGATTTACAGTTCACTAACATCCTCTGCGCCCATCTTAAAATTTTACCAGTTCACTAACATGCTTTCATTTTCATTACTTTCATACAGACGACAACTTCAGAACACGTAAGTTTGCAGCGCATCTTTAGGGAACAAGGGCATACTTGCATGTTGCGCTTCATCTTGTAGAGCACCATTTACTTTGACTGCTCGAATGGTGCACGGACAAATAGCTGTCCATGGAGAGTGACAACTGCCGAAGTTTGATGAGGATCAATGCGGGAGGGCAAACTAATAACCTGAAGTAAGTGTACCGTTTTCAATGCCAAAGAATACAATTATAAAATGAAACATCAAATAAATTCAAAAGGTTAACACTTGACAGACCTTCTTGAATGGAGTAACACCCCAAGGATTGTCTAGTTGCTCAGGCTCTCCAGTAACTATCAAACGGCCAGCAGGATCTGACTGAACATGTACCTGCATCAATGTATTAGATATGAATAAGGAATATCTAGAACCAAAGTACCAAAGTCATTCCAACTTTTGCAGTATGAGTCTAAACTTGAAATTCATAGATAGGTGGAATAAGATTACAAGTATACGCAGAAATTCTTTTGGATTCTTTTAGGGCATCTCTCAGTTGGTGTGCACAGTTAGTGCAACCGGAACTTGTGTGCATAGGACACGTTGCCAACTTATGACAGAGGAGTGCTTGGTAAATGATAACTGAACCAAAAGCGTCTAACTGCATGCTTGCTAATTGAATGGTAGAATTTATTTACCTCCTCACGCAGAAGGCCAGGAACCAATGCATAGACTTCATAGCAATCTTTCTGCAAGAAAAAAGATATTTTCCTTTACAAAATGACCATGAAAAATATGTTTCCCCTGATTTCTGGTTAACACATGCTGTTTCTAACTTCCACGATAGTTCTACAGATTTCAAACATAATATGCGTTTCGCTAGCATTGTTTTTCAGAACTTCTGTGGAGAACTACTAGAACTGGAAAATATGGGCAAGTGGCTAAAAGAGGCCAAAAAAGCATGAAAAAGGTAAAATATGATGATCCAAATGAGATACTTACGGTTCTCCGAACGTTTATCTTTACCCAATCAGCTGGAGGGCCAAGGTCAAGAACCATTGAGTCATTTCTGCCAAATAGAAATAATTGAAATCAGTTCACAGTTTCACATCCATACAAATTGAGGGTGGAAGAGTGAAAAAATCAATTGGCATGCCAAAACCCAAATAGTTAACTGGATGAGCCTTATAATATCATCGTGACATTCAAAAGAACAGACTGGTGCCTACAGTAATATTACATGATTCCTGTGGATGCTCGATGACAAAGGAAAGAGAATCATCTGCAAGACTTACTGTAGCTTGTCAGGTTTATATGGTACAATCCTGTCATCTTCCAAGGTCGGTGTCCTTTTCCTCTTGGCAGAACCTAAAAAAAGCAACATAAGTAAATAATAGCATGATGATGTTTAAAAAATAAAAATCAAGAAATGGTACCGCTGCTTTTAGGAGTTTTATCCTTTTTTAAGACAGACACCGTCCCTTTATCCTGGTAAAAACAAAAGGTTACTGATACAACAAATTGCAAGTCACTAATGACAATTTGACTTGAACGAACACGTACTTTAATTATTGGATCAGCAATTTCACCATTGCCAAGCAAGCGCTGAGAGTGCCAGCCTTGCATAGCTCGGGTTGCAGATTCTCTTCTAGCTCTTCCAGAACCAGAAGCATGGATGCCAACCTGTATCAAGATTATAAGCTCATCCTTTTTAAGATCCTTACTTACACATCTCAAAAAAATAACATATTTCCTGCTGAAGTATTTAACACAACTAAACAAACATCTGCAATAAAGGAAGTCAAAAATTTAAATGCAGAATGAATCTTCATTCCATCTGAAATCAGTTCCTTTTAAATTACTCCCAAAATATAACTTCTAGCATTTCAAAATTTATTCCAAAATATAACTTCTCTACCTACATTCTCTTCTCAACCAATCACAATCTTTCCCCATTTAATTTCACCTACTTTCTTACTACCCGTGTCTAAGCCCAAAATTTCTTATATTTTGGGACATAAATAATAGTTAGAAACAGGACCCATTTATGTCTGATTTCCACAGGGATCATGGAAAACTTATGCTAGCCGTCATACTACTGTACCTGACTTTCAGAAGTAATCCTCTCTGTTAAATTAGATGCAGCAACTTGAAACTCGCCCGTTTCGATTTTGTGTTTCTCATATTCAAGGAGTGCCTGCATGGAACAAAAACAATAAAGAGGGTCGGTGAGACAGAAGGGGGCAAAAATAAAACCAATGCTGATTTAAAATACAACACTACTCTTGACAAAATGCATTGGTGTTTAAATTTTATTATACACGCAGTTTCCCCCAGATAAGAACCAGTGTTCCTGCTGCATTCTGCTTGTGCAATTCAAAGAGAAAAACAAATCATGCAAACCAGCACCTGTGCTTATCTACCAAGTAATATAAACCAAGAGAAAATAGCCTCAAATATGATCCACATCTATGTGACGGTCATCGAGATGGGATCGCATTTAAGGGCATAATCTTATGTTGACAGTTTGGCAAAACTTCCAAAGTATTGCGTGTACTTTTGTTTCAAGACTCCTTTTACAAGAATCATGCAAAATCTTAGAATATGTTAAATGAATTGATTTTTTTTCTTCAATTAACTACTGTGGTTGTCATTGGCTCATGACGTGAGAGGGGAATACAGGATTCAACCACAACAGTGCTGCAACTAGAGAACTAAAACTGCAGACAAGGTTGTCCAGGCTCTGAAATCTACATACCTTCTCATAGAAGTTACGGAAGGTCCATGAAACAGTTGTGCATGTCCTGCATAAAACATAAAGAGTATTCAAATCTGAGCTTATGCCAACCAAGTTCGAGCTTCCATCATTGCACAATTCAATTGAGATTCACCAAATGGCCTGAACAGAATGCAGAAGAAATCAGATACATACTTCGGAGGTTTGAAAGACTCTCCCACTTGCCGCCACAGTTTGCACGATGTCACCTGTTGATGCAACTAGTAAGCAAGCATGCAGTGCACATTACCTAAAGATTATACAACAATGTCACGAAATCACAATGCGGCATATAAATATTTTAGTAACACAAAGAAATTAATAATAGCTTAGAGATATCAATTTGGTGAACAAGAACTGAACTTATATATGGTCAGTCTCACTACTGTGCAAATGGAACTGTCATCATGATTGGTGTATGTACTGTAGGAAATAGAAGTGTCGATTTTGATCTCTATTTTCTTGACTCACTTAATCAGGTCAGTTGAATATTTCAGGAGAAAAGGTCCGAAAACAGATTAGATTCAGAAATAATAGTGGCAGACACTTTGCACACAATGCATCAAATTAATAGGATCTGATGGTATATGGAAAGAAAAATAGGTAGGCAAATTAAAATCCACATCTTCCACTTTATATACAGGTGTGGAATCAGATATGCACGTTATGATAACAAACTGGCATACCAAAAACTCATTACATGCTAAAAGCCTAAATCCTTTTTTTTTTGTTGTTGTTTTGCTTGGCTTATAGCTTGCTGTTGGAATCATTTTCAAAATTCCAAATGGGCCTTCCATTCTAACATAACAAAAGGAAGTAACAACTGGATAAGCATATTGCCGAAGTGCCAAAAAAAAAACTCACATAACCAACCCTGTATGATACATATATTGGATTTGTTTTCTTGAACTAGTTTATAAAGGGAAAAAATAAGTAAAACAGTATATTGTAGTCCTATAATCTTAATGTTCCCAGCTCATAAATACATAATATGTGCAGAAAGTAAATATTTAATCTTACAAAAGGACTTGGAACCTTTTGGGAGTGACAGGTGTGTTCTACAGCCACCCTCAGTTCAGAGGATCTTCTGTGGCTATATATACGTGGTAGACATGGATGTATTGTTTGCAAGTTTTTTTAATAAGGAAAAATGCATCATTTTCACATGATCATATATAGGCCAAATGATCTCATGTGGTCATACAAGTTTTGAGTTGGAAATATTTTTTTCGTATTTTTTGTTTTGAGTTTTGTAGTCTATTTATTTGCTGTCCATTGCAATGCATAATAGCAAGCAAGTAATCCAAAAGACACTATAACCCAGATGGTCAGATATTATTCAATAAGGCATCAAAATGAGTACCTGATCATAGCCACCCAACCCAGTCACTTGTCTCCACAACCTATAAAAAAAATTAAAATCAAGATAAAATTAGTTCATGTCCATAGCACATAACAAATTCTAACATACAGACAAAGAGGTCCTTGTACTAACTTGAGGCAATTCAACCCTTCACCATAGAACTTCGGGGGCTTGAATTCCATAAGCTTCTCCCTGTAAAACCGCTCAAGTTCCTTCATGAAAGCAGCCTGCTCCTCCTCAGTCCCCGAGTCATCACCACCACAGCTGTAATCAAACATGAAGGAGTTGCTTGCAAGCTTGGACAGCACCGGGTCCTCCACGTCCTCCCCAGCTGACGCTAACATAAGCTGTTTCTCACCATCAGCACCCTTGTTATCACCATTGCTATCGCCGTCCGCCTTCAAATGCCCATCACCATTCTCCAATTTTTCAACCTTCATTTCAGCCACCTCATTTCCGCCAGCATCCGTCTTACCGTTACTAGTCACAGGAATATCCTTTGCCTTATCCGCTGCGGCCCCACCCTCCTGCTCCACCGCCTCCTCCTTTGCATCCATGCCTTCAGGCTTTGCTGAATCCTTCACGGAATCAACGGTATCGGCAGCCTCCTCAATGCCATCCTCACCCTTACCAGATTTCTCCTCTTCCACAGCATTGGCTTCATCCACAGGGCCATCGGCGCCTGGCTCCGCCTCGCTTTCCACAGGCGCAGACCTAAACTGGGCCATGGGGGTTCAGCTGTACCCCAAAATTATTTTTGGAAACAAACAAACTGCCATTAGCACCACACCACGCATGCAACAAAATTAAGCAAATCGAACGAATTGGAAGTGTTAATTAGAGAGAAACAAATAAATCCAAGCCCATATCGCATAGGAGGATGAACAAAATACCTTCAATTAGGCTCAAATCCAGATGCTCGCCGTCCGGGCGCGCGCGCGCGACGACGCCTCCACACAGCGTAGAAGGCTAGGGCAGAGAGAGTGAGATAGAGAGAGAGGGTCGGGGAAGGAGAGGAGGAGGGCCGTCGCCCGCACCGTGCCTCCGAGGAGGAGCCGCGACGCCGCGGCCGCGCCTCCGCCCGCCGGAAACAGCGTCCCCGCGGGCGAACAGACACGAGCCGAGGCGGGGAGGGTGTAGAGCCGTAGCCCGTCGGGGTCGACGGGGAGAGAGAGACGGGAGCGGTGAGGTGAGAAGGGCTCCCCCTGGCGAGCGGCGGCGGCGGAGGCGGAGGCGGAGGCGAGGGCGGCGAGCGGCCGAAACCCTAGCCGGAGACGGGGGAGACGACGACGGGAGAGGAAGAGAGAGGTCGAAATGAACAGGGGGAACGCTTTGAACTGAAGCGGGTTTGTTTCACCCGCTCCGGTTTATTGTTTTTTTTCCCTTCTTTTTTTTTACTGTTTCTGCATTTTTTTAACCGCTTCTGGTAAAGAAAAATCTCGCTTGGGAGATAGTGGCTTTATGCTGCTTCTGATCTTCGCTATGAGAATCGGACGGTGTTGGAAGCTTTGCTGTTGTACTCCTATTTTTGGTAGTACTTTTTCATATTCCTTAGGAAAGCCACTTGGCGCGTTTTATTGTATGAAAATACAGTTACATCGTTAGCTAGAATGTTTAGCAAAAAAAATTATGAGGCTCATCAACCTAATCAAGAACACTTTAAAATAGACGTATGTTTAAGTATATTTGCTAGAAAATTAGCTTCCCTATTATAGCGCTCGACAAAGACTTTTATAATATCACATTAAAAAACGTTGTCCAAAAATATTCGGGTTACATCGTTTCCACCACTTGCAAGTAGTATGTTTGGGTAATAATATTTTGACAACCAATTTGCTAATTTGCTAGGTAAGAATGTATCCTTCCCTGAGGACGTAGCCTTTAGTCTTCTACCATGGCTACATCAAATAGTATGAGGTAAGTACATGCAAGAACCAGCTATAAAATTTCCTTGTGCGTCTTGTATGATTGCTCCGGCTCCTCCTCTACTCGAAACAATACCAAAAGAAGCATCTACATCCTTCATATGTGGTTTTGCATCCATGTTTTTCCTTACCATTTTATAATTTAGTGTAAGAGCAACAATAGATATAGCTGATGTAGCAATCATCTGAATCATTTCACCATTTGCCTCCTTTCCCACCAAATGTACCATCCACTGTCAAAAACAAGTTCAGCGAATCCCAAATCATTAAGGTGTAATAACGTACCTTCCCTCATGATTATTTGGTAATATTGTTATACCGGTTTATAGTAGTATTTATTTATTTAGTGGACTATCTAAGAAACTGTCACAAGTTTTTTCTATACAAAACATTCAAATGTAACTATAGTGTAACAAAAGTGTAAGTATATTGTAACTTGTATATAACTAGGATAAAACTATCACAAAAATTGTATGGCGCGATGGCAGCATAGATCTTCAATGAACTCAAGGGCGTGAGATTGAATCACAGCAGCTGCACTTGCCAATTTATTTGTTCTCATACTTGCTAGCATGAATTTTAAAGCAAATATAATAGTCCAAAAGTTAACGGAGCAATGTCGATGGTAATCTAGAAATTCCCTTTATTTTGTTTTTTGGTTTTAACGGAGAGGAAAAGTTGGGCCAATTCCTTTTTTTTTTTCGTTTTCTAACGGAGAGCAAAAGTTGGGCTTATTACAGGGCGGCCTGCTAAACATGGGCCATTACGAACACATAGGGTCGTCAATTTTCAGGGAGAAGTTGCCGTTGTTCTTCTAGCCTATTTTTATATGCCATTTAGAGCATTTTTCTGATTAAGATACATATTTTATCTCTTTTTTAAGCACGGTTTGTTGGTTCTGCAAGCCTGTGTGACTGGCTGGTTTTGCTTTGTTGGTTCTGCAGATTGTTATTTTGGATCACTAAAGTTTAATCCCAAACAGAAAAAGAGTAGTTGGCACAGCCTTGCTGGGAGATCATCTTAGTTTTGCATTGCCAAAATGATAGATACAGACTCCACGACTCAAATTAAGGGCCTGTTTGGTACAGCTCCAACTCCTAAATTTAACTTCAGGAGTTGGGTCTGGAGTAGAGTTGTGGAGCTGCCTAAACCCAACTTCACAACTCTAGTTCATTTTGTGAGACAGCTCCACTCCCAGTTTTAGTGGAGATGAAACTGTTTGGCTGAGCTCCAGCTCCAGGAGGGGTGGAGCTGGAGCTGGAGCTGTGCCAAACAGGCCCTAAGGGATGGAATGCAAAGGCTCGTCGACTGAAGATTCGACGTATTTCTGAACACAGATGTGAATTGTTCTTATGTATGGCTTTTGATTACAAAACAGGCTATAATTCGAATTCTCGATGGTTCCTCCAATAATGGCGAAGAAGATACTCCCTCCGTTCCTAAATATTTGGCGCCATTAACTTTTTTAAACATGTTTGATCGTTCATCTTAATTTAAGTAATTATTAATTCTTTTCCTATCATTTGATTTATTGTTAAATATACTTTTTATGTATACATATAGTTTTACATATTTCATAAAAGTTTTTGAATAAGACGAACGATCAAATATGTTTAAAAAAGTCAACGGTGTCGAATATTTAGGGATGGAGGGAGTATTATATAGTTGGCAATGGAGGAGATCGACAGGCACCGATCACTGTTAGTGTCAACCTTCATCTCAAGATGGCCATGCTCCATCTCAGCACTTTTGCCGCGACTTGCTGGTCTCTCGCAAAAAAGAGAGAAAAAAATTGTAGGAGCCATCCAATTCGATCAGTAGCTTGATTGAGTGAAAGCGATAAATCTCTAAACCATACCCTCGATAGGAAAAACAACAAAAAAAAGAAAAAGAAAATCGGTCGGAGAATAAAAGTCCGACCCCCTCACTCGTCCAGGTTTGCAAAATCACTGAATCCCAGAGTCTCAAATGAAATGTAAACAGTTTGGAATTGTTGATGCTTGCAACAATGGCGATAATGTAGCACCGCAGAAGACAGGAAAAAACAGAGGTGGGCTAGCCCGTCTAGGTCCTCACCCCTTCTAATTATTTAATATCAGACCATTTCATAATATTCATGTTTTTTATTTAATTGGAGTGGTTTATGCAATTTTACCTTTTTTCTGAACTAGAAAAAAAAGCCCGTGCATTGCAACGGGTAAATTCTATTTTAATTTTATTATTGTTATATGGTTTAGGTTTGGTAAAATTAACTGTGGGAATTTGCTTGAATATTTCTTTTAGAAAATGATGAGCTGCAATTAGGATTATGTGTTTCATCTCAAGTTAGTATGAGTTTTTTAAAAGAGATTTATTATACGACTCCTTTTATATTTCTAAAAGTAAACGAGCTGAAAATCCAACTCAAACACGAATATGTATTTCCAAAGGTGAACAAACTTAAAAACTGACTCAAACACATATGACATACTAAAATACCGGAAAAAACATCTTTAATTTTTATAATAGTAAATAGAAAAGGAAACCCTCAATAAAAGACCTGGGACATAGAAACGTCGTCGAAGAAGGTGACAATACAGGCTGCAATAACTAGGAGAAATAGGGAAAGAAATTTCTGACCCGCGGGGTTCGGATAGAGAAACAAATTCCGAACCCCCTTGGTCGTCCAGTCCAGCGACCAATGCTAACTCCGATTCAGATCAGGTGCAGTTATAGCTATGACTGCAACTTAAGAACTGCATGCAATTTCAGCCATCCATTTCTGTGATCAACGGCTCAGATCTAGTCATCTAGCGATACAGTGACCACACCAACAGTATTCTGTGCTACAGTGTTTTCTGCTACAGTACGATGAACAGTGCGCCTGGCTGATCTGGACCGTTCCATCTGCATCCGTTAATAAAAACTGGTACTGCCTAAGAGCACCCGCAATGGTAAAGTAAGTTGCTCTCTATAAAACATGTACATCTCAGCAATAGACTAGATTAATAGTAAATCACCTCAATAGTATGTCTACATCGGTATCTATAGCTCTCTAATGCATTGCCTCGTTTTTCTCTATAGACTATCTCCAGGTTAGTAGATAGTTTTGCTCTCTCTCTTCATTTAATATCTTCCAAGTAAGAAAATATGTTGACATGGATCTCTTGTAGAGATTTATAGGCTCTCTATAAGATTTTTATGTCAGCATATTTTATGTCAGCATATTTTCTTACTCGTTTGCAATGCTCTGCCGAGAATGCACCAAAGGACCGGAATGCATAGTTTCTTAATCACAATCTCGTTTGCAATGCTCTGCCGAGAATGCACCAAAGGACCGGAATTCATAAGCTCGACTGAAGATTCGATATATTATATACTCCTATTTGTGAATGCATGCAGAGGACCAACTGAAATGTGCTTACGTGTAACTTCGCTTAGAGCAGGTATAATAGTAGACTATTAGCCAGCTATAAACATATTTTAGTGAGATAAAAGATAAGAGAGAAGAGCAGCGGGCTACAAATATGTAGCCAACTACAGCACGGACTATAAGACGCGGTGTGTATGATAGATGGGACCATATATTAATAGTATATTAAACAACTATTATATGAATTGACTATTAGATTGGCTATAGATGAATTGGAGCTGGTAGGTTGGCTATACTATTAAACTTATCTAATTACCAGCTCCAATTCATCTATAACCAATCTAATAGCTCATTCATACAATAGTTACATACTACACTATCAATAACTGGTCCCACATGCCATACACACACTGTGTCTTGGAGTCCGTACACTGCATCAATTTATAGCCCGCTGCTATTCTCTCTCCTCATTTATCTCCTTAAAATTTGTTTGCAGCTGGCTTATAGCCAGCTATTGTACCTGCACTTACAGGAAACAGGCTTTAATTAATTCTTCACACTTGAAACAATTGTGAAGAAGATAGTGGTACTGGAGCTTGAAGAAATAAACCAAAAAAAATTCTAGACCATAGGGGTTCCCCTCCTAGGGTGTGTTTAATTCCTGAAAAAAAAGTTGAAAGTTTGAAGAAAGTTGGGAGTTTGAAAAAAAGTCGGAAGTTTATGTGTGTAGAAAAATTTTAGATGTGATATGATGTGATGAAAAGTTGGGAATAGGGGGAACTAAACACGGCCCTAGCCTTCGCTTGGAAAAAGCAACTTAAAAAGATGGAAAAAGTCCACTTTGACTCCCTTAAAAATAGACCGAATCTGATTCATACCCCTCAACCAGAAAACCGGATAAAACGACTCCCCCACCTATTGAAACCAGTGCAATTTGACTCCCTCAGCGGTTTTGGAGAATGGTTTTGCTGACGTGGCGCTGATGTGGTGATGTTGACCTGGTCTTCGTCCTACATGGCGCTTACGTGACATTAGAATTAAAAATATATATGTGGGACCCATTTGTCGTT